GATATTCGGGTGAGGACTGTGTATGTCAACACTTGTAATTTCTTTGAGGTAGCACTATGTACCCAGGGAATCGCTGACAGAATGCAGAAGGAGATCGCCGTTCTTGCACTAGCATTTTCATGAAGATTGGTAGTCATTCGCCCTCTTCAGAGAAAATATTCCGTCTGGACTGGAAGTTTTATTCCCACTTCGTCAACCTTCCAGCAGATGTGGATCAAAGCAAGCAGGGAGCACGATGAATCCGGCTCCATCCATTGCACACAGAAAGTGCTTCTTAGTGACCGGATATTGCATAGACAAAGTAACATTAAAGCAACCACTATTAATCACCCAAAGGCCAAAAGCGTATAATTGTCAGAAATGTGTTGTGACCAAAATTACAAAATACATACGATTGTTTCAGTTATCCTGATAACTGTTCAGTTTGTGCTGCCGTGTATCATTCCAATGTTGTTTCCCTTCCATTTGGCATGTATGACATTTTCTTTGCTTATTTATTATATATTACATATCTTGCGTCAATTCTATCTCTAATGTCTACTCTTTGAATAGTTACAAAGAACGTACGTTGCTGCGTTGTGCATGCTGGTATGTTTCCTATGCAATCGTCAGTATATACAAAAGCTGTACCACGAACTACAGTTATTAATAAGCTGAAACCTACATGTCTCGACAGTATAACGTACAGAGTTGTACCCACAAACTACAGTTGTTACAAAGTAAGCTGAAAACGACATATCCCGTAAGCGATTAATTGCACCGTTTTACACGTAAGCAACACAACGTTTCTTTGTTAGCCGTTACTTATGTTGCAACAATTATACAAACACGCAACTTATGGAGCTTTGACTGCATTCAATCCCTAAAACATTTATTTTCATGATTTGGCAAAGTCTATGTCTATTATAAGACCATTCTAGTCCCGCTTGACTGACATTATTGTGTCAAAAAGGCACTTGTTTTCAAATAAAACATTCCCTCATAAAGAAGATATCCACCTTAAACTTGCTTCTACCGCATATCCGAAAGAAATAGACCGATGAACACAGAGAAAATGATGTGGGTTTTTACTTTAGGACAATCATTTCATTAAACAATATGTTTACTCGATACGTGAATGTAAAGTTAATGCGCTCAACATATGAACCCCCACCTTACATGACGGAAATACGGTTGTCGGTTATTATTCTTAACTGGGTAAAATAGTTCCTTTTGCTCGGTGGTGATGATTCTGTACATGAGATTACCATGTCAGGGAACCAAAAGCGACAACAAAGCCCTGACCAACTTCCCGATCCCTATTACATGGACTTGTACGAAAAGAATAAGCCTGAACTCTGGGCCTCTGGGTTCCCCACAAAGCGATTGTGGTGCAACGACTGTCGTAAGTCTATGTTAAAGCATAGGAGTTACGGTCTGTCTTAGGGTTACGATCGCTTTTGAGGAAACAGGGCCCAGGTTCTTATTTGCGCTTCACAAGATTTTAGTCAAATCAAAAGTCTCGAAATTGCGTTATCTTATGCTTTTTGTTGAAATATGCCCTGTAAAATATTATGTAGGACACCCTATTTCAAACTCAGCCGCCGAGTAACTTCATTGCCAATCCAGTTGTGTCTGAAAAATACAAGTCCCTCGCCAAGCACCCTGAGTAAAATTACATCGATCACTTTCTGTAGAGATCAAAGCCCATAACTGTGTATGCACAAGATCCAAAAAGCATGTAGCAAGGGAAGTAACTATTCCGGAAAGATCATTGGTGGCGGCATTTTCAGAAGTCGGTCTTCAAGTGGTTGACATAAACATGCACTATCCACAGAATCGAATACCAAGCATGCCCAGAAGATCAAGCAGCAAGTTTGAAAAAAAGTGTTCCGTTGGTGCAGTTAGGGGCCCAAAATCCGTTTGTTCGTCATATCCTGTGATATTGATAAATTCCTTTCAATGGAACCAAATTATTATTCCGAAGATTCCTATGGTTTCCAAAATATGTTTGGGGACGCATTTGCGTGATAAATTCCCTTGTGGTCTTCAGGCAAGGTGAGTATGCGTCAATAACGGGGTTTTATAACACCAAACAGTATTCATATAACAGGGATGGCACTTGGTCCTAAAACTTCGTTAAGGGGGGGGCCGTTTTATTACCAGAAGTAATAGACTGCTTTACATGCTACTCAACTATTGGATAATTTGCTTCTAACTTGCGACATGTTGTGAGGCATCAAAAACCAAATTCGGACCTGTAATTCACCAATTTAACTCCTTCCAGTCATGGCCTTTAAAGCCATTATGTCACGTGTGAATAAACGTGTACAACTTCTTGCTCGCCTCTGTGGAGAGTCGATAACAAACAGCGCGAGTACCTTGCTTGAAGTAGAGCAGTAATCGTTTTCTGCGCTTTCCTTTAGACCGTCGCATGCTTTGCAAGCGGCCATAATCGTCCCCGCGCTTTTCTTCAGATTCTCGCATGTTTTGAACGGGTATCGTTTGCCGTATAGTAAATGTGGAGAAACTTCACTCTCCTCGAGTTCCATGCGGCAAGAAAAATGGCGCCAGTATCTCTGCAACCAGGCCCTAGAAAATGTGACGATTCGTCACATCTTGCAATGTCAATCAATATAATGTACAGATTGCTTTAACTGTTTTATTTTTGGACAGGTCTACACCTCTAACTCAACATCTTTAGCTAGAATTGTTTAGTTTCTTACTGAGAAAATATCCAAAAACATGTGCTGCACTATTTTGATTTGCGTAGCGATCGCTTTGTTTACAGAGGTTGTATTGCTCCACGTATGCTGTCATCGAAGTTGATGGAGAGCAAAACGATGCAGCCAGTTTGATATTATCTAAATATGTACTGTCATAGACCTTACTTTGGGAGATGTGGAAGAATATATCGTAACCAAATACCGTAAAACATTATGAACAGAGCGCCGAAAAGCTTTCGTGAGTCCAGCCTCTTCTTATTATGAATATGCGCGTTTGATTACAAACAAAGAAAAGTCCGGTCACGTGATATGCAAATTAGCCCGTGGCGGTGATGTTATGTTAAGTCATGGTGCAGTGCCGGAGGTGCCGGGAGAAACTTTTGCGACGTTCTGGCAATGTATCCCTGGGCCGTCGACGATATAAAAGAAGTCCCTATTGGCACCTTCTTTCGTTAGGGGCACGTCTCAAATAGTTTTTTTTCCCTTTTAGCTACCATACGCTGTGTTTCATCGCGTGGTTAATGCTGCACAGATGTTTTGATCAGCAACTTTGCGTGGCGCTCTTTAGAGGTGGCACATCAATAAATGAATAACTTAAGTTCTCAAAACGTTTAAAGGTGTTGCTATGTGCTAAGTTTGGTTTGTCACAAAATCGCAAAGAAGCCCGTGGTAGTTTTGAAAGACAACTTTTTTCCCAGAAATAGCGTCCAATATCGCGGCCATCATATCCACGATAGCCACATTTGACGATGCCCCGTGTAGGAAGGCGCATAGACACCAAGCACGCCAAGTTTGAAAGCCGTAGCTCTTGTAGTTTCAGTGCAGCACACATTTTAGGAGGAAAGTAGTCGGGATTTTGGAAAACACCAGCAAAAGCTTCAATCCAAAATAGCGGCCAAACGGTGCATTTTAGCGACTCGACCCGTCAGGAGAAATTGTAGACATTTTGATTGCGCATCTGCTCAAGACATTTGGTAGTCATTGATCAGTAGTTTGCAGATATTTTGCTGTTGAATTTTTGAATTACTTTTGAATTCATTCGCCCCTTGCTATTGGGCATAGAAACTCCTGGAGATTTTGCGGAAACAACTTCAGCACCGTGGAAACCATGGTGATTTTTTCAAGCGATTCCATCCACTGGTGCTTTTGGTAGGAGTGGTACAAAAATCCGGCGGAATAATAAATAATAATAATAATAAAACATTATGAATTACAATAGGCCCCTGCCTCTTGAAGCAGGGGAGATTCTAATAAAACTTAACAAACAATCAATAGGTCTCCCTGCCCTTGCGGCAAGGAGCCCTAATTACAACATCGTTATTTTGTAGTTTTTCGGGGTTTTGACCCCGGAACTTGATAGTAAATCAAAAATGCTTTCTAATGGTCAAGGTCACCAAGGTCACGGGGGTCAAGGTCATTAGACCGGTCCGTCACAAGACAAAAACACGTTTTTTTGGCGAGCTAAGACGCCGTTGTTATTGCCTCTAGGGTGAAAGGAATTAGTGTTTCTGCTTTGCCCTGTCCCGATGTATCATACGCGCTGGTCAGATTTAGTGACAAATAAACTCTGTCAAAAAAGAAACGCAACCCCTGTCCTCAGATATGAAAAATTCGTTTGAATGAAGTTATTGCTTCCAAACTAAATTTTATTCGAATGTATTGAAATGATACACGTAATTAATGAAGATTACCATCCAAACAACTGCATTTGTACGCATAAGTGTATTTTATTGCTTATTCCGTCACAACGCATGAAATGACCCTCATGGTGACTTCGCACAAAAAAAACACATGCAAATCATGAAAATGGCAGTTAATGTAGGGGTGTATAAAAGCCCATGTGCTTGTATTATATTCATTCATTTGTCGCCGAAAAGCTGTGTTAAAAATGCCACGATTGAGTGCTGCCGACCGAAATATCGCCATTGGTCGTGTTCGCTGGAGAAAGTTTTGGAACTGTTGCATCGGCACCTAAATGTTCACAAAACAACGATATCCCGACTTTGGAGCCGCTACAACAACTTCAATTTGACCAACGATCGCCCGAGAAGTGGAAGGCCAAGAATCACGACCCCCTTCAAGATCGGTACATCCGTCCATCACCTGCGTAATCGGCATGCCACTACCAACCGTGACTGCCACACAATACCAGGTTTGAGGAGAGTGTCAGCTCAAACGATTAGGAACCGTCTGAAAGAAGCGGGTTTACGTGCCTGCAGACCAGTTGTTGGACCTGTACTACGCCCCCTACATCGACGCCGACGACTCAGGTGTGGTGCAACAACGTAAGGATACGGACTTTACAAAACTGGAGGCGAATCTGGTTTTCTGATGAATCACGTTTCTTTGCAACGTCACGACGGAAGACAGCGTCTGTATAGGAGACGTCATAAACGTTTTGCGCCCATCTGCGTCCGACAGGTGGACAGATTTGGCGGAGAAAGCGTCATGGTTTGGGGAACCATCTCATACAACCAGAAATCAGACTTGGTGATCGTTCCAGGGAACCTGACAGCCCAACGTTACATCAACCACGTGTTAGAGCTTCACCTTCTCCCGATTATTGACCAACAGACACAGATTTTCAACGGGACAACGCCCGGCCTCATACTGCACTTGCAACAATGAACTTTCTGCAGAATTCCAACGTCAATGTCTTGCCATGACCCTCTAAATCACCAGACCTGAACCCTATTGAACACCTGTGGGATACTCTGATCGACGCGTACGTCAACGTCAGCCGCCGCCACAGACGCTGCAACAGCTCGCCGTTGCACTGCAGGAGGAGTGGAGAGCCATTCCCCAGGAAAGAATCCGGCGTCTTCTCCGTTCTTGTCCAAGGAGATGCCGTGCAGTGATTGCAGCGCGTGCTGCTCATACGAGATACTGAGAAAGACGCCCCCCTGGTGACAAACTGGTGTCTGTGAGATGACTTTTGAAATGACAATTTTAAACATGCCCATCTGGGTTATTATTCTGCCAAATTTCAGACTTCTGTCTTAAATAATAAAAATGCCGTGTCGTCCTAAAACTTCAGATCAAAATCTCTAAAATACAGGGGTTGCGTTTCTTTTTTGACAGAGTTTATGTCCGCTGTCTGGCCGCATGTCTGTCCGTCAAAATGCTGTATAGCCATTTTCTCCGGAACTATGAAACATACAGACTTGGAATTTTGCATACTAGTACATGATTCCCTCCACTGTGTCTAATGATGCTGTAAAAATCAAGTTCTTTGGATTTCAACTTTTGTTGCTATGGAAACCCTGATAAATGAAAAACTTCAATCCAAGATGGCGGCCAAACGGCTGAAGATATCGAATTTTGACCCGCCCAAAAATGATCGCCATCTCATGACCAAGTCACATACCAAATATGGAAGCTGTTGGGTCAATAGTAGTGGAGCTAGATGCTGTTTTATGCCGTTTTGGAGTCCATTTTGCATTTATGCAGTTTTCAATCCAATATGGCCACCAAACGACGCATATTTTGATGAGCATCTAAGAACACAAAATGTCAAGCGTATCACGCTGATGCATAGTACCGATTTTCACATCTTTCTATGCAGACCCTGAGCAGCTACGCTGTATGAAAAGCAGTGTCATCAGAATGTGCCGAAATCAAATATGGCCGCCAAATGATTCACATTTTGACATGCACCAAAGAACAACAAATGTTAAGCACATCAAGTTACTGCATGCTGCCAGATTCTAGCTGCGTAGCTGAAATAGCAATGACGCTGTGATTGTTTTTGTAAATCCATGTGTGCAATTTTCAATCCAATATGGCCGCCAAACAGCCCATTTTTGTATAAGCATCTAAGAACACAAAATGTTAAGCATTGTACGCTTATACATAGTACGAATTTTCATGTCTTTCTGTGCGGAATTTGAGCAGCTACGTTGTTTCTAGAGTAGTGTCACCAGAATCTGCCGAAATCCAATATGGCCGCCAAACTATTTACATTTTGACATGCACCCAAGAACAAAAATGTTCACCATTAAGTTTCTGTATGATGCCAGATCTTAGCTGCGTAGTTGAAATAGTAATGACGCTGTGATTGTTTAAAGGTACATTTTAGTAAAACATAAACAGCAAAAGCAAAAATCTAGATATCCGTAACTAATCAAGAACTCGCAACATAGCTCGAGAATATTCATATTTGAGGTATATAGTTCATATGTGCAAATTTGCAAAGTTCTAGACATCACACATTCAGAGTTATGGATTGTGGAAATGCCTACCCGTCAAAAACGTGAAATTTCCTTAAATCCAATATGGCGGCCAAACGGTGCGTACTAGACCCATGGGTCCTGCAGTTGAAATTGAAGATAATCAAATTTCAGAGGTGGTCCAGAAATGTGGTAGTCATTGGACTTGTAGTTTCGGAGATTATTGCTTTGGAAATTGAAATTTTTGAATTAATTTTGAATTATCTCCCCTTTGCTATTCGGCCTACAGCCTTGAGATTTTTGCACAAACAACTTGATATTTTCTCAAGCAATTCTGTCCAGCGGTGCTCTTTGTAGGGCTGGTACAAAATACGGCGGAATAATAAATAATAATAAAAACTTTAACAATAACAATAGGTCTCCTGCCTTGCGGCAAGGAGTCCTAATTAATACAAGACATATTCAAATAGTTTTCACAAATCGATTTACAATTGCTTTCATTATTCTGTACTTGTTACATGTATGCAACATATTCGGGCTAAATTCATTCATGTGACATGCTACGCCTCACATAAACTAACATTATATTGCGGCACATTGACATCACTGATATAAATAAATCATTTCCTGATTTGTACCAATATTGTGCTCACTGTAGCCTCAGTTGCATCAGATTACACTGTTCACAGGATTCAAGAAAGAATGTCTACATTTTGTCACTTCGATGATAGAGCTGACCTATTTAATACATCTAATAATCAGTGATAAGCTCATATCCCCCATTCGTATAATGCATCAGTTGTAATTGACAGTTTAGTTTTCTTCCCTTTACCTTCCTTTACGATCCGAATAACAACTAATATTGTCCGCGACGGTGAATAAAGGTGTCACCATTGTATTCTAAGTCAGTCACCAGAAACACTTTTGTGAACAATGGATGGGCCGGACTCAGCATACTCCTGCTTGCTGATCCACTTCTCCTGGAAGGTGGACAGAGTGGCAAGGATGGAGCCACCGATCCAGACGGAGTATTTCCTGTCTGGGGGAGCGATGATCCTGATCTTCATTGTTGGTGGAGCAAGGGCTGTGATCTCCTTCTGCATTCTGTCGGCGATACCAGGGAACATGGTGGTACCTCCTGAGAGAATAGTGTTGGCATACAAGTACTCATGGATATCAACATCACACTTCATGATGGAGGTGTATGTTGTTTCGTGGATACCGTCTGGTCCCAGACCCAAGAAGGATGGCTGGAAGAGGATCTCTGGACAACGGAACCTCTCGTTACCAATAGTGATGACCTGACCGTCGGGAAGCTCGTAGCTCTTCTCCAGGGAGGAGGAAGTGGAAGCTATAGCCATCTCCTGCTCGAAGTCGAGGGCGACAAAGGCCAGCTTCTCCTTGATGTCCCTGGCGATTTTTCGTTCGGCAGTGGTGGTGAAGTAGTAACCGCGCTCTGTGAGAATCCTCATCAAGTAATCAGTGAGATCGCTACCAGCAATGTCAAGTCCCATGGTGGCGTGTGGTAAGGCATGTCCATCATAGATGGGAACAGTGTGGGTGACACCATCACCAGAGTCCACCACAATACCCGTCGCACGACCGAAAGCGATCAGAGAAAGAACGGCCTGACTGGCCACATACATAGCTGGAGAATTGAAGGCTTCGAACATGATCTGGGTCATTGTTTCACGGTTGTACTTGGGGTTGAGGGGAGCCTCTGTCAGAAGAACGGGATGTTCCTCAGGATTCACTTCGAGCTTTTCGAATATGTGATGCCAGATCTTCTCCATGTCGTCCAAGTTGGTTACAATACCGCGCGAGACAGGGTATGTGAGTTCGCAAGCACAGTACTGTAAGCGAGCTTCCTCACCGACGTGGTAACTATTTCCCCTGGAATAAATTGACATGACATATATACTCAGACTTAATTGAGACTGGACCGACAAGAAATAAAGTCACTAAAGATCACGATACAGGACCTGGAACATGACTTGCTACCAAATGAAATCTGAAAAGCCATGCTAACATTATTACCTACGCCCCTTCAAAGACGAATGCCATAAAACATGGCGTGTCAAAACCAAATAATCCTAATAATAACCTAATAATAAGGATGGTAATATTATACACAGAATTGAGAGTAAAAATTGAGTATATGTAGTAAGGATTCAAAATATCTAAGGAATGTACAAAATATTGTATCTTTGCTAATGCTGATGAGCACCTTGTCATCCTTGATATCGACATTTATGTTACAATAGAGATGATGGAAGAGAAGAGCAACACTATATGGATAGACAACTCAAGCAATGTTAACTGTGTTAGAATCTACACCGAAACGTCGCATCTATTGCAATAAAGAAGTATCTATCCATAAAGTGTTCCTCTTCATCACAGTAGCTTCTAAATGCCACTTAAAGAAGAAATGATAGAAAAACTTGAGATGTTAGCATTATTTCTTGGTACAGAAAACAATTATACGGATGAAATGACGCGGGGGGGAGGGGGATTTCTTTCTGTAATAGAATTCAGTATATATACTAAAGGATATCCCGAGCCTGTGTTACGTGAGAATCATTGTTCCGGTCCTATATATATATATGTTTGATTATCTTATTTATGAATTATTTAGTAACATAATTACTATGATGTAAGAATCTCGGACATATCTGGATGATTCATTCAATCATTCATATGACAGGTGGACTTTACTCGGATCCCTACCGTCAGTTTGAACGAGGTTTTCCGCCAGTGAACAGTCAAAGAACCTTAACAAACATCAATTACCTGGAGGGGGCTGTGACGGACGATGGAGGGGAAGACAGCTATTGGGGCGTTGTAACCGGCGAACCCGGCCTTACACATGCCGGAGCCGTTGTCGATAACCAGGGCGGCAACACCTTCGTCCGACATTTTGGCCGAGAGTTATGAGACGTGTTTCACTACTGTGAGGAATGTGTTAACCTTGACAGGGGGGTTTGGATACCTACGTAGTTAATGTATCACTTTACAGGGTATACTATGGAATCCGAGAAGGGACATTGTCGCTATGTCGCATTGTCGCCTTCTCAAAAACAAGTAAAGTGAGGCAAAATAAACCGTGTAACGGGCGACATGATACGCGACACGCGACATTTCGCCCATTTGTCGCATTGTCGCGTCGCGTGTCGCGTTTTGAATTTTTTTATATTCCTCCAAAGGGCGACATCGCGACGTAGCGACACTCTTTCATAGCGTCAAAATATGTCGTGTTGTCGCGCGTCTCCCCTATCTAAGATGTGTAAAAAGAAGCCTCAAAATTACTCAGGTCTGTGACAATGCGACATATTCCATATGTCGCATTGTCGCGCGTTGCGTTGTCGCCCTTTCGATACCTGTGCGCACGCGTAGAAAGTCAATGAGTCTACGCATGCGCAGGAAATGTTATACCCTATTTCACACTTCGGTGGTCTTTTGTTACCTCCAATGGTTTTTACAATGAAGTAGTACGCGTAATGATAATGGGGGCTGCTTTTCTTGAACTTAATGCAAATCTTTCATTTTTGCTTTGAAAATTATTGCATATATTGTAAATGCATTTGGCCAATCAAGTGTGTTTTAGCAGCAAGACAAATTATTAGCGCTACTATGTATTGTAATGACGGCACACGGTGGCCCTGTCATTCAAGGCGGGGGAATTTGCTGTGCAGAGTTGTGTCTCTAAGTCACACCAGAAAACTATGATCATAGGTTCTAATCCCAGCACCATACACACTCATCACTTTGGACATTTCACCCATATCAAGCTCACAGGTTGTGAAAACACTCAAATATTGTTAAAATATATGTGTGTATATTATGTATTATATCGATTTATTGATAAAACGCGACACGCGATTATTAGACAACGCGACATTTTGATGAAATGTCGCGTTGTCGCATTGTCGCGTGTCGCGTTTTAGTCATATGTTATAATACATACTATACTCAATATTTCATCAAAATGTCGCGTTGTCGCATTGTCGCTTGTCGCGTTTTAGTAATTTGTTTAGTATGTTTTTACACATCTTACATAGTGCGACGCGCGACAACGCGACATATTTTGACCTTGGAAGTTGTTGCTATGTGACACGCGACATCGCGACAAGGCGACAAATGGGCGAAATGTCGCGTTGTCGGGATATCGCGTGTCGCGTGTCGCGTTTTGGTTAATTTTGCTTGTATTTGAGAGGGCGACAACGCGACAATGTCCCTTCCAGGATTCCATAGTATACAGAGACTGACATATCGTCCTCCTTACATTTCTTTAATTATTGATTTTGTTTAAAAAAGAATTCAGAGCAATTTTTAGTCTGGTTTGAGAAATTGAAATGTACAGCAATTTGTAAGTTAATATACAGTCATACATGTTGTTACCCTAATAACATTAACCAAAATGGTATATTCACTACTTGTTTTAATAGTGTATTTAGTGAGTGACAGGTACTAGGTGCGACGCATGTAGCCGTGAATACACAATACCGTACCGTATACCTCACTATCCACGATACCAGTTATGCTGGAGATGAGTTGGGTGGGCGTACAAGGATTCTGCACTACCTGATTCATCAGAATGTGTGTATATGCGTCTGAATGCATGTCCGTTTTCCGTTTACTCTTCCGTCAGTCTCAAATGTTCTTTACACACTATGACAAGACACGGGCAAACAGCAGACCTTGGTACCTGGGAGACTGTATCAGTACATTGTCAAACAGTTAAGACAAAAACACTCTCTGTTACTGTCACAAACAGTAATTGTCGCACTATCTGACTGTCTTAAAGGTTACACAGTCAGCTGTCGTGTCGTTGTGAGCGTTGTCAGTGTTACACAGCCCTGCAGCTCTAGATATAACGCACACGGCCACATAGTCGCCTATTGATGTGCCATGGAGTCTAACACTGTTATACAGCCCGCAGCTCTAGATATAACACACACGGCCACATAGTTGCATATTGATGTGCCGTGGAGTCTAACACTGTTACACAGCCTGGCAGCCCTAGATATAACACACACGGTCACATGGTCGCCTATTGATGTGTCATGGAGACTATCACTGTTACACAGCCTGGCAGCCCTAGATATAACACACACGGTCACATGGTCGCCTATTGATGTGTCATGGAGACTATCACTGTTACACAGCCTGGCAGCCCTAGATATAACACACACGGTCACATGGTCGCTTATTGATGTGTCATGGAGACTATCACTGTTACACAGCCTGGCAGCCCTAGATATAACACACACGGTCACATGGTCGCCTATTGATGTGTCATGGAGACTATCACTGTTACACAGCCTGGCAGCCCTAGATATAGCACACACGGTCACATGGTCGCCTATTGATGTGTCATGGAGACTATCACTGTTTCACAGCCTGGCAGCCCTAGATATAACACACACGGTCACATGGTCGCCTATTGATGTGTCACGGAGACTATCACTGTTACACAGCCTGGCAGCCCTAGATATAACACACACGGTCACAGAGTCGCTTATTGATGTGTCATGGAGACTATCAATGTTACACAGCCTGGCAGCCCTAGATATAACACACACGGTCACATGGTCGCTTATTAATGTGCCATGGAGACTGGCACTGTTACACAGCCCGGTAGCCCTTGATGTAACATACTCGGTCACATAGTCGCCTATTGATGTGTCATGGAGACTATCACTGTTTCACAGCCTGGCAGCCCTAGATATAACACACACGGTCACATGGTCGCCTATTGATGTGTCATGGAGACTATCACTGTTACACAGCCTGGCAGCCCTAGATATAACACACACGGTCACATGGTCGCCTATTGATGTGTCATGGACACTGTCCCTGTTACACAGCCTGGCAGCCCTAGATATAACACACACGGTCACATGGTCGCTTATTAATGTGCCATGGAGACTGGCACTGTTACACAGCCCGGTAGCCCTAGATGTAACATACTCGGTCACATAGTCGCCTATTGATGTGCCATGGAAACTGCCACTCTTACACAGCCCGGCAGCCCTAGATGTAACACACACGGTCACATAGTCGAATATTGATGTGCCATGGGTACTGTCACTGTTACACAGTCCGGCATCCCTAGATGTAACACACACGGTCACATGGCCGCTTATTGATGTGCCATGGGGACTGGCACTGTTACACAGCCCGGCAGCCCTAGATATAACATACTCGGTCACATGGTCGCTTATTGATGTGCCATGGAGACTATCACTGTTACACAGCCCGGCAGCCCTAGATGTAACACACACGGTCACATGGTCGCTTATTGATGTGCCATGGAGACTATCACTGTTACACAGCCCGGCAGCGCTAGGTATAACACACACGGTCACACAGTCAACTATCGTTGTTCCGGGTAGACTGTCGCTGTTACGGAAATCACCATATTTATGTTCTTGAGTTTCATCAAAGGTGTGTCGTTTGCAATAAGTAGTGTTCACGCCCCGTCCTTGCGCTCCTGTCAGCGCACAGTATGACCTCACAGTTCGTGACTGAATGTTCTATCAGCCACTGATCTACTACCTCGACTGTTGTTGCGTTGTCTCCTGTTGCATGCAACGTTGAGCCAGTGGGGGAAACATACATTGCTTTTAAGATGATATCGCTACAAAAAAATGTACCAGCTAAAGATTTGATCATACCACATTATGAAAAACAACTGACACCTGTTGACAGTAAGCAGCCACTAAATTGTTCATAAGCACGTTTACACAGCCAGATAATCTAACACCTTTAGACAGTCTGATGTAAGAGAAGCCAGATGGATACCAGATAGATACCAGATCGATATCAGATGGATACCAGATCGATACCAGATCGATCCCAGATGGATGCCAGGTTTTCAAGAAAGGTTTCAGTCAGACAAACTATGGCAAAATTCGTTTCATTATATAACTAATAAAGTCTGCATCATCGAGGTTTGAAAAAAGACCCCCAATATTCCAGTTTTAGAAGGAGAAATCATAGCTAGAATAGTCTGCACCTGGTAGGTTAGCTAGATTACCTCGGTTGCTACTCTGGTCCGAGCAGTGTCTCTGGGGGGTCGCATCTTCAGCCCAGTGGGGAAAAACACATTGCTTTAAGTTTCATATGACATCGAGCTTTCTTTCAAATATGAACAAAAATATATTGAGATAGATAGACAAAAGTGTGTTTTATTTCGATAAGATGTGCCTACTTTGACAGTGTGTGGGTGTCAAGTAGAGAACAAGAATATATACCGTTTTCACTTTAGAAGTGCTATTTGAGGGACTATCCTTCTTCTCGCAACATGAGATCGCAATGTCGTCAGCGTCTCTGTGTACCAGAAGTTAAACCTTCTCAGTCGTGGTCATCGCGCCTTGGTATTTGCAGCAACACACGAGGGGAACTGTGTTCCTCTTGACGTTAAATCTTCAATCTTTCTTCAGATCTTTAAGTCTCGCTTCAAAACTTTCGACGTGCTTATGCTGATGAACTCTCCAACTGAACCTTTTGGTGCGCTACCAACATACATTGTGCATGGCGATAAGTACTGTAATTATCACAAATAGTTTGTTGCTTGCGTACTGATACGTACTGATAGACCGAAACAGTTAGGCATAATTACTCTAGGTATCCTTTTTAGCTTGTGCTTTCTTAACATAGCTTTATTAACTGATGGATACAGGCAACCCGTTCCATGAAGTCTGCTGCAGTGGATACTGCATGAAACCGGACGTCTCGCTCTCTACTCTTTTACCATACTAGATCCAAGAGAGTAAAACCATATAAAAGACACAAAGCAAGATACCAATACCCAGTGAGAAAGGAAACATGTGAGAAAATATTTAAAAGCTCAAAACATTATGGAGAGCCCATGAAACCAGGAATTTTGTCATTTCAATGACAACACAGCTCCAGCGACTAGAATACGAAATAGTGGTCTTCTAAATGACTGAAAGTGGTCTCTTCAATGTCACCATCGTATGGAGCTGCAGTGCCAGGCACTAATCGACCTTACTGTGGACAATGGAAGGGCCGGACTCATCGTACTCCTGCTTGCTGATCCATCTCCGCTGGGTGGTCAAACGGAGGGCAAGGATGGAGCCACCGATCCAGACGGAGTATTTTCTCTCTGGAGGGGAGATGACCTTGATCTTTCACTGATGCTGATGCCAGGGCTGTGATCTCCTTCTGCATTCTATCAGCGACTCCTGGGAACATGGTGGTACCTCCGGAGAGAACAGTGTTGGCATATAAATCTTTACGGATATCAACATCACACTTCATGATGGAGTTGTATATTGTGCCGTGGATACCGGCAGATTCCACACCCAAGTAGGATGGCTCGAAGAGGGTCTCTGGACAACGGAACCTCTCGTTGCCAATGGTGATGACCTGTCCGTCAGGAAGCTCATAACTCTTCTTCAGTGAGGAAGAGGATGCAGCAGTCTGCATCTCCTGCTCGAAGTCGAGGGCAACATAGCACAGTTTCTCCTTTATGTCCCTGGTGATATTTCGCTCTGCAGTGGTGGTGAAGGACTAACCACACTCAGTGAGAATCTTCATCATGTAATCAGTGAGATCGCGGCCACCAAGGTCCATCCTGAGAATAGCATGAGGAAGGGCGAAGCCTTCATAGATAGGTACAGTGTGGGTGACCCCATCACCAGAGTCCAAAACAATACCTGTGGTACGACCAGAAGCGAGCAGAGACAGAACTGCCTGGTTGGCCAAATACATAGCTGGAGTGTTGAAGGTCTCGAACATGATCTGGGTCATCTTTTCACGGTGGGCCTTGGGGTTGAGGGGAGCCTCTGTCAGGAGGACGGGGTGCTCCTCTGGAGCCACACGAAGCTCGTTGTAGAAGGTGTGATGCCAGATCTTCCCCATGTCGTCCCAGTTGGTGAGGATACCGTGCTCGATGGGATACTTCAGTGTAAGGATACCTCTCTTGGACTGAGCCTCGTCACCGACGTAGCTGTCTCTCTCTCCCATACCGACCATCACACCCTGTAAAAAATGAGACAACATTTTCTGTACCATTACCTCTTTTCTCCTACAAGATTTCTTATAAACGTCTCAGTAATACAAAACACCCAATATTTGGCCAGATTAGTTTTACACCTGTTTTAGCAATATTCACCCATGTAGATTTCCTCCTGTCCTGCACCCTGGAAAGAAATATATGTGGCTATATTGCAAGCTGTATTGCACCATTCATACTTTCTTGTCCATTATATAATATATTACTGTACGAACGGAAAAAAAACACCACATCTTTATCGGAACCATGTATATGCATAACATAGTGATGTAACATTATGACGATGATAGTATTCATCCTTATTCATAATGAATGATAAATGACAAAAATATATATCAATTTATCGCAAAATGTATTTGTGTATCTCTTTAGTTATTATCTGGGCACAGCATTTCATACACGTTTAACAGGTCGGAATAATTGTTGCATTATATAGCAAGTCCAATGGCAGTCGTTATCTATGTACACAGATTGTGGCAAAGACGACAATGTAATGTAAGTTACGTAATTGTTAATATGAAAGTCAGTACATCATTTCTTCTCTCTTTGAAGCCGAGAATAATGGTTTCTGCGTTTAATTCTAAATGGGTGTCTGTTTCATTTTCTATCCAATCTAGTAGATCTTGCCACAGCTTTTTGACATATTTGCATTCATATAGGAGATGAATGATCGATTCTATTTCAACATCACAAAATGTACGAAGTGGAGATTCTGTTAGTTTGTATTTGTATAAATCTTAATTTGTTGTGAGGATCCTATGGAGAATACTACATTGAAACTATCTGTTCCTAGCACTATAAGATGCTCGAAATGGTATAAAATTATGTGTTTTCCATAGATTAAGTGTGATATCTATAATCAGTTCATTTTCCCACTTACTTTGAAAAAGCAGTTTTAGGTTTATAATATACCTGTGGTGAAGAAGCCGGTTTTTAGCTTTAAGTAGACTACAAATTTGGAATATCAATTTTGAACGAACCCTGTTTCGAATAAAACTGCCTAACTGATATCTACCCAACAGAATTGTTAAATTGTCCTATGTCAACATGACACCAGCAGAATTAAGTGTAATACCTGGTGATGGGGACGACCCACGACGGAGGGGAAAACAGCTCTTGGGGCGTCGTCACCAGCGCCCCGGCTTTTCACATGCCGGAGCCGTTGTCGATAACCAACACAGCAACTTCGTCGTCACACATTTTGATAGAATAGTGTAGGAGCAAATACTGTTCCTTGTTGCACGCCGGCTGGGGACTGAATGACTCGACGTTCTCCACAGTTGTACTTATGTGCGCCGATCAAAGCACTTCTCGGGAGCCAACCACAGCTTCCTTATAAGGCAATATTATGCTACATATTGTGGAACGTGACAATAGCTGCAGAAGTCTTCCGGGTATGGGGCAAGGGTGGGGAAATAAGAAAGAAGAGGGTCTCGTCTCAATGATATCATGGTTCGATACAAGAGGGACGTTGCAGTGTCGGGAACGCAACTCATGATGTTGTGGTAGCATTACATTGTCTCTGTTAACCTTGGTTTGTAGTTTAACGCCGTACTCAGCAATATTCCAACTACGAGTATATGGCTGCCGTCTGGAACTAATGAAGTCTGGACCAGACAATCCAGAGATCAACAGGATTACCATCCATCTACGCAATTGGGATACGATGACATGTGTCAATCAAGTCAGCGAACTTGACCACCCGATCCCATTAGTCGCAAGCACAATTTGAGGAGAACCAATTCTAACTGGGCTTCTTCATTGGTCAATTGTAGTGTGACATACACACACGAACAGCAAGCATGTGTAATGACTCTGTAGAATCCAACCGTACCACACAAAATACAGTGACAGGGTAGCTAAGTAATCGCAACACATTATGCACAGAGGCAATTTACTAGAATCTGCTTGTCCTGTGTTTGAATCTACGATTGTCCTTATTCCTGGAATCACCATTCTCAGGACCCGTATCACTGTAGGTGTTCCTCACACAGCAGGCTGACATTTCCCGATCCTTGGCACGAAGATCTCGTGTCCGACCCATAGTTTCAAGTTTTGTGTGTTCTTTTGGCCTTATCATTTTACATGCACATGATATTTGTCACAACCAACTGTAATCTTGACTCGTCCTGAGGCTGCTAAAGTGTATGAGTTCTGATGGAGGCTTGACATTTCGTTTTGTATTTCCGTCAGTAAATATTCTTCATCCTCATACTGTGACAATACACAACTACACAGCAAGCCATCGTGCCAAGAAGACTCTCTGGGTTGATTGTCTGACAGTCAAGGACTGTATGTAACTTTAGACTAGACTAAGTACAATAAACGGGGAAACGCATACGTGATATTGATGTATTGATGTACGAAATTTCAAAATTTGCGTTTGATTGTTATAATTTGGCTATTTTTAGGCTGGTTTGTGTGCATGGATGAATGGACAGCGCAAAAACGATTCTTTGGAAACTTTAATGCAAGTTAACGTTTGAAAGCGTAAAACAACTTTCTCAAATATCTTGTCTCATCACCCATTCTAAATTCTTAAGTTACATACAGTTCACACGTGATATAATGACAAGGTCCCAGCTTGCAAATGATGAGCCTAATAGCTTACCGTTAATGGACACTTTTGTCAATTCATCTGAGGCAAACACCTTTCCCGTTCGCGAACACCTGGTGGCATCAATGATTTACAGTGATCGATTCCTATAATTATTACCGCTATTTTACATTTTCCCCAAATTGGGGAAACATTGTTTCGGTGGGAAATTCGTTATTCGTAACATCATGTTTTATGCCTATTTTTTTGTGTTGTTAATGCTAAAACAACAACGGGTGATACACGACACCGAGAAATATTTTTCGTAGGCCTTATGTCTGAGTTCTGTTTGAAACGCATGTTTCATATTGGCTGAGCCACAAATTGCAGCGGGAGGAAACAATAGTTAAAATTATAACAATCAAATTTTACATAGGTTTTGGTGATATGAAAAAATACATCTAGCAAATTAACACTGGAATATCCCAGTGAATGATAATTGGGTCACACTTGAAAGACTTCAGCTTTTTGAGGGGAGGTGGGGTAGCCACCGAAGCGTTCACTCGTTGCGCCGAAGATCCGGGTTCGATTCCCCACATGAGTGACGCCGGTTTCTGGTGTCCCCCTCTTGCTAAAATCGGCGTAAAACTAAATTCACTTACTCAGCATCATGATACATGATGTGCACGAGGTTCTTGATAATGTTTGTTTGGGTGCATGTCGATAGAATCTTTGAACGTCATTATCAGAGAGGACTACAGCTTTGGCAACTAAGGATTGAGTCACTGAATGCACGTATGGCCCATCAGCATCAAAGATGATAGCAGATGCATACGTTTGCTGGAATGTGGGCGACAATACGTCACTTTGCAAACGTCTCTGGGGTCAGCCAAAGTGTGATCTGCAGGACACTGAGTCAGTACCAGATGTTTGGATCAGCTATCCAGTGAGACACATATGGTGGGCAGCCATCCACCAAACAACAGCAAGGCAGGCGTCTCCAGACTGCAGAAAGACTTCTTCACTTTGTGGTCCCTAGTATGGTGATCTTCCTTCGGTTGTTGGCAATCCATAGCCTGGTTTTGTATCGTTTTGTTCTCTTTAAAAGTATCGTTTTATGACATGCTACTTTTACTTAAATATCTGTGATACACTGGTAGTTGTACTGTTCTTCGTCAACAGGCTTTTAATTTCTACTTTTATTGTTCTGTAATGCAATAATTAATTGTTCTCGTCACGATATGGCGGAAATATTGCGGATTTGACGATAAATATTAACTCACTCACACTCATCATTGTGACTGTCACTACAGTCAGGCTTTGTGAAACCCTGGATGCAACGAGATGATTTGTTGGAGAATACACACTTATCAATGTTATATTATTGACAAGGTTATCTTTGGTGTTGATGGTGGTTCGCCCTCCTCTTAGAAAACGTTTCCAATAAAGCTTAGTTTGACATCTGGTATTAATAAACCTTTATCTGGCTAAAAACGAAGTGTCCACTCCTCTATATAGCCGAATTATGGAAAGAAGTTTAACTTAGACCAGGTTTAAGGCTAGTCTGGGTTTTGGTAAACACAGACCCCGGGTCTAAAATAAACGGTATTATAGAAAGCAGGTCTGGCAAAACCCTTGGTTTAAACCTAGACTAGGGGTTTAATGTTTTTCCGCTTTAAAAATGTTTCAAACATTATATTAAACCGTTTTCGCGCATAACCCAATCGAACATTCGTGGGACGAGCTGGAGAGACGACTACGACAGCAACAACCCCATCCACACACTGAAGGTAGATCACCATACTAGGGATCACAAAGTGATGAAGTCTTTCTGCAGTCTGGAGACGTCTGCCTTGCCGTTGTTTGGTGGAAGGCTGCCCGTAGCTGATGTTATTATTGCATTATCATTATCTTTGATTGCGTCCATGGGAAGAAGGTAACCTTCACCTGACACAGGCTTGGTTTAATATCACCAAAAGATGCTTTTGTGCTTTCCAATGAGTAGAGAGAGACAGAGAGAGAGAGAGAGTGAGTGTGTGTGTGTGTGTGTGTGTGTGTGTGCGTGCGCGCGTGCGCGATTATCCTGTATGTGAATAGAGTTCACGAGCTAGTTGTGTAGTCATCCCTTGTGGGACCAATGACTAATGGTATGCGTCGGATGCCCCCCCCCCCCATGTCTTACTAATCACCACGATGTGGTGTGACTATATCAATCGAGGTGATGGACAAGCGAGGCACTTGATAACCAATAAACTGCCTTGAGCGCTTGGTTGTGTATTTAATGATGTTTTCTTATTTTAAAAGAATTACCCTCTAGTGCAGGTACATTTATGCAGTCACTTTAATGAAAGCTTGCACAGCTTGAACGAGACGTACACACCTTGTGAGTCTTCATTTTAACCTAGTTCAACTATTTCAACTATGATAAGGAATTGATTTAGAACTATTTAGATGATACATTGTGGGACTTGTACCAGCTGTTTTTGTGGTCTTGTCCTTAAGTATTGTCAATATTTAAACATGGCAGTTACACTTAAAATGGCATTTTAGGCCATTAAACTCATTTCTGAATAGATTGCTATGGATTTTGGCATGTGCTTTTTAAAATAAGACATACATCTGTGTGTGAGATATGACCAGAAACAAACCACCTACTGCCCTCGATTCTGTTCCACACAAGGAATGCCTGTCAGGGAATATACAGTCATGTCTGTTTGTATGCCACTACATGACTGGGTTATGGATTTTCCCATGCTGGAATCTAAGTATGTGCTTTTCCGAATCAGAAATAGTTTTGTCTGTGAGACATAACCCCAAACAAACTATCTCCTGCCCTCGATCCTTAGAAGAAGATGATGATGATGATGATGATGATGATGATGATGATGATGATGATGATGATGATGATGATGATGATGATGATGATGATGAAGATAATGAAGAAGAAGAAGAGAAGAAGAGGAAGAAGAGGTTAAGTCAGTATAAAAGTCACAGGTCCAAGTACATTCCATAACAAACAATAAATACATACAGAGTGGTGGTGGTATGAAAGTTGTTCAGATGAAGGGTACACTATCATAATAGTGAGGAATAATAGATAAAGCTTCTCTGAAATATTTTGAACGCTTAATTAAGGTCATCGAATCTTCAAAATTGAGTTTAGACAAAAGAGTGCCTTTTGTTTTAAACTGTATGTATGGAAACATTTCTCTCTCTAACGTGCGTTTAGCATATTTCGATGTGCTTGCAATAAACATGGTTCCAAGGAGAAAGACGACTTTAAGGCTGCATACAAATCTAAACTCGAATGATCACTGATACTATAAACCACGTTTGGATGTACCAAACTTTAGTTCTTTTGAAAAGTCACCGATCCTTATCTCCTACTACTTGGGGGCGGTGGGGTAGCCTAATGGTTAAAGCGTCGGCTCGTGCACTGGCGTCTTGGGTCCATTGAAGTCCATTTATGGTGTCCCCCGCCGTGATATTGCTGGAATATTGCTAAAAGCGGCGCGTAAAACTCAACTCACTCACTCACACCTACACCTTGATTTTCCCAAACATTACAAAACAATTATGATTAAAGTACTTTCTTAATATGTGAGGGTTTTTTACCATGCTGGAATCTAAGTATGTGGCTTTCTGAATGAGAAGAAATTCACCAACTATGAGAAGAAATTTAATACTGATGGTCCAAATTGCCATGGCTCCCACTGCCGAATCTATGAATACACAGTGCCAATTAAAAAGCATCGTTGGCTGAGTGGGTTAGATCGCTGACTGTGTGTGCTGGCGACTAGGTGCCTTACTCTGAGAGAGTGGGGTCGAATCCCGGGTGGGATTTATTGCAAAAATGTACTAGAATCTGCACTTTATTGAGACGGTGTGATTCCAAATATAACATATGTTGCAGCAGTGATTATAGGAATAATGACAGTGATGGTAATCTTCACCCTTCAGCATCAGGAACCCTACTGACAACTATGTATAGTAATCTAGGGTATAACAATTATAACATACAATGCTGGACTTCTTGTAACGTCAGAGGTAATGTGGGATGAGCGGCAAGGGTTAACTCCCCTTATATACCTTCGAACATGATGCTAGAAAATTACACAATTTCTCTCTTAGCCTAATGATTCTAGAAGAAGCTAAGAATAAGGCATAATATATTACACTTGGAACATTGTTACATGTGAATAACTGCCACATAATACGTGGACCTTCACATCAGCCAACAAAAAAGGCAGTTATAAAACAATAGTTAGGTTCGGGATTTGCTACGGGAAACACAGTCCTAGGTTCAAATAAGTGAATGATTTTGGTTAAACGTTCAATATCACAGATCACGAGTCAGCTTAGCAGAGGAAAATAGCCCCGAAGTGATGTGAGTAGTTGCTACTGCTTGATCCATAACATTGTGATGTAAACCTATGGCGAATCTGAGATTCGAACCTAGTTCTCACATACAAGTGCCCTATCGAAAACAATTAAGATAACACACTATATATCCATCTCACATATTCGGTATAAAATAACATTACAGAAGAATTAAGCTTCGTACATAATTGTCATAGTCACAGCCTGTTCAAAAACAACAACGATGAACTAGAGATGGTCCATATTCATCGTACATATCCTTCGTCATCACAGCATTCATGAAAGAGGGCAGGGCCGCCCTCATAGAGCCCCCCACCCATGCTGACAAGATTCCATGCGGAGGTGCTCTCACGTTGACGGAAGTTCCAGCAGGTGCTAACATTTCTACCTCTTTCCGGAGGCGGTCAGAGAATCCTGGGAAAAGTGTCGACCCCCCACACAAGACGATATTGTCATACAGCTGATCACGAATGGAGCTATCACACAGCTGTATGGAACGACACAAAATATCCTGTACACCCGGCATTTCCTCACCCAGCAATGGAGGATTAAATATCCCCTCGGGGCACTTGAAGCGTTCCTCGCCCACATTGATGAAGGCCCCATCTAACTGTACATAGGTTTTGTCTAAGGTTGACTTGGTCATCGTGTTCAGCTCGTGTTTGTAGTCATAGGCCACGTAGCACAGTGTCTCTTTAATGTCCCTGACGACGGCATAGTTGACATCGTCGCCTTTTTCGATAAGCAGTTTTATCAGGTAATCTGTTAAATCTCGTCCCGATACTGTCGTCTTACAAACAGCGTGTGGCAAATAATACCCGTCATACATGGGAATTAAATGTGTTGTACCATCACCGGAATCCAGAACAATACCCGTCTTACGGCCAGATGAAGTCAGGGTCAGAACAGCCTGGATGGCCACAGACATAGCGGGAGTGTTGAAGGTCTCGAACATGATCTGGGTCATCTTTTCACGGTTGGCCTTGGGGTTGAGGGGAGCCTCTGTCAGGAGGACGGGGTGCTCCTCTGGAGTCACACGAAGCTCGTTGTAGAAGGTGTGATGCCAGATCTTCTCCATGTCGTCCCAGTTGGTGACGATACCGTGCTCAATAGGGTACCTGAGGGTGAGGACACCTTTTATGGTCTGAGCCTCGTCACCGACGTAGCTGTCTTTCTTTCCCACACCGACGATCACACCCTGTAAGGCAGATTGTCAGCATTGTGTATATACATATGCCAGTAGATATCGTGTAACTAGCAGTCAGTATATTCATCCATGGTTACAATGTGTAACAGTTGTACACGACTTAGGTATGAGTCGACACAAACAATGTGTCTGTATACAGCATCAACAAACGACCAAGTATTAATATAAGCACCACTCTCTATTATGAAACACTCATGTTAACAACATAACAAGTTCTACTCGTCAGTTATAATGGTTTACAATTGTCAAACAGCCTAGTCCCTTCCCTTGATTTAACCCGGGTGAGAAAGTATTTGCCACTTGTGCTGAAAATAGGACAAGTGAAACTGCTTTACCCATGTCGTATTTAGACCTATGCATAAAGATTTAAAGAAAGTGAGACAAGAGGGGTAACTTCAAATTTCCCCTTGATGTCGGGTATTAAGGCTGCACCAATCGTTGGTGTCCACATTTAACTTTTAAAGTACTTTCAAGCATGCTCTTTCTATGAATATTTCTAAGAGCGCTATTGGACTTGTACTCAAATATCATCATTGTTACGGCATCCGAGTGGGTGGCATACGTCGGTGGAGCAGCAAATTCAATGTAATGCATTTACTTAGATTTTGGCCAATGGGTGGGGGCATGGGTGGAAAATAATGACCTGACAGAAAGTGTTATGGTTCCCTTTATAGTATATATATTCATTTCAACCAGACTTGACTGCTGTGTGAAACAATAACCAAAAAGAACATAGGTATACATCCACATCACATAGGGCCGTGATTATGAAGGTAGAATTGTCTATGGACGATAGAAAATTCCCCACCTCAGTATGTCCGAATACTTTCTAAATTACAAAATGTCCTTGTCAAGATACCCTGCGTCCTAGTTGCGAGTGTCGTAATCCATTCATGTAATCGTAATCGTGGTTTCAATATGACAGTTCCAGAAGCAAATATGAACATGAAACCCAGTTTGATGACGCATCGTAAACTCATGTAGTCACTTCCAGGACTTTTAATTTGTTCTTTTCAAGTAAGGACCATTCAGCGACTAAGCATTAGTATACAGCTGAAACTCCAGCACAAGTGCTCTTCGGGGATTCAGGGAAAGAAATACTTTCCAACACAAGATTTCCAGCTCTAGGACTTTTGACTGGCTGACTGTTGGATATCGTGATGTTGATTATTCTAACGACCGCCGCTTTTCTTAGACCACAGTCGACAGTTCGACTATAGCTGACTACCACATAAAACAACGAACAGTTTTGCTAACGCTCCCTACGTTGTCTTAATATAGAAGGGCTACGCCGGACCAGTCTCGATTATCCGACAAATCATGTCCTTTTGATCATAAAAATACAAATAACCATACAATCCATGTCAGATCGCTGAAAAATAAGTGATAAAGTCGATGTTCGCAATAAGAGCATAAAGTTCTGCCCTAAAAACAAAACAAGTTACAAGAACCAAAAGAAACTGTTGGTCTCAGACCTGTCCCCTGGGTCTGCCAACAATGGTCGGGAAGACACACAACGGCTGGGCGGCCCCGGCAAACCCTGCCCTGCTTGTGCTCGAACCGTTGTCAATGACAATAGGGGTAGATAGTTCATCCATTGTCCTAGAAAAAAACAAACACGCACAACTGATCATGTATGTGACACAAACTGGCCATCCTAAAATGTTCTAATAACCATCCCGTAACTCCCTTAACATCTTGCACTAACTCCCTTTAAAACATGATGCACTGACTCCCTTAACATCCTGCACTAACTCCCCTAACATCTTGCACTAACTCCCTTAACACTCTGTACTAACTACCTTCAAATCTTGCACTAACTCCCTTCACATCTCCCACTCACTCCCTTCACATCTTGCACTAACTCCCTTTAAAACATGATGCACTGACTCCCCTAACATCTTGCAATAACTACATTAACTTCTTGCACTAACTCCCATAACATCTTGCATCAACTTCCTTAACACCCTTCACTGACTCCCTAAACATCTCCCACTAACTCCCATAACATTTTGCACTAACTCCCATAACGTTTTGCACTGACTACATTAACATGTTGCACTAACTCCCATAACATCTTGCATTGACTGCCTTAACATCCTGTACTAACTCCCTTCACATCTCCCACTCACTCCCTTCACATCTTGCACTAACTCCCTTGAAAAACATGATGCACTGACTCCCCTAACATCTTGCACTGACTACATTAACATGTTGCACTAACTCCCATAACATGTTGCATTAACTCCCTTAATATCTTGCATCAACTTCCTTAACATCCTTCACTAACATGTTGCAGTAACCCCCTTAACATCCTGTACTAACTGCCTTCACATCTTGCACTAACTCCCTTCACATCTCCCACTCACTCCCTTCACATCTTGCATGGGCTCCGACAACATCTTGCACTCACTCCAACAACATCTTGCAACTCCCACATCATCTTGCTCTAACTCCCTTAACATCATGCACTAACTCCTATATCATCTTGCACTAACTCCCATATCATCTTGCACTGACTCCCTTAACATCTTGCACTAACTTCCATATCATCTTGCACTAACTCCCATATAGCCTTGCACTAACTCCCTTCACATCTTGCACTAACTACCTTCACATCTCCCACTCACTCCCTTTACATCTTGCACTAACTACTTCACATCTTGCACTCACTCACAGCTTGCACTAACTCCCCACACATCCTGCACAAACTTCTTTAACATCCTGCACTAACTCCAATAACATCCTGCACTGACTCCCTTCACATCTTGCACTAACTCCTTCACATCTTGCATGGACTCCAATAACATCTTGCTCTAACCCCCTTAAGATCTTGCACTAACTCTAATATCATATTGCACTAACTCCCATTTCATCTTGCACTAACTCCCTTAACATATTGCACTAACTCCTATATCATCTTGCACTAACTCCCATATCATCTTGCACTAACTCCTTCACATCTTGCACTGACTCCTTCACGTCTTGCACTAACTCCCTCCACATCTTGCATTAACTCCTTCACATCTTGCATTAAATCGATTCACATCTTGCACTAACTCCTTCACATCTTGCACTAACTCCCTTCACATTTTGCACTAACTCACATCTTGCTCTAACTCCCTTCACATCCTGCACTTTCTCACATTTTTCACTAACTCCCTTCACATCTTGCACTACTCCATTCACATCTTACATTAACTCCTTCACATCTTGCTCTAACTCACATCTTGCTCTAACTCCCTTCACATCCTGCACTTTCTCACATTTTTCACTAACTCCCTTCACATCTTGCACTAACTCACATCTTGCTCTAACTCCCTTCACATTTTGCACTAACTCCCTTCACATTTTGCACTAACTCACATCTTGCACTAACTCCCTTCACATCTTGCACTAGTTAACTCACATTTTGTACCAACTCCCATAAACATCGCACTAACTGCCTTAACTTCTTGCAAAAACTCTCTTAACATATTGTCATATCTCCCCTAAAATATTTTACTGACTTCACGACAATGTTGCACTAATGTACATATTGCACTCACTTCCCTTACATGTTTGCAATATTTCCTCGGCACGTTATACTGACATGTTGTAACAGTTCCTCAACGTGTTACCTAAATTCGTGGATCACCTTCTTTCGTGGATCGCGGCAATTATCGTTTTATCTCGGAAACTAAGTCTCGCATGACTTCATGAAGGTGTACTTCACATACTGCCACGCCTCGCTGACAACATAACAACTTGCCAGTCCATTCACCACTGAGTGGGAGGCCTACGGCTGTGTACATGTAACCGTAGATGTAATTTGACGTATGAGCATGGCCTCCCGCGGGGATGTAGCTACGATGATGTATGTAATATCGCCATAAGAATGAAACCCAAATAACTTGATTGAAAAAGCGCCGAAATACCACTGCATAAAAAACATTCAAAGTAGAAATAAGTCATCAAATGCAACATTAAAGTATGTCATGTAAGGGAGGCAACTCTGACATACACATACCCAACACCTCCCACCGTGTATACCAGATATATGAATCCAGTGAATGACTGTGTAACACTTGTAACTGCCCTGATATCAACATATTACTCTTAGAACATACCTGACTTCAGTTTCAGCAAGAGTACTCTACAGAACACGACCCCAACACCAGCCTGCCCGCGGACAGTGACTTGTCACTCTCTTCCTGTGATGGTCCAGCGGAGCGTGAATACCACGCCCGGCTTTTAGAAGATTGTATGAACGCTTCTAGTGGTTTGACAAATGTTTCTGTTGACTATTGATATAAAATATTACCGCCCACCTGTGTCTACATTTGTACATTTCTATAATACAAGAAAGATTACTTCACATACAGTATCTGTCTCAAGTAATTCTTATTCTCCTTAATCCAATTCAGCCACTCAGCTAATATCTTATTGGCATGGCAACTTTTTCCATAGCCCTGTAGACCAATCTGGTTCCCTGGGTATGTTGCGCTGGCGCTTCACTAACCCCTGGTAAGGACTACACAATGGCGGCCTTCACTTCTGCGTGACAGGCAGTTAATTAACTACAGAAAAGTCCATGAAACTGGTGGTTAGAATATTTACTTGGCAGTTTCATCGATGCTGTAGCAAAGTATACCTGACCAGAATTACAACCATCGTCACTGTAAGAGAAGGAATAAGTTATTCAGCTGGTTGGTTTCGGGATCAGCAATTCCACCATGGGAACATCCATAACGATACAAACAGAAATGACGGGTTAATGGCCTAAAATGGCATTTTAAGTGTGGCTGACGTGTTTCAAAATTGACAATATTTAAATACACCACAGCTGGGACAAGTCCCACAATGTATCAGTTAAATAATTCTAAATCAATTCCTTGTGACAGTTCAAATGTCAAGTGGGGCGGTGGTGCAACTTAGTGGTAAAGCGTTCGCTCGTCACGCCAAAGACAATGTGCGAAGCCCATTTCTGGAGTCCCCCATCCCCATATTGCAAAAAAGCGGCATAAAACTAAACTCACTCACTCACTCAAATATCAAGTTTGTCGACAACTAGATTAAAATGGAGACTCACCAGGTACTAAGGGATGCATTTCGTTGAAACTGTAAAAGCTTTCATCGATTAAGAAAACATCATTACCGAGGGCACCAGGTGTCTCACTTGTCCAGCACCTGAACTGTTTCAGGTTCAAATTCACCACATCATGGTGATTAGTAATACAACAGAGAATGAAGTGGGCATAAGTGAGTCATCATTAGTGAAATTTCCATAGACTTGCATGTTAATTAACTGTTGAAAGAATAATTTAGTAAATTGAGTAGAAGTCATTTTATTTTGATATTTTGCAAACATCTTGGAAATCATCTTCAGATACGTGTAGATAATAAATATTCATCTTTCCGTTGATTAGTTATCGAATGACACCTGATTAAGCACCATTTATAAGTACAACTTTTAATTTATCCCATAGGCAGCCATGTTGAACCTGATTGGGAATGTCTAATACATGTTGTTTAAATAGTTGCTGTTTTCTTAATAATAATCGGAGAATTGAATGGAAATTATGTGTATGTAGCGGAGACGATTTCCCAGCTGGTAGATAAGTATTGAAAGCAATTCGACCGAAACTAAATTTATAAAAAATATTCTTGCAACAGTTAATTAACATGCAATCTCTACCGGAATTTCACCAATGATGACTCACTTATGGCCAACTACTGTAGTCTTCAGTTGAACCAAGCCTGTGTTCACAGTGGCAGGTGAAGTTTACAAGGACATGGTCACCTGCTGCCAATAACGTGTATGTCCACCCCTAGTATCTAGACCCCTGGCACCTTCTTCCCAAGGACGCAATCAAAGATAATGGTAATGCAATGGTAACACTAGCTACGGAGAGTGTGTGGATGGGGTTGTCGCTGTCGTCTCTCCAACTCTTCTGACGAATGTTCAAATGGGTTCAAATCTGGAAATCTGGAGGGCTAAGAGAGGACGTCAACGTTGTGTAGGTATGCAGCCGTTACACGTAAGGCCTGTCGTTGTCGTGCAGGACTACAGCGTTGGCGTTGGATATGACGGGGATGACGTGTTGCCCTGACAATGAGTCACTGGCCCTGGCTTTGTGAGAGATGGCAGCACACACCATCACACTGACACCTACAAATCTGTCTGATACTTCGATGCGACATCTTCCATTATCACAACACAGCAGAAATACATATCCGCTGATGTACAGTTTCTTCCCAATTTATGGAGAAGTGGATTCTTCGGGGTTTTTTAAAGATAGACGTTCATAATAAGGACCAAATGTCAATCTGCCGTTCACTGGAAACGTTTCCAAAGAGGATGACCAACCACGATCAACACCAAAGATAACCTTGTCACTAACATAACGTTGAGAAGTGTGTGCAGGCCAACAAATCACCTCGAGGAGTGGCATCCAAGTCTTAACAAGGCCTCACTGTAGTAACAGCAACGAAGTGATGAAGTCTTTCTGCAGTCTGGAGACGCCTGTCTTGCAGCTGTTTGGTGGAAGGCTGTCCACCATATATCACTGGGCATCTGACCTAAACCTCCTGTATCGATTCAGTGTCGTGCCGATCACAACTTGACTGACCCCAGAGAATTTTGCAACGTTATGAAGTGTTGACCCATTTTCAAACAAACGTAGTGTTGGATGTTTTTGTGGGATTTTATATAAAAACTTGAACTTATTAAACATTTCAGTGATAAAAGTTTAACTATTGTTCCCTCCTGCTGAAATTTGTAGCTCGACCAATCTGATGCATGCGTTTCATATACAATCCAGTCATAAGACATAAAAAATATTATTCAGCGTGTTTATCACCAGATGATGTTTTTGCATTAAAAATAGACATAAAATATAATAAGTTGAGAATAACGAAAAATGCAAACAAGCGGTGATCGATCACTGCAAATCATTGATGACACCAGGTGTTCGCGGAACTGCAACGTGTTTGCCGCAGACGAATTGACAAAAATGTCCATAAACGGTAAGCTGTTAGACATCTCGTTTGCAAACATCGGCTGTTTCAGAATATCACGTGTAAACTGTATATAACTTTAGAATAGACTTAAATTCCAACCCATCCCTGAATATAAGGGGGCGAAGCGCGTCAAATACCTGGAACATATTGTAACCCCTATTGGGGAAAAGTGACAATTCTTTATTGTTTGAAGGAAGATTTCGCCATGATTGTTTATTATTTTATGCTTTTTCACATATTCATATTTGATAATGTCGTTCTACGCAAAGTGGGGAAACCACTTGTAATGGCATCTCACGTCTCTCAAACACTGCATGCTAGAAATGCTGGTCTCATAACCCAGTCCCATATGACGTCACGAGAGCACAGCTCCTTTCCCGCTGCTTAAAACGGCAGAATCACGGTGGAAATTTCGAATTTTGCTTACCGCAGGGGGTAAGGGGAAGGAAAACTGTTTTTATAACAGCTGGTACAAGGTTACCATATAATGCAGTTTTATCCTCGAAGGTCACACCAACATTGTAACGACAGATCTTAACATCTGTCATAGCGACTAATTCAGGGCGGCCATTGTCCAAATATTTAAAAAGTCCCAAAACTATGTAGTCAAGACACCTTTTGAACTTCCTTTTGACCGGTAGGTTATAAACAATGCAAAACAAACAAATCTCTGAATAATCATTGATTTCTTCTTCCCGACTTTTCCACCTTGCACCACAATACCCCTCCTGTATCGAACCATGATATCATTGAGACGAGTACCGTCTCCTTTCCTATTTCCCCACTGGTGTGGAAGAGTCTGTGGTTCTTTGGGATTTCATAAATTGTTGGACCCAACAACTCCTTGGACTGTTTTATGCAGCACAAGCGATTTGTTTATGATGGTTTCTTAAACTCTGGTGTGACGAACAGTTCATGCGCATTCATTTCAGCATGATGCAATAGCAGATCTGTCTCATCTCCGACTGGAACCGTGACTCTTGTTTTGGCAGAAGAAACGGCTGTTTCAACGATGGGGACATCCACATCATGTTTAGCATGATCAGTGCTGCAACCAGCTCTCTCTAGTGCGTCACTGAGGTAATTGTTGAGGAATTCTTCCTTCTTGGACTGGATGATCATTTCACCGGTGAAGTGTACTGTCACACTTAGGCAAGCGCCTGCTCTTCGCAGTTTTGTGACATCTTTAGTTGTGGGTTCTTGTGTAAGACCATCAAAGACAATAGCGGCAGCAACATACTTCTTTGTCACGTATGTAGCATGCATGTCGACATATGTGGACCCTCTTGGCCACGGTGGAGACGATGGAGTGTATGCGAACGTTATATGACGCACATGTCATGTTTTAATGCCATAAATGTGGGAATCTTTCGATTTTTTTGCGTCCATTTTGGATATTTTGGAATTAATTATTAAGCAAATCATGTTACAACATATATTACGTGAATCCTTGCAGCCAAAAACTCCAGTTTCAAAACTTAAATCATTCAAATGTATCTTCTGACTGCAGATATATTATTAATTATTGATATTTGGAGGCCATATTGGATTTATGCAATTTTAACAAATTTCCTACGCTGGGATTCCTTAGGACTTTTGGTATAGTCTTCTAGGGACCTCATAGAAATTCACTTTTTTTTGGAAACATTTCTGTTACAATTTGTTACAAGTTGAGTGCTAAATTGGCCTAAAATGCCTGGACAATTATAAGGAAGCTGTGGTTGGCTCCCGAGAAGTGCTTTGATCGGCGCACATAAATACAGCTGTGGAGGACGCAGTCATTCAGTCCCCAGCCGGCGTGCAACAAGGAACGATACTTGCTTCTACACTATTCTATCAAAATGTGTGAAGACGAAGTTGCTGCGTTGGTTTTCGACAACGGCTCCGGCACTGTAAAGGCCGGGTTCGCCAGTGATGATGCCCCAAGAGCTGTTTTCCCCTCCGTCGTGGGTCATCATCAGGTATTACACTTAATTCTGCTAGTGTCATGTTGACATAGGACAATTTAACAAGTTTGTTGGGAAGATATGAGTTAGGCAATTTTATTAAAAACAGGGTTCGTTCAAAACTGATATTCAAAAAGATTTACATCTGACAGACAGACGGATTCTTATTTATATAAGTGGCCTTGAGGCCAATAGTACATGTGTAAAATTATAACAGTGAATTTATGCGCAACCTGTAAATTTGCGAATTATAGGAACATCTATAAATCAGTAAATACCCATTTACCGTCTTGAAATAGATTACAAAATGGACATTGGGTATCTATTACATTTACAGTTTTCGTAAATCGTGCCGCTTGAACTTTGAAGTTGTGAGCGTTACATCTAAATTTAGTAAGAGTACGTTTACGTTGTGCTCATTTAATCTCAGAAAGATAAACCTCTGTATTAATGCAATCTTTATATTCTGAATAGAAGCTGACACAAGTTGATAACGTTATTTCATTATACCAGTCTTCTTGATAATGTCTTTGTATCTGCTAGAATACGTCACGGCGAATGAAATGTTACGTATTGCTTACATTCTAAGCGAGCCACACATTTCCAAAGCCATGACTAAAAAGAATAGTTCTAATGAAGGAAACCCAGTTAGTATCTCCAGTATCATCTAATGTTTTAAGCATTTCATAACTACATGTACTTCTTGAACATCGTGAAATTGGCTGTGTCATCGATCTTAACCAGTACGAAATTACCCGACATCGGGCGTTAATGAATGGTTGAAAACGTGCACATTCAGATAAAATAACCTTGTTCGCAGTTCTGTAGCCAACACGTAACAAATACTTACAGAACTTTGAATTTACGTTTTCAATATTCTGGTTTATGTTAATGCCCCATATTTCAGAACCGTACAACAGAATTGGTTGAATTTTTTCCATCAAACAGCTTAAATGATGCATGGATCGGTAATTCTGTATATTTACTTATGAATTGCTTTATAACATGCTGAGCTCGTTCAACTTGCATAGCTAATGTTTCACAGGCTCTGGAAAATATATTTCAGCAAGAAAATGTAAGATTATATTTTCCTAAACATTTGTAATATGATACCACCTCCAATACTTGGCCATTAAGGAACCATTTTTCACTATTAGAAATTCTACCACCATTTTAAAATACTATTACTTTAATTTTACTGATATCTGTGTGCAAACCCCATTTCAAACAATATCCATTTTGAGTAGCTATCTTGCATTGTAACTGGACAATTGAATTGGCAAAAAGCACAACATCATCTACAAATAACAATAATGAAAGGTCTCTGACATTTTTGTTAATTAATACACCTCTCGAATGATTCGATAACATTTCCGTTAAGGAAGTTCTTCAACATATAATAAGAAAAGTACAGGGGGTAGAATGCAACCTTGTCTCACTCCGGCACTGTCACACATGTATCAAATACATCACTCATTTGGAATTTACTGGTTCTAAAAGATGCTCTCACATTGGAGTTGGACGTTGGAGTTTGCCATGTATACCTGACTGTAGTAAGTCATATAACAGTTTGAATCTATTAACGGAATCAAACGCTTCCTTAAAGTTTACCAATAGACACTAAAACGTCTTCCACAGATACTTATGGATATTGCTACTGAGAGTAAGTATATGGTCAGTAGTAGAGTATTCTTCTCGAAATCCCTCTTGGCACTTTGATAAAGTTCACGAGTGGATATTTCAAGATTAATGCGATTATCTATTATAGTGGAATGTAATTTATAGTAAAAAATGAAAATATGATTGGTGACAGCTTTCAATATATGTGTAAAAAATAATAAATCATGTGACACCAAAATATATTTTTCTTTCAAGACTGCGGGACAGAAGGAAATCTTCGTTGGCGAGGAGGCTAAGTACAAGAGAGGTATCCTCACCCTCAAGTACCCCATTGAGCACGGTATCGTCACCAACTGGGACGACATGGAGAAGATCTGGCATCACACCTTCTACAACGAGCTTCGTGTGGCTCCAGAGGAGCACCCCGTCCTCCTGACAGAGGCTCCCCTCAACCCTAAGGCCAACCGTGAAAAGATGACCCAGATCATGTTCGAGACCTTCAACTCTCCAGCTATGTATGTGGCCACACAGGCTGTTCTGTCTCTGTACGCCTCTGGTCGTACCACGGGTATTGTTTTGGACTCTGGTGATGGTGTGACCCACACTGTTCCCATCAGTGAAGGCTACGCCCTTCCTCATGCCATTATCAGGTTGGACCTTGCTGGTCGTGATCTAACTGATTACCTTACGAAGATCCTGACTGAGCGTGGCTACTCCATCACCACCACTGAAGAACGAGAAATCGTCAGGGACATCAAGGAAAAACTGTGCTATGTTGCACTTGACTATGAACAGGAAATGCAGAAGGCTGCGTTTTCCTCTTCATTGGAGAAGAGCTACGAGCTTCCCGACGGTCAGGTCATTACTATTGGTAACGAGAGGTTCCGTTGTCCAGAGGCCCTCTACCAGCCATCCCTCATGGGTGTTGAATCAGCCGGTATCCACGCCACAATATACAACTCCATCATGAAGTGTGATGTTGATATCCGTAAAGATTTATATGCCAACACTATTCTCTCAGGAGGTAACAGCATGTTCCCAGGTATGGCTGACAGAATGCAGAAAGAGATCACAGCCCTCGCTCCACCAACAATGATGGTCAAGGTCATCGCTCCTCCAGAAAGAAAATACTCCGTCTGGATCGGTGGCTCCATTCTTGCCCCCCGTTTGACCTCCCAGCAGAAGTGGATCAGCAAGCAGGAGTACGATGAGTCCGGCCCATCCATTGTTCACAAAAAGTGTGTTTAGGAGCCGACACTGCATACGAGGTGACATTCAAGCGAACACATGCGGTCACTGAAATGGCCCCTATCAATTTCTGTTCTTCAAGTCGTTTCAACTGTTTTTTGTTTTGAAATGACAAAATACCTGGTGTTATGGGGCTCTCGGTAATGCTTTGAGCTTTTTAATATTTTCTCACATGTTGGCTTTCTCACTGGTAGTGATAACTTTCTTTGTGCCTATATATATGGAAGGAACTCTATAGTTTTACTCTGTTGGATCTATGGTATGGTTAGTTAGTCTACTGTATGGTTAGTTAGTCTACTGTATGGTTAGTTAGTCTACTGTATGGTTAGTTAGTCTACTGTATGGTTAGTTAGTCTACTGTATGGTTAGTTAGTCTACTGTATGGTTAGTTTGGAAAATGAGTATAGAGCGAGAGGCCCGGTTCGTGCAGTATTCACTGCAGCAGACTTGACGTAAACCTGTTGGCAGTATTCGAACCATTGATAGTGATATTGGGTAATTATGACGTTTTCGTTACGTATCTATATCTAAGCAACACAAAATGACTATGTGATTTCTGTTGGGTATTTTATACAGATAAACATTTTGTATGTAGCTCTGATTGCTATTAGTGGTGGTGTGTGGTCCTGTGCGTTGGGCTCAGGTAGCAAATCAGTTGAAGTTAAGCGACGTTGGGCGCGGAGAGTCCTTGGACGGATGACTGTGTTTGGCAACTCTGACAGATTCTAGGACTTCAGTCCTGCCCCACAACGAAGCACATGTGATACATGCGATCTCGCCTTGGGCAAGTGTGTTTGTTCAAAATTGCCTCTGTTCATCCAACAGAAAATGGGTACCCGGTGAAATAGGTCGTGATACTATTAACCTTCTTGCGCCTAACAGGCAGCTTGGGTTATCCGGGGTAATAAAGATCAGATTGTGCGCTTTGAGCAGGATATCTAGCCAGGAAAAGGCGCGTTATAAATGTTCTCAGTATTATTATTGCTTCCACGACTGAAACTGTGATAACTATGATTTTCACATCTTAGTTGTTTATCTCTTCTAAAGTGACAGCGGTAAATATTCTTGATCCCCATCTGATCCCGTTTGTGGCAAAGTAAGTACATGTCATCCAAATAAAATATTCACCTTAATGTGTTTTTGTTCATATTTGTTCATGATTGATAACTCAATATACAGGTATATAGGATGTCTTGTGAACATATTCACATAATAAAGCTCCTACACGTATATAAGAGGTTAAGCCTTCGGTGATTCATTTGTTTGACTGTTGGAGAGTGTAACAGTGATGGTCTCTCTGACTGTTGGAGAGTGTAACAGTGATTGCCTCTCTGACTGTTGGAGAGTGTAACAGTGATGGTCTCTCTGACTGTTGGAGAGTGTAACAGTGATGGTCTCTCTGGCATAACCATAGCCGATTGTGAGGCTGTGAGTGTATTATCTCTGACTGTTGAAGAATGCAGCAGTAATGGTCTCTCTGGCAGGGTCGTTGCCTGAACAGCACGCTGAGAGAGATCTGAGAAGTGGAATGAGATTTGACACATCTAACATACGAATGCCGGTACACATATCCAACATCTCCCACCGTGTATACCAGGATATATACACAAAGAACTTAATTAAGCACCCCCTCTATTTTGGCAATGATAGGTTTTCGACACATACATAAAACTTCCCGTGGTGACCACGATGGAAAAATATGAGTTTTTCTGATCCGTATGATCCTTTGGCTCAGATTGGAATCCATGTTGATTTTATGATGATAAATGCTCATTTTAAAAATTAAAAAAATTCCATACAAAAGCATGTCTGTACAAGTATGGCCCTAAATGTCATTTTGCGTGTCCTATACGATTCAAGGTCAGTACCGAGTCATTTTGCGTGTCCTACACCAGGGAACCAGGCTGGTAGTTTGGTCGTAGTGCCATGTTACCACGGTGTAGAACGGTCAACACAACGGTGCAGTAGGGGCAATTACGGTCCACTGGGGAAACTAGGGTCAATTGCGTTCAAACTACGGTAACAGTAAGGTCTTGGCATTCAAGTTAACCGCAGAGATATTTTGAACATGTTGAAAAAATTGTTTGTCTAAACACGGCCAAATCATGGGTTTGCTGAAGTTCAAAGTACGGTCAGAGCTACGGCGATCTACGTTGAACTACGCTTAAATACGTCTAACTACGTTTTACTACTGTCAAACACGGGTCCACTACGGTCTGCTAGGTTCATTCCCCACTACGGTCAACTACCTGCGAGTTCGTAAGATGTGGCCGCCGCTTTACTCCTTATATGGTAGGGAAGTTGTGCCTGCTTTCGAGAAACGTGTGAAAACATGACATACTGTGACATGACCTTTGTTGTGACGTCATCACAATGTCCGTCAACAGTGTAATCTGCATTACAAACATACTGTGTGTAGTTTACAGTCAAATCAATCTGAATCGATGATACGATGACATGTGTCCACCCAGTCAGCGAGCCTGACAACCCGATCCCGTTAGTCGCCTCTTACGACAAGCATGGGTTATTGAAGGTCCATTCTAACCCGGATCTTCACAGGTCTGATTGTGACATGAAGTAACATATGAAATGAAAGAAAGTGAAAAGGAGGGTTAATTGCAAGCTTATGGATGTATCAAAAGTGATTAAGAGTTATCTGATAGAACAATTTGAATGCCTACAACCAAAACTTAGACGTAGTTATCGGCCATGAAGCATAGTTTTCAAAAACTTTTGGATAATGTTATTTCATCAAATATTTTAGGAGTGTGAAGCTTTGAATGACCTTATCATTGAAATTTAGCTCTTTTCCTATACTGTATTCAACATTAGACACCAAATGATTTGTTTGGATTTCATATCAAATTACAAATTTAGTCCTCCACTAAGTATATGTAGTTAAACTACAATGGCGGCCATTTTGGCGGCCATTTTGAATTCTGGGTAATATGTAAACATTCCTAATAACATGCCGTCACTCTAGAAGTAAAGAGAAAACAAGTACAACTTGTTTTAGTAACAAAAATAATGTTAACTGCCATTAAATAAATCACTCTGACACATTTCCATGAAAAGTCTGAGAAATGCCAAAATACCCCTGTCTCAAAGAATAAGCTGTAAAACATTAAATTACCATGCTATGACCATACAAAATGACTTGTTTTGTGCCCAAGCCATCATTCTAGGAGAAACAAGTGTCAAAACACATCAAAAGTATCAACTTTGGATGTAAATGGAAACATTCGGTGTACATTTTTATGTAGATTTAAGTGCTGAGAAGGCAAAACACGACAAAACAAAATGGCGGCCATTTTGATTTTGTTTTCAAAACAAAATTATGTCAAATAATTTCTACATCCTTTAGCAGTACACAGAAGTCAAGATGAAAGTGATCAGATTGATAGTAGTAAAACTATTCATGATTAACTTTGAGGTGTTGTCGGGCAGCAAACCAAATGTGACGAAAATGCCCCCAGACCCCCACCACATATAATGGCCTGTAAAAAACAACTGATACCACAATCTGAGAGTATTACAGGCCTTTTCATGAGTCCAAGACATCATACTAACTGAAAATAGTGTCAAACAAAATCAGTCCTGGGGAGGCTACGATTTGAAATTTTTCAGCTGCCTCCTCCTGGACTAATAGATCAAATCGGCAATAACTGTATATTTCACTTTCTATCTATGGTATGCTATTTACGTCGTATTGCATGGTAGCAAAATCAGTACTGGGGAGGCTACGAAATCCTATTTCTAGGCCCCTTTTGAGATTCTCCTCCTGGACTATATTGCGATTTATATGGTATAGTAATAAGGCTAACTTGTACAGTAGTTGCACGCCATCCGTTGTTAAAACAGCAATAATCTTTTCTTTTGATGGTTGTCTACATAGATATAAAGGTAAGTATTTATATCTTAAACATGAATATTGAGGGCATTCTAAAAGTATATGGTATTCATCCTCTGTGAGGTAACAATGATCACAAGTGGTAATTTGATCATACGGGTGTTTAGAAAACCTTGCAGTTTTCATCTTAAAATCATGGCCATTACATCTGAACATAGTTACAATTCTGCGTAGATGGTTAGATATTAGAGAAGATAGATATAATTCAGGTTTGATAAAGGTTTGATAAAGGATTTTGATTAAGCATAATAACTAATACTACTTGAAGAACGGACGTCATGGAACCATTCCTGCTGGTATATATCTTTATATCGTTGTTTAAACATTTTTAATAAAGAATCCCTGTCGCCAACATCTTGTGCGATCCATACATGGCCAAATGCACATTGAAACAATAATTCACGTACAGGTGAGACCCACTTTATATCCCCCCGTACCATCTAATTTCTTTAGAAGATCATAACTGTTTCTGGCTATTCTGTTAAGAGGCTGTCTGATCAATCTTATCCAGAACGATAGTACTCGGCAGCGAGCATTGATGACTAGAGGGAAGCGTCCACTTTCTGCTAGTATAAGTTTATTAGCAGCTTTATGTCCACTTTTCAAAATGAATTTACAGGATTTAGTATGAACTTTTTCTAAATTCTTGTTACTTTTAATCCCCCAAACTTCCGATCCATATAAAAGAATTGGCTGGATTATTCCGTTAAACAATTCGAGTGAAGACACAATGGGAAAATTCTCCAAATAAAACGCTGATCCGACGTGTGGCCCAATATGTGCACCGTTATGGTCAATATAACGTGTAGATATGGAAGGCATTCAGAAACACTATATTCTGCAAGGGGAAATTAAGAAATAAAACTATAATATTATACCAATCAGGGATACTCTACAACAGGGATAGGTCACTCGCTTGCTTTCTTTACCATTTGTACTAATTAGCGTGTGCCTCGTCATGCTCCAACGAACACAGTGACTTGGTTCGTTCCCAGCGCAACTTCGGCTGCGTTTAACAGTACTTCAGCCAGTGTATTGTATCAGTCGGAATTTTACAATGAATGAATGAATGAATGAATTGAGAACAAGAATTATATGTGAATGAATGAAAGAAATAAAGAAACAGAACAAAAGAAAGAAATACATATGTGAATGAATGAAAGATTAAATGATACATCACGGCCATCCCTCCCCAAACATGTTAAAGAACGCAAAACTATCGGTAGAACACATGTGTTAACATTAGCTGTCCTTTTTTTAAAAATCTACTTTGAGATATTTTTTTAAATTAGTAACTAATTCAGATATCTTATTGCATGTGTGGAATGGCATGGGCATTGACAGAATGTTAACTGACACTGTCACACACCCCTCAAAAAACAGAAAGTTTAGAACTATCACAAAGCGTTGTAAACACCTTTCCAGTTTTGTCACATACTAAGATCAACAAGAAATAAAGAAGTTTTAGAACTATAACACTCAAGCATCACAAGCATCAATGGCGTATCAGAACAGATCGGCGATATGTCATATTTTTCACACACCTCAAATACACCCTAAAAAAAATTTAAATTATAAAACTATCACTATTACTTGCAAACACCTTTCACCTGATGGTATATTCCCCTCATACAAAATTAAAGGTGTATGTGAAAGATGTTTTAGAACAATAACTAGAAACACTCCAACAACGCCCTGTAGTATTTCAATGGCAGATCGGCGATATGTCATACTTTTCACACACCTCAAATACACCCTAACAAAATTTTTTAGTTATAAAACTATCACTTTTACTTGCAAACACCTTTCAACTAAAAGTATATTTCCCTTCTAAAAATTAAACGAATATGTGAAAGAAGTTTTTAGCGATATAATTTAGTCTTTCTTCGCTGTGTACTGAGAACTGAAGCCAGTGAGCTACAACATGCCGACTTGAAACTTTACTACAAATCTTTTGTACTCATACTGACACCAATAACAATTATTTGACTTAAAATGAAGTGACAGAATAGGTCACTTATCTTCTACATGTAGGTTTTCAGTTGTCACAACACTCAGCGTATGTAATCAGCTGTTGAAAATAAACCGGGATCAATCTTAAAAACTACGCTGCCGCCATATTGGCTACATTGGTCACTTTTCATATATATATAGTCTCCCTGTAACAATGAATGCGAAAGTATATTTTGACTATATTCATAATACACACAATTCGTGTATGTTAATGTAATTTGATATGCGTATATCACTTAAAAGAGTTCGCTCGTCACAACGAAGCACCGGGTTCGATTCGCCACACCGATGCAATGTGTGAAGTCTATTTCTGGTGTCCCCCGCCATGATATTGCTGGAATATTGCTAAAAGCGGCGTAAAACCATACTCACTCACTCACAAGAGAGGAATTGGCTTAATACTTTGGAGTAACCTCCCTTTGACAAAATGGCAACGCTGCGTAAACTTTTCCGACCTTCTAAACTGCTGCAGGCGGGGAGGCAGTCGCCATGTCACTCCTCCTACTGTAGTGCATCGGATTCATGGCCAGCTGTACCTGTAAAGGAAGTTCAGCGATTTATAGAAGACTGCATGGCAACTGTTGGAACACGCGCGGACCATGCCACCTCTCTGGCGAACAACTTGGTAACAGCTGATCATAGAGGACATTACAGTCATGGCCTCAACAGACTAGGTGCGCCTTACTGTAATCGGTCTACGCTTAAGGTGGTATCAGGACGTCGCGGAACAGACTCCAGTGGATAAATAGATTTCTATCGATTTGAACAGTTTTTAGTGTATACTACATATAACTCTTGTTTATGTCCAGAAATCAGTGTTGGTGTGAACCAGCGAAAATAGTATTGCTAAATGATTTACTGCCATGTTTGCCTTCAGAAACACATGTGCATCTTTATCGGATCGTGATAAGCCTTCTGAGTTTTTTGCTTGGTTTGTGACTCCGCAAACAATGTCTGTTATAGGATAAAAAGTACATTACATGAGGACAATCCAGAAAAAGACTGAAAAGAACATGAATTACGGTTTGTTTTTGAAATTATACTTAATGGCAGTGCCGCCTATGTTAGCCAATGTATCTGTGTCTACAGAACTATATAATTTGCCCTCAAATATACCTCCGATATCATGTGTTTGGCCTTCATTGTCTTGGCATGTGTACAATTTATTTCAGCAGAGACCATACAATATCTATTATATGGTCTCTGATTTCAGTGTGACTCTTTTGGCAATAAATTATCATTTTGCTTGTGTTGTCTTTTGCCCTGCTGCAGATATGTACATTCATGACATCGAATCAGGAATAACAGTCAGCGACGCTGATCCTAGCATTATCCAGGAGTCGGCCGCCACAGCGCGCGTAGATGTAAACAACGTTCTTGGTCCAGTGGTGGGCAACTTCAGCATGGATCTAAGCCATCCAGAAAGCCATGTCCGCAGGGGTAGGCTTGGTGGCCGCTAAAGGTACCAATACCATCTATACTGGACGTGTCAATATAGAAATCATTGAGTCTTCAAAATTATCCGAAACGCTGATGGATGTTTAAAATATTAAATAATAAATAAATGTTTATAATAGTCAAGCAGCAAAGTCACAAAATAAGAACAATTGTAGTTTTTCGAAATGTTTTCAAAATATAAAACAGGAGGCATTTTGTCTTCATTATTTATTGGGTTTTGATAAACAAATCGTGGCATCTGTGTACATAACTAAAAGTATGATTAGCATGAAGAATGAACGTTAGGTAGGACAGTATATAGATTGTACTTGAGGTTAATAACAACATCATATGCCATGAGTATTTATGTTAGAAAGGAGGAGGGAGAAGAGTGGGAAATCTCATGTGACCATTTGTCTATTTAGGCCTGAAAATCCAACATGCAAATGTAAAAACAATTCTTCTACGTGTTGCAGGGTCCAACCATTTTGGTATTGCAGGCTGGTATTCCATGCTGGCAGCGCAACAGGGCCTCCTTGTGAGTTGAATTTATCCAAACATTTACTAGTATAACATGGTACTTGTTACCCTGTGCGGTGCTGGCTTTATGGGAATATAACAAGGACTGGTCAGCTCCGAGAGGGTATACTGGTCAGAAAAGGGGTATCCATGTTAATCTGTAGTATCTCAGCTAGCTTGCATAATCAAGCCAGCAATGGTTCAGACAACAAATAAACAAGCAATGCACACACTCACACATGCATACAAACATGCACACACTCATCAGAATAATCTAAATTCAATGTTAAACACAATTACACCTCACCTCACCTCACCTCACCTCACCTCACCTCATCCCACCCCACCTCACCTCACCTCACCCCACCCCACCCCAACTCAACTCAACTCAACTCAACTCGCCTGTGTTAAGATGTCAGTCAACTCTTGTAACAGATGTTGACATAATCATAACAGATGTTGTCTAGATAGTGACATTATCCTAAGTGTTACATTTTCAGCTGCAATCACAAGTCTTGCATTACACCAAACGAAAAAACAACATGACTCAATCCCCTGTCATATCTGAAGCGTGATACAGAAGCTCAATAAGCCAGACATGCAAACCCTCTACCTACTATTTGTGTGCTGTAATGTAATTTGAATACCATTTCAATCTATAAGGGAAGATTACGACAGAAATATGCATTATGTCTGAAAGCGTACAATAAATACCCACATCATCATCATCTATAAGGGAAGGCAGTTATATATTATGTGTGAATTAGACTGCTCTTGTGTATTATGTTAAGCATAATTTTAAACATAATGTAATGATGTGTTACTGAGTGCTGTTGTTTGTAATGTTAAATGTATAGTAAGGTCGTTTCTTGCAGGGTATGACCTTCACCAACACGTCTCCCTTGTCTGTACCAACGAGAGCTAGAAAGGTATAGTGGAGACTGGAGAGACGTACCCACACTCCCAGTGACTGTCAATACTTCATAAGGCTCATATTATCTGTACACAAGGAACTTAGTTGTGCACCCCCTGACATATCTCATGATTGAGTGAGCCCTGATCTTTACCCTTTGGAGCATGGCTGAGACATGATTGGTCATTGTGTGTAACAAAGGTATCCTCCTGTGCAGAACCTGGCCCAGTTTGAAGCTGCTTTACATGAGGAATGGAGTAGACTGTCCCTTCAGAGGATCAGGAGGCTGACAGGGGGTATGAGGAGGAGTGTGCTGGCTGTCACATGGAGGTTACACTCGGTATTGACCATGAAGGACAGCATTTTTATTTTTTGTGTTTCTCTTCGCCAGCCTGACCATTCTAATTTTATTGCAGACACCCCAAAAACCTTTTTTGTTCATTCCAACACCGCCGACTCGACCCTAAAATGTACCACCTCTTCATATAAAATGTTTATCTATCTAAAATGTTTTAATCAGTCACTGCCACAAGTCCAAAGAATACGAGACATTGTAATAATAATAATAATAATAAATGAGAATCAAGAACATTAATCGGGATAAATAGAGAATCTCACCCAAGTGTCTTCTGATATCAATTATATCAACTGATATTTGATATCAGAAGACACATGAGGGTGAGATTCTATTTATCATCGAAAATCACTCTTCATTAATTTTCAATGAAAAATGTACATCTCTGAACATGGTACTGTCATTAGACTTGCAGTGCAGCGATGTCATAGCATTGTGACGTCATCAAGTACATGACGTCATAGCTTTGTCAGGGCATTGTCCTGTGGAACACAGTTTTGGATGATAAATTTGTCTCTATTACATTTTAGGTATTGTTTAGTTTGTTTGTTTTTTCTGACCGACCGACCCATGTTCAGAATTTGGTGGCTACATGAAACACATAAAAAGAAATGATGCCCTAAGACACACAAAATGACATTTTTATTGTTCCCATGAACCAATAAATTCAACATAAAACATTCCATGGCCTTGGTTGTACAGACATGGTTCTGTATGAAAATCAGTTGGTTTTTTTAAAATAAGCAATTATCATCATAAAATCAATATGGATTCCAATCATTTTGTAGATTTTAATGAGTCAAAGGATCATACGGGTCAGAAAAAACTGCTCGATTTAAGATATGTTAACCTACTTGCACCAGGTAAAACCTAAGATAAAAACCTAGTTGCACCAGCAAAATTTCAGTTGCAACGTAGTATTTAAAACGTCAGAGGTTTCAGTGCACATAAACATATTTCCGTGATGTAGTACCCATGAAAACATAGCAACACACAGACACAGCTGATCCCTGTTTACAAGAGCTGTCATAGCTGAGATGTGTCTAACGGTAGCAATGTTTCGGTGCCATAGCTATTCAACGTTTAGGATAAAAATGAGCTCGCATAATTATGCTTAGAATGTTAGATTTATTGTTGATTATTTCTCAATAATTGACTTGCACCTGGTGCAAGTTAGACTAATAACTAGGTTGCACTTTGTAATATTGGGTTGCACCAGTGCAAGTAACAAAGCACTAAATTGAGTCCTGAAAACTCATGTTTTTCCATCTTGGTCACCATGAGAAGTTTATGCACATGTTGAAAACCTATCATTGCAATAATACAGGGGGTGCTTCATTAAGTTCCTTGTGTATGTTCCTCCATCAGCAGTGAACACATTGTTTGCTGCAATGCAGCTGCCAGGGCCTAGTTCCAAAGACGAGGCCCTGTGATTGCCAAAACCAATATAAGCTTAGATTACAGATTACAAAAAGAAGATAACATATTATCAAAGTATTCATGAATGTTTAGTGTGTAGTACTGTTGATACAAGTTTTAGTTTTCATCATTCAAAGGTCCAGCTATAATTATGTTGTGTCTTGTATGAAGTAATGATTATATGTTAAGTTTGAAATATTAAAACTATGTTTAGTAGAAAGTATTGATAATATGTTACGTTTGAAATATTTAAACTATGTTTAGTAGGAAGTAATGATAATATGCATGATATGAATCACTAACTCTATATTTAGTGTAAAGTATTGATGCAATGTTTAGTATGAAGATACAGGTTTTGTCATCCCAATGGCTAAGCTATAATTCCCCTAGTGGTAGAGTGTTTTCTGAACAACCTCTCCATGTCCCATGTAACTGTTTGCAGGCCACACTAGGGACAAACCCTCTGTCTCTGGCAGCTCCTGCTCACGATGGTGATGACTTCGTCCTTGACATGGCCACCACCACAGTAGCCCTGGGCAAGGTGAGGGTCCTCTCTTCACACCTTGACTTTCAGTTAGTCAGAAAGATTTCACCGATGAATAATTATATTTCAGTTTTATCAGTTTCGGTGTACAAGTCTGATGTTATACACCCTGCAGTGATAACATCCTTCAGGTGAGGTGAGGTGAAATGGGGTTTAATGTCGTACTTAAGAATATTTCGCTCATATGACGACATGCATGAGTATGTATGTATGGCTGCTCAAGCTCATTGAGATACCATGCGCAGTTAAGCATGAATACCCCACTCAGACACATTATACTGACTCTGAGCCAACCAGTCCTTGTTGTACACATTAATGCCAAGCTACAGGCGGTTACCAACAAGTACCATATTTTAACATCTTTTGGTATGGTGCGGCCCGGGATCGAACCCGCGATCTTCCACTCTCCAGACAGATGCTCTAACCACTACACCACGGAGGCGGTCCAATCCTTCAGGATATATTTCCATAAAGGAGAATCCTGATATTGAAATTTAACCCCAAAAAGGTTTTCATAGGAAATATGTAATGAAAATCTGTCAAAAGGTAAATTGACATACAGGGGTCGTTACTGTTCAATGGTTTTGAAATTTGACTGCCACATCAGCCACTTGGTAACACTTGTCATGACCCATCAGGGTATTGTAGGTTATCTATATTATGTATGCTGTGTGTGTATCATTGACAGCAGTCAGAATCTGGAGAAATTAATGTTTCTCTTATGCAGCCCCATGCAAATGTACTCTCTGAGTAAAACTCATTTTCTCAGAGATTTATGTCATGTTTATCGTTGGCTAAAGTATCTCCTTATTCCTTGAAGGCATCAGTGAATCACGATTTTTGTACCATCAGTGCTGTTAACCCATATGTTGTACGATGTGTGAGTGTAGCAGGGTGTGCAGTCATCAAACATGACATCATGCCTGTTGGAGTTGGCTACTTTTAAGAATTAATGTGACATCCGCATCTCCTCAGATTGAACTCCACGACCGTAAAGGCATTAAGATTCCTAACAGCTGGGGTGTGGACAAGCATGGTCTGGTAAGTCCATCTTACACAGGTTGATCAATATCCTACTGCATCTCCTGTCAAAGGCTGTCAGTCATTACAGCCTCACTTCTCCCAGTCCCAAGATAATATACTCAGCAGCAAAAAAAACTGTCAGTACGAATTCAAAATGAGATAGGCACTGTAATCAAATCAGGACAGAAATGGACAAAATAAGCGGATCAAAACCATTTTTTGTGCACAATATCTTGACACATCAATGAATAACTCAGTACAATTCCAAGACATTACGTGAACGTTTGCAGTCCATTCAGACTCTTGACTTTAGTATCTAGTGTGACCACCATGAGTGGCAATAACTGCAGCTCAGTGTCTATGCATGGAGTGCACCAGTTGATTGATGAAGGCCATTGGCACCTGGAACCACACTCTAAGAAAGGCCTGGCGCAATAAATTGGCTGTGTTCGGCCTTGGTATGACATTATTCAGTCTTCTCTGAATTTCATCCCAAAGATTTTCAACTTGGTTTTTAATCAGGACTAAGGGCTGGCCACTGCATAATGTTGACACCGTTCTACTGTAGGAAGTCACGTGTAGCTCTGGTCCTCTCCCTGGACCGAGGTTCTGGAACACCACAGGACCCACTTTCTGGTCCAGGCCTATTCCACCCCATACCATGATGCTTGCACCTCCCCATGAGTCTCTTTCCATTACACATCGGTCTGAGTAACGCTGGCCATGTCGTCACCATATTCTTGTTCTACCATCTGCAGTTGATACGCAGTACCGACTCTCATCTGTGAACAGAACAGTTCTCCATTGCCTGTATCGCCAGTTTTGGTGTTCACTCCGATGACGAGGGGTGAGGATAGGTCCATGGTAAGGTCTACGGCAATGGAGGTTCCCGCTGTCAAGACGTCGGCCTACTGTATCAGTACTGATTGGTCTTCCGTGAGTTCCTACTGTCTGGCGTGCTGTTTCGGATGCCTGCATGAAGGGATTCTGTACATGCTGTCGCACAACATGGCGGTCTTGTCGTCTTGTGGTCACCCTTGGTCTGCCAGTACGGGGCGATCATTTGTGGTGTTGGTGGCCCGGAAACGTTGCTGCAGTCTGTAGATGGTCCGAACGTTGACCTGGAATTGATTGGCAACGGCTTGTGCAGTGTGGCCAGTTTCAAGTCTTCCTAGCGCCTGGTTCCTTTGAGCTATTGTGAGAAGGACATCCTGCTGACGTTGTTATGTGAATGTTTCAACCACGTTTGGGGGTACATTTTATAGGGTGGTCCTTGTGAACAGCACGTGCAGCATGAGTTGCATGAAAAACATGAAGAACACTGTACCATCTCCGAGATCATGTTGCGTTTTTGAGACCATTTCCTGGGTTTGGGAAGGAATGCCTTTGCTCAGGTAAAGTTGGAGATGTTGTTAAAACTATACAATCAAAACATTAAATGAGTTTACAGTTATCCATTTCTGCGAAGGAAAATTCCAAACTGATGTTTCTTTTGCTGTTGAGTATAGTATACATCATATAGTATCATCAGGTAAATGGCAGGGAGTATTCACCTGATGAAGGAGCAAGCATACACCCCGAAACATTGTGTTATTCACTATAAAGACATTTACATCCATAAACAGAGGCCCAGATAAGCTGCGTGTCCGGGTAAAATACGCATAGAAAATGTCCAATTACGCATTGAAAAATAATTGTTGCGTGCAAATTACGCATTTGAAACGTTAGATACGCAAAAAGTTTAAAACAAATGCGTACGGAATATATTTATAAAAATCGCGTAATGAAAAAGACATCTATTGCTATCAAGTTGTACTGTTAGTATAGGACAAGTGTTGTACTGTCAGTATAGGATGAGTGATTTTTTATGAAATCATTTCCATTATATTTAAGTTGGTTTCGATTCGGTATGACATAAGGCAGAACACACCTGTTTAGTAAACTTACTCAATGACATAATACTTAGGTGAGTAAAATGACTGAAATAAGCACATATTTGAAAGCAGTGGGTAACAGAAGATGAAATACCCACTCAACATTCATTATACCCGCTCCAAAAAAATACAGTGGGTACAGTACCCACATGAGCTAAATCTTATCTGGAGTTCTGCATAAATATTGCTTTTCTTAGGCATTCCACTTCTAAATGCCCTTCAAAGGAACAGAACAGTCTGCAACTCAGTGCTTTACTATCATACAACTTGTTTATACCCCTGTTGCAGCCTCCAGTGACCCGAAGATTGTGATAGAGGTCTGAATCCACCCGAGACTACACCCCACCTGTTTATATTGCAGGAGTCCAATGACCCGAAGACTGTGATAGAGGGTGGGGGCCTGATGATGGTCGGTGGATCAGAACTCACAGGTGCAACTCATAAAGTATTGTTTATATCTCACAGCTTGTGATTAACTGTTTTACCACTAGAGGGATGTATCGTGATGATCAGACAGGTCAACACACATAGTGAAGATATTAAGGGTTATAGTATGTCCTGCCTCACATCCAAGCACATGTGACATATGTGGTTATACCTCAGACAAATGAGTTTGGTCAGTTGACTCTGTCTACCCAGCAGAAAATGGGTACCAAGTGGGATAAGATGGTCATATGACTGTTAACCTTCTAATTACTGAAAGGTAAAGTGTGTTCTGTAGGTCATATATTGGTCAGTGTGTGTTCTCCATCCTGTAGGTGGGTACAAGGGTTACGGTCTGTCCATGCTGGTTGAGGTATTCTGTGGGATCCTAGCAGGGAGCACGTTCGGACCCAGCATAAGAAAATGGCGAAACACTGATACTGTGGCAAACCTGGTAAGTGTGTCCAGGATACGGAAAACGCTTCATTTTTTAATTTGTGACATCAACTGATACACAGCATGCTATGGGAATTCCAGGCCCACGCAGCCTGCGGTATTTTTAAGAGGTGGCCACATGGATCGTGTTCTCAGACTTATTGACAACATCTCATTATTGAAAATTTTACTATAAAATGATTATTTATATACTTATCCTATCTCAAGGTATGCACCTCTCTTCTTCTTCTACGGCCATGTGTCAAAACGTGCTGTAGGCTAAGTTGAATCAAAACTTCCTGGCCTCTGCCCCCACTCCGATAGCAGTACCTGTCAACCATCTCAAAAAGCATGCAGATTGCTCAGATGATCACGTGACAATTTGTGCCTGTCATTCTCGTCTTTGAGCGTCCAGTAATCTGTGAAGTGGGGCAGGTCGGGTGGGTATCCATCCCATCAGATAGGATAAGTATATAAATATACAATTTATAGTAAATTTTCAAATTTTTAAACTTATCCTATCTCATGGTATGCATTATCCCACGGTTGGCTGGTGGGCCACAGATTACCCTGTGTCAGCTCTACTTCCGTGAGGTCGCAAAACACAAGGAGGCCAGGAGAAAGCACCAACTCCCGATATGCTAACTTGTGATGGGTTGCTTCTGATAACCCCTTAGCTTACACAGCACAAAAACTCTAGGGAGTGGGCGGTCCTGAATTAATGTGGTTTTCAGCCACAACTTTTGACAAGCAAAAGGACGCAGTTTGGCAAATAGACCCCGCCTCCCCACGATTTATCAGGTGACCCCAGCGAATTAAAGTCGAATACCTTAATCTGGACAGTCCCTGCTTCAAAACTACCCCCGACAAACACACACTGGAAGGCAGTGAAAGATGGAATAGCCCGGTTGCTCAAGTACAGAAAGCAAAACCGACACGCGGAAGGATTGCTTCTCATCTGCGAGCACGGGTCGATGACAGCTGCTGAGCTAGGACCAGAGGACCGAACTAATCCGTGACCGAGAGATCCCGAAGATAGTGTGAGGCGAAAACATCCCACCATGATTGCCTGAAGGGAACAGTTCCTATGAAGCGCCATGGTGGAAGCTAGGGCCCGAGTTTCATGAGGATTCGCTGTCGAAGGTTGAGGAAGGTCGGCATAGCCATAGGCACGCAGGATAGTGGATCTCATCCAAAACGCCAAAGTGATGCACGAGACTTCCGAGGTGGAGGCAGCAGACAACGGGATGAAGAGTCTCTTGCTCAGTCCTTAGAAGCAGCCAAGTAGACTTTTCCCTCCAAAGGTTTGTAATCCGCTGACATATGATGATTAAGCACAAAAGAAAGATCCAAAGCTGGTGGTCGGAACTTCCGGGATTGGTCAGCAAGTTTATAAGATCTGAGGAGAAACTGGAGCTCAGGAACTGTAGACACCATCACACCTGTGGCTGGCACAATAACAGTGTTAAGAGCAGCCAGGTAAGTAAACAATGTAGAACCCTTAAGTTTCCTGTAGGTTCAAAGTTGTTGGAGGTACTATGCCACCAACTGCGGCGAAACAGTAGTGGGAGAAGCTATACCCTTCGTCCTGCAGTACGCCTCAAACTTCTTCCACTTGTCATCATAGAGTGACCTACTGGAGGTACGATGCGCTGTAGTGATGGCAGTAGCAACACGCTTAGAATATCCCATTGCCCTTATGGAGATGCGCCAAATGTGAAGATGGAGTGTGAGCAGAGACCAATGCAGCTGATTGGAGTGCGGATGCACCAGAAGATCGACATGTTCGGGAAGTGGTACAGGATCTGGATCGGCCAGTTCTTGTAGATCGACGAACCACCCTCTGGCCAGCCAATAGGGCACGACCAAAAGCAGTGTCATCCGCTGAGTCGTGCGCAATTTCAGTAGTATGCATGGAAGTAAGGCCACTGGTGAATACGTGTACACGTTTAGGCCGTCCCAAGGAATGGCTAGAGCGTCGAGACCCCAGGCAAGAGGGTCCGGATCGGAGACACGAACAGAGGCAACTGTAGGTTTAAACGAGTGGCGAACAGATCCACTGTTGAGTCGTTAGCGGAAGGCAGATGGTATGGGACACCTGTGGATGTAGTTTCCACTCTGTCGGGGAGGGATGAAACGGCGACCCTGTCGACCCGATCCAGTTGATTCACCATACTACTGCTGCATTGTCCGACCAGACCATGAGAGAGGTCGATCGTAGAATCTCTTGCCAGTGAGTGATGGAAAGAATCACTGCCCTGAGCTCTAGAATGTTGATGTGGTAAGCGCGATCTGCGAGAGACCACCGCCTTGCCATCTGCTGATCAAGAAGGTGAGCCCCGACCCCGTGTAGAGATGCGTCCACCTACAGGTGGTGAGTCGGGACGAACGGCCTCAAGCAGACTCCACCGCAGATGTTCAACTCTTCCATCCACCAGAGGAGATGGGGATGGAACGCCGGAGGTAACGTGATCAGGGAAAGCGGGTTGACGACCCTGATGTGTGGAGCCAGGAATAACTGCAAAGCTTGAAGCTGAAAGCCCCTTAGGCTAACGTCAAGAGACCCAACAGCTCCTGCCATTGACGAAGAGTCCTGGGTTGAGACTACGCAAGGGGAACTAATCGCCGAATCTTGTAGAAACGGTCCCTCGGCACAAACAGTCTGTTCAGCTCTGTGTCGAACACCGCCTCGATAAACTGCAGGCGGCGGCGTGAAGGGACTATCTCCAACTTCTCCATGTTGACAAGCCAGCCTAACTGGTGAAGTAGCAGCATCGTGAACCCCATGTGACGAATGAGTGCACGGTCGTTCTGAGCCTGAAGTTTCTAAGTTTCGAACAGTATCTCCTTGCAATGGAGGAAGCTGGTGATGGGCTTCGTCACCCGTGTAAATTGCCCGAAGAAATTCCAAACGGGAGCACCGCCACTGATAGTGGGTGCCCTCGAAGGCGAAACGAAGAAACTTACGATGGTCCGGGAAGATCGGGATGTGAACATACGCATCCTGAATGCCGAGACTGACCATGTAATCCCCCAGTTTGATGATAGTCTTGAGTAGAGCCACCAACACCAAACGGAACTGAGGCAGTGGATTGGAGGAACATATCGTTGAAGGTGAGTCTCAATTTGTCGGAATCCTTCCTCTGAACAAGAAAGATTGGAGAGTAAAACCCTGGGATTCGATCTCAAGTTTCTGAAGAAGCATAGCAATGGTGGATCACAGCACAGTCGTGTGACGAGCAGGATACATCCTGTGCCCCGGAAATAATGTGAGAGGAGAGTTGCCAATGACCAGAAGTTGAAACCCCTTGGACAGAGTGGAGAGAACGTAAGTGTCGTCCAAGATGGTCCAATTGAGGGCATAAATCCCAGGTCTTCCGCCTACTTGGGAAGCCTTGATAGGTACAATTGGAGGCGGAAGGACCCAATCGTGCTCTGACGTCTGCAAGTCACTGCTTCTGGGTCCTCTGAGTGGAGGACCAATCGCAACCGGAAGCTGGTCTAGAAGTGAACGACCGGCGCTGACGGTTGGAACGCCGTCTGGTCGAACCTCTTCCTCGAAAAGAAGTAGGAGGTCCTGAACGAAGATCTGGTTTGGTCAGCACATAGCTAGCTGGCCGCCGTTGACGCAATGAATCTTTAACTTGAAACCACTGAAATTTCAATAACTTCACAGAGACCTGCAAATGAGCATCCTGCCCAACCTTTGTGGCTATATCTCTTATAGCCCCGTTAAAGAGTAAGACAGACATAGCCACAGCTTCAGTCGCCGTCAAAACCAAGTTGAGGGGAGCTAAGATCCTCCGAATGGCGCCATCCAGGTGCGACAACTCATGGTCCTCAACCAGAAAAGAAGAATAGGCTCTCTGATTAGATCCCAAAAGCGTGACGTCATCATCCACAGAAGGAGAGACAATCAACGTAGAAAAGCCATGAACATGGGAAGCCGCCAAGTTAATGCGGGGTGCCGCAAACCCATCTTTAACCTGCCTTAAGTTGTCAACTGCCGCAAGGTGAGTAATGCAGGGACGAGTTGGGAAGGTGATAGAACTGAAATCACCCGGTTTCATATCAAAGCTTGTCAACAAGTCCAAAGGTGAACTGCTACGAGGTAGTCGAAGGTTATCAGCAATCCAAACCAGTAACTGAGTTGTGTCGACTGCATCAATGTTACAACTGAAGCCGAAGTGCCATCTGAAGTAGGAGAGGGTGTAACCGAGTGAGGAGCTTCATCCACGGAATGAAGTGGAACGGTCGGAGAGCCTGCTGGCTGAACAGTCGAGGATGGAGCTGGGACTTGCTGACGTAACACCGAGGCCACAGCATGAACGATGGCATCAAAATCAAGAGGTCAAGATGCAGAACCCTCAGACGACGGATCCCAAGAAACCCGGTAAAATAGGCCTAGCCGAGGTGATAGACTTAGTCCCCGAAGTAGGAGGCAAAGTAGAACCAGAGGCTGGCATGGGTGGATGACCTGGCAAAGGCGGCAACATGGAACCAAGAGAAAACGGTACACTGGAAGCAAGCGGCGCTCCGACAGTAACTGCCGAACCGAGATCAAGTGGTGCATTGGAAGTAAACAGCGCTCCGACAGTAAGCTCCGAACGGGGAGCAAGCGGCGCATAGAAAGCAAGTGGCGCTCCGACAGTAAAGGCCCAACCGGCGTATAGAAAGCATGCAGCGCTCCGGAGGTAAGCAGCACACTGGAATTAGGCAGTGATCCATAGACAGGTGGTACGGCATACGAGTCAGATGTAGAAAGCGCCATACTGGAACTCAACGCCATACTTATGGACATCACAGGGGGGTACAAGAGCGACGAACCGGGACAAAGTGCCGAACTGGAAACAAGCGGTGCATGGGTAGAAAGTGTAGTGCCAATCACCGTGCTGGAAAGCGCTGAACAGAATGTATTCGCCGCTTGAGAGTGAATGCTGGGCATTAATCCAAGCGCCGCACTGGAAAAATCGTTTTGTAGGATCACCAGGGTTCTGAGAAATCGTCACCAGGGTAGACGGATAAGACTGGCCAGAAGAAGTAGTTAAAACTACAACTCTAGGCAATCTTGAATCACAATTGGACTGGACAGCTGCGACGAAATAAATAGGGATTCTCACTCAGATGAGAATCTGAAGCATCATCTTTACTTCTTTACTCGGAGGCGGGGACTTAGACCGCCGAACAGGTGTCTTCGTACGACGTTCAGAATTCGAATGTTTAGATGAGGAAGGACCTTCCGAGGGTTTACGGCGATCCCTGTCAGTCAAACGTTGGGAAGCCACCCGCCGATCATCAAGTTGATCACAATAGGTACAACGGTGCAAACAGTCGCAACATCCCAAACAATCCACACACAACGCATGTGGGTTCACAGCAGAAAAGTGACTATTACACTTCAACGAGATTTACCCATATTGAACACAGACAAAATCTCACTAAGAATCAGCACACGTCCACACGACGTAGCGACAAGAAAGAGAATGACAGGCACAGATCGTCACGTGATCATCTGAGCGATCTGCACGCTTATTGAGATGATTGACAGGTACTGCTATCGGAGTGGGGGCAGAGGTCAGGTGGTCAGAGGCCAGGAAGTTTTGATTCAACTTAGCCTACAGCACGTTTCCACACATGGTCGTAAAAGAAGAAGAGAGGTGCATACCGTGAGATAGGATAAGTTTAAAAATTAACAACTATGAAAACACAGTCAGATGTCTTAAGAATTATATATACATAATTATGTATTATGTATTTGTAGATGATGCTTTTTATTTTGTATTATTTGAATCCTATTTAGGGACAGTGCTTCATTGCCATCGACCCTGATTGTTTTGCACCTGGTTTCCATGACAGAATGTCAGCTTTGGTGAACACGTATCGGACACTAGAGCCGGTATGTTTATCAGTAGAATTCATGGTGGAAAGGGGATCTGGGATCAGCAGGGTTCTGAGGATGAACAGGGATCTGGGGCAAAGCAAATTTGGAGGAGGAGCTGGGTTTGGTGAAGGCAAAATTTGGAGGAAGAGCAAGGATTTGGGGAAGAAAAGTGTTTGGGGGAAACGCAGGTTTAAGGGGGAAGAACAAGTTTCAGAAGTAGGAAGAGCAGGGGAAGGAAGAGATGTATTCGGGGGATTAAACAGGGAAGAAGAAGAGCAGGGTTCATAGAAAAAAGAAACTGCCGGGTACAGGGGAAGAAAGAGATGGTTTCAGGGGAAAGAGCCGGGATGTGGGGAAAAGCATGGTTTGAAAAGGGCAGGGTTTGGAGATAGAGCAGGACTGAGGAGAAGGGCAGGTTCAGAAAAGACATTTCAGCTGGCATCCCTGTTCAACAAACATTTGCAGGCCGAGGGAGAGACTGAGGTTCTGGTTGCTGGGGACCCTGAGAGGAAACACATCGAGCTGTGTACCCGCAGGGGAGGAATACCGTACCATCCGAATCAGATACAGTTCGGGGTATGTAACATACAGTATTGTGTGTAATCCTTGTGTTCAATCCTTGAATACTTACCTAAAGCCCATGTTTTGAATATGTTCAGCAAATATACAATGTAGCAAATCCAAGGTCCACTACCACTGGCATCTTCAGAAATACCAGATAAACAAAAGCTGTAGTTAGGGACCGTTCATAATTTATGGTTTGGGAGGGTGATGATGATTTTTATGGAGAAGCATGTACAATGTGAATGACCCACCCCCTAAAATTCATGTACAAAATAAGTAACCCCCCTGCATGTCATATACAAAATCAATGACCCCTCCCCTTCCCATAATTTCTAAGCATAATAATAAAATATTTTTATGTACAAAATTGCTGACCCCCAGTAAATGTACAAAATTGTTGACCCCTAGCTCCCCAGAACAAAATGGGTGACACCCCCCTTTAAAATCATCATCACCCCCTAGCCATAAATTATGAACGGTCCCTTAACAGTGAGTGAATATTATTTTATGCCACAGTGAGCAATATCCCAGCTCTCTCATGGCAGCCTGTAAGGAATGGTAAATGAACGTGAACAAGTTTCCATGCTGCGAGGAAGAACTACATACAATCAGTTAGATCAGCCATTGCCAACCCGTTTGAGCAAGTGATGCGATGTCCCTGTCAGTATCAGTGTTTGCCATGTTTTCAAATAACTTGCGTGACATCCATGTATCATTATTTCAGATTGATCTGTCCAACAAACTAGGTGTGAAACAAATGCAGACAGTGTAGTCACTCGAAGCATACTCTGATGTGAACTCCAGCATGAACATCGGAGTATGGCCATGTTTCTGGGTATTGTGGGGATAAGCCAGAGCAGATTAATGTACAGTGAATGAAGTGAAGGTCATCGTAATGCTCAACTGAACTCACCTGATATGTGCTCACCTACATAAACAACTTTCAGTTTTATTTGTTCATGAGGGAAATGTTTTGTATGGTATAGAAACCGACAGTACCAAGTTTTTAGGTTTGTTTTTTTGCCAGTGTACTTTTTAAATGTCCAGTTTCCACCATTGCCAAACTAGCCTGGAATTTCCCACTTATGTTTTGACTGGAGTAACAAGTTTTTTTGTATAGTCCAGTTATAATCACTTAATGAAATTGACATCTGGTTCACAATCTGCCTTGAAGATTTCTGTAGAAAGCATGCTTTGTAAATCTTGCAAATTTCAGGCAGAAATTTTCCAAAGCATGTTTTTAATCAAGGTACACAAGTAAGTTGATGCACTTCACAAGGTAAGACCTGTGTTGTTACATAACAGATGTTGATAATTGATGAGATTATGTTAACGGGGTGCCACCATTTGCTTTAACCATGGGACATAACTGTGATATAAAGTGAATTCTGATTGGTCAATAGGAGGGATATAAGTGACATAAATCATATTAGTCACAGGTGGCACTATGAGCTACAAAATTCCAGCCTAGTTTCAGCCAACTGTTGGAATTTTTACAGTAAATGTACTCACTTACTCAGGAAGATGCTAAATGTTTTGTTGTATCTTCACAAAAAGAATGTATATACCACTGCCGTCCTGATGTTTACATCTTTGTTCCGGCCATTGTGAGTCACTACTGAACGATATGAATGTTTTTATGACCATTTCTTTGGTGCAAGAAAGTAACATTGTTGACAAATCACTGCAAGAGCAGGAATGTGTGAAATATGTTTATGATTGTTTTTGAAACTTGATAGACAGGGTGAGCTGGCTCAGATCTTAGCTTACATAATAAACAGCTTTATTTCTTTATTTTGAGTTCAAGATATACAAAAGTTATGTGTCTGTTTTTACATGTGTATAGTAGACTGAATTCAGTATCTTACAACACAAGATATCTGAAGTCCCACAAGCCCCTTCAGGAACTCACTGCAGGTGACCTCGCCTTCTGAGATGTTCCATCCCCATGGTTTGAAATAAGGTTTGAATCCCCCTATGGGTACAGTGTGTGAAGCCCATTTCTGGTGTCCCATGCCATGTTACTGATGGAATATTGCTAAATTTTGCTAAAACCACACTCACTCACTCACCTTTCCAAGCCAAGTGGGCTGTCAGGGGAAAGTATTACACCCTGTCAGCCTAATGGTAAAGGTAGAAATGGTGACTTCCTATTTGTCTCATCCCAAAAACAAGTGGTGAATTTGTACCAATAGGACGTGGGCAAGGAGGAAGACCCTATAGAAATGTCTTGTTTGATGATATGCTGATTGTTAACATTATTTGTTTGCATTCTTCAAAATATTAGGGGTTGTTCCTGTCAGTGCGTTCACCACTCTAAAACAGTGAAGCCAAAACATACGTTAATAGTTTATTACAAAGGTTCTTGTTCTCTTCATCACTTCCTGGTGATTATCACTCCTGCATTTTTCTGCCTTTGGTGGTACTGTGGTGACTGTGTGCTAGGACTGCATGGAGTATGGCAAACACTGACAGGACGACGGTAGTCACACCTTCATACAACAACTTGGGGGAGAAGACCGTCCACACAAACAGGTGGTACCTCTCAATGGTCACAAGCACACAATACACAGACAGTGGGAGACCTCGGGACATCAATATGGTCACTGCAGCCTCCTGGTGACGAACCTTCAGTCTGAAAATAGAGAACACAGAATCAGCATGCCTCACCCAATGTACTCAATACAACTTGAAAGTTTACATTTACTTATGTTGTGAACAGACAGACATATGTATCATTAAAACAAATCAAGGAATGAGATAGGTTTGGTATATATTTTGCGTGGACAATATAGACAATTGGGTAGCCTAGCCTTAAGCATTAGCAGTGTTCACGAATAGCGTCTGACCCTCTGACAAATCCGGCAGATTTGCCAACGGTCCGATAGAAGTCTACAATCTGCCGGACCCAGTGTCTGACTGTATATTTCACAATGACTTTGACTGAAGTTGTTATATGTGACATGTAACACTTGTTTGCTGTTTATAAATATTATATGTTTGTTAATAATTTCAGTGCAAATTATAAGAAATGTTAAATCTGAAATGTGTGTTTTATTCTATGGGTCCTGTGAATTTTCAATGGGTCAGACAGACATCTGAAACTTACAGGACCCAATGTCCTGTTACTTTGAAACACCATTCGTGAACACTGGCATTAGCCCATCACATCAAAGACCCATGTTTGATTTCCCACATAGGTACAATATGTGATCCCCAATTCGAGTGTATCCAGCCATTGCTGGTTCAAAGGTTCACTCTATTTTTTCATATAATGAACCAATAAAAATAATAAATTCAGTACTGCACAGACATCATAGTCATTATTGTGTTTTGAATGTTAACATTATGATAGAAGATGGTTACTTGTTGGTTTTGGAAATGTCGTCTAAGTTGCCGTCCACCATGCTGATGTATTTGAGGAGTGAGATCATCCAGAAGATTGGTCCAGCATAAGTGGAGAGACACATCAACAAACCAATGAGAAGAGGGTTGTAGTCCTGGAGACCAACGTAGCCAGCAGCCACGTCCACTGTGGACAGGCTGTTGGAGTTGCCCTGGGGATGCACAGATACATTCCTCTACAGACAGGTCAGACTTACCAGTAGTGTGGTACTGGTTCGAATGTTTAGGTTAATCACTAGTTTGAACACAAATGACAAAAATATAAGTGAATAATTAAAGCAATTTTTCACAGTATATCCATATTCTGCATGACATCATATTAAATGGCAAGCTCTTAAAGGTTATTTTAGTTTTTCATCATGAGTAGTGTTGAAGTGAAAGCCAACAGATAAAAAAAGGTATCCATTGGGGTTATCTGTAAATAAATATGCAAATGTAACAAGTCAAGTAGGTACTACTTTCTGTGTCAAAAAATATATAAGGCATTTGTCTGATCACATCCAAGCAATCCCATTCAACTGACACAGCATACAAAAGGGGATAGACTGAGGCCTTTCACAAGTTTAGAAAACCTTAAGAAAGAGTGAGTGAGTTTAGTTTTACACCGCACTCAGCAATATTCCAGCTATATGGCGCGGCAGTCTGTAAGTAATCGAGTCTGGACCAGACAATCCAGTTATCAACAGCATGAGCATCGATGTGCGCAATGGGAACCGATGACATGTGGCAACCAAGTCAGCGAGCGTGACCACCCGATCCCGTTAGTCGCCTCTTACGACAAGCATGGGTTACTGACGATCAATATTTTAACCAGGACCTTCACGGAATTGCAAAGAGATTTAGCAAGGACAGTCAGGACATCGTTTAATCGAATCAATTAATTAAAGAGCAAGACATCTGACAAACCTGGAAGAAGAAAGCAGCCTGTCCCATCCACAAACAGTACAGAGTCAGGAATGCAGGACGCAGCTTGACAACTGAGATCATGTGACTGGACACCAGGCCCTCTACTGCAGCTGCCATGGCAACCATGGCTGAATTGTGTGGTCGTAGCAACAGCATCATGACCAACAGCCATATTGTCTGTAAGCCTGACCACAGGTAAGCTGTCTGGTACCCAGGATCCTCTCGCTGACTCTTCCATTGCCATAGCAACAGGATAAGCGTTAGGAGAAGGATCAAGTATGTCACCTGGGCTTCTGGGACTCCTCTGGGAACAGCCAATGTGTAAAAGTTTATGTTAATGTGGGTATGTCCTTACATTAAGTGTCAGTTCAGTCTTAAGATAAATGTTTGGACATTCCTATGTTAACATTGGTCTATTCCTATGGTAAAAGGTTGGTTAATTCTAATGTTAAATGTTGTTACATTCCCAGGTAGAATATCTGAAATAGCTTCACTATGCCTGCATAACACCATGACAATAAACACACAACATTAAACTATGGTAATAACAGAACCAAAGTGCCAGATAACTTTAGTTCATTATAACCATATCTAACAGGCGGGGACCAAAAAGGAAACGGTTCCTAATATCAATCAGTTCATTTTATGGTTGTTCATTATAAATGTCATAACTGTACATCACAGTGGGATTCAGATGGACAGTGAAGCAAAACTCATTTGATTTCTTAACATTGCATGATCATGCAAGCATCGTTTTGGATTAAGCAATACTTGGAATCAGTACACAGCTGCTCAGTGACATTTAAGTGTAGTTTACTGAAAATCCTATATGCTGATCAAGTGGCATACTATGTCCAAGAAATACACAAATTTTGGAATGTTAAAACCTTTTTGGCTACTTATATAATGATATAAGTACATAAAAATAATAGCTCTCTTACTTGGTCACCCCAGAGTATACACCTGGGAACACAATCACACCTGTAGCCGCTTTAGAGCAGTAGGCAGATATCACAGCAAAAATACTGCAAGATGATTGGATAAGACATGATGAACGCCATCTGGTGATAACAAGACACAACATAGAGATGACCACTACAGTTGATAGAGCAGACTTGTTCTCCGGTCTGAAACAACAGACAATGAATGATGAAAATATACGTTTTACATCCCACCTGTTTTGATTCCTCACATGCACTACCTCAACCAGTAATGGCTATCTGGATACATATAAGTTATATCTATTTTGTTGAGTTTATAATACCACTGTATTACCATTCTGTACCTATGGTTATTTCTCTTCCATTATATCCCTGTTATTTGTTTTATCCCTTGACATGTGCAAGCAGTAATGAGTGAGAGATAGGTGTAAAATGCCTGTTTTGCATTTGATCATATTCAAATCCAACTAAGAAAAGCATATGGCATCCTCAAAAAGTGAAATATCGAAGTATGCATTCTTGTAATTATACTGTTCGCCCCAGTGTGTCCGGTCGAGATCTCACCTGACAAGCCAGTCCCCAATGTCAGGAACAGTTCGCCATTTGTCTCCCGTCTGATTCCATCTCCTCAATATCCGGCACAGCATCAGCACAACAAACATGGCTGCCACTGATGTCACCGACGTCCACCATGTAATACTTGATGTACCACTGTCTAACTTCTCACTCTGATTGGACATCTCATGGTAAGATGTGTCTTTGTGAAGCTTATGAACATTCAGACTGTCTGTGGTTTGTTCATATCTATCACGAGCACCAGTTCTCCCTCCCTTTTGATTCACTGATTGAGAGCAGACGACACATATGAGATTACAGATGATGACAGCGTGCAGGGTGGTGATATAGAAGTACCAGGTCTGATGTTCTTCCTCCACAAAACTGCTGGACAGCAGGCTAAGAGTGTGCAGTACTGACCCTCCCATAAACACCCACCCAACCCATGACATCCTCAAACACTGAAACAAGTGAGAAAGCTATACAGACCATTATACTAGTACAACAGTAACATCATAAATTATCTTCCCACAAAGTAAATTTCCAGGTTTATTACTATATATTAGACATCAAAGAGATAGAGAGTACATGCCATTAGATTACAACTGGAATATTTTCGCTTAAAATACCAGTGTGGACCAGGCAAACCAGGGGCTGACTGCAGGTTTGGCCTCAACTGAACACAGCCAGAAAGGTCACACGTGTATCAGCATGAATTTGTGTTCTGGAACCATCTATCCTTGGCTAAAAACAATTCAAACCAACCACCATTTCAAAGATTCAGTACCTTACTTGGAAATCTAAGGGAGAAGAGTCAAGTGATTAAGTTTACAGTACAATACAATTTATTGGTATCTTCAAGTACATAAAATATAAGGGATGTGGTGTATGGCAGTGCATGGTGAAGATAGTCGTACATATTCAACTTACCATAATTCGGCCTCTGTATCTGACCAAGAACATAACCAGGAACAGTGTTGCCATGACAACAGCCATCATTGTGATTAGCTGAATTGGAAGGAGGAGGATACTGGTTGTACACAGGAAGTCACTGCGGAGCTGACTTGTACACATGGTCATGTGACCCAGCACAACAGGGATGCAGCAAATGAGACAAACTGCTATTCTATTGGTTGAAAGTTTCAATGTTGACATGTCTGACACTGACAACAAGAGCAGGAATAACAGTATCTGGAAGGAGAAACAATTCACCAGCAATCAGAATCCAACGTTCTACATTAGCTTGTACTTGGTAGACTATACAAATGTAACCGGGTTGTACTGATTTGCTAGTAACAACATAATAACTCCTGACAACTTATACATGATATGTACTATCTCAATACGTTGTTTCTCTATTTTAAAACACTTCCATGTTATACTTCTAGTTTGTCACTACCAGTGCTATGACATGCATTTACTGACTGATATGCCTTCTGATTGAGATTTAGCTGAATCCAGTTGCAGTTCCTAACGAAGGTTCTCAAGTTCATGTGGACAGTAGAACTACAACCAGACTGACTTGTTATTCCACCCACCAGACTGACTTGTTATTCCACCTACCAGACTGATCAATACAATGCCCACTGCCATCCCATACAGGTCATAGTGTGTGGAGGTTTCGCTGACCCTTGACCTCATCTCCTGCACAGCGTTCCCATAATCCTTCACCAGACGATTACCAAGCATCTCCCAGGATACTGTTGACAAGTTTGCACTTTTGGTCTTGAGCCAATCAGAGTGTCTGATCATCACTTGCCGATAACGACGATATCCAGTTTCTGGGTTATAATCATGATGATCATAAAGAAAAGACTGTAATTCAGGTGGATTATTTCTTAATGTTAATCTTGCAGCATCTGTAAACTGAACTAAACTACAACTATATTTAATAGTCCACAGTATTTTGTCCATGTATGATTTAGATATGTTTTGGAAAACACTTTTCCTTTGTTATTACTTTCTTCTATTTTCACCCTGCTAGCTGCTGTAACATAAACCTGGAATTGTGTTCTTACATCAAGTGCTTTCTAACTTATGGGTGAGTGAGTATGGTTTTATGCCACTTTAAGCAATATTCCAGCAATATCACGGCGGGGGGACACCAGAAATGGGCTTCACACATTGTACCCATGTGGGGAATCGAACCCGGGTCTTCAGCGTGACAAGCGGACGTCTAACTTATGAGGTAGACCATGCTGCAACATTCACAAAAATGTAATTTTCTGATTAAAATTGATATTTTGTACTTATCCTGACTCATGAGGTTAGCCCGCCCAACCTCCCCTCATGGCACTCTGGATTTCCCTGCAAATCCAAGTGTCGGGTTCGAACATGCGGAGAGAGTGACAAGCATGGCCGATCATGTGACCAACTTTTCGCGCCAAAAGATGGGGGAAAGGGAGACTACTGGGGTGAGTGATTTTACGTCCACTTTTTTGAAGGGAGCTTCAAAAGGGGATTCAAGTGTTCCCCTATAGTTCGCAAGAAGAAGAAGACAAGCAATTAAGCATGAGTCAGGATAAGGAAAAATGTCATTTCTTCAGTTGGTTTAGTCTTGATTGTTTCATTATTGGCATGATTATCTTTTGGGATGCTGAAGTCTGTGATGTTCAATTTATGAAAACGATTCCTCATCTGACAACAAAAGTTCAATAATTTAGCTGAATCTGACAATAACTGATGAGCCAGAGGCAAGAAGAGAGTTATTCTATCTAAATGGATAAAGATGCAGAATATCTCTAATCTAATGCCTACCAGCTGTAAAGGATGTCCCCATGTGATTAAGGCAATCACTTAAAGTGTCAGCCAACAATATCTGTAACTTGAGGTAAGTGTGTTAACAGATGAGTATGATTTCAGTATTTAATGACAGTACTGAGTGTTTACCTTTCTCCACATCAGCTACATTCTGCTCAAGTAAGACTGCCACCTGGTGGGCATTGAGCTGCATCAGTCGGACCTTGTCCTCGAGGCTGTAACCAACCAGAGTTGGGGCAACGATCTCCCCCAGGCTATTTTTAGGTATGGGTATTCCCATGAGGGCAGCCAGAGTGGGGGCAACATCGATCTGCATGATGCTTCCTGCACTAGCCAGGTTCAATCCTGGAATAGTAACAGCAAGTATTAGAAGTAAATGAGTTGTGTTTTACATCAGATATGAGTTTCACACATTGAATCCATGATGGAAATTGGCTTAGGACACTTTAGAGCATGTTAACCATGAACTACCCGTACCAAACTGCAAGCAAAATATTGAGATTTGAGAACACATGAAGTATATCAAATGTTGCAACGGTTGGGAATCATTATGCTTATGTGATGACATCTGAACATAACATCACATCACAAAGAAACAAAAACTGCCTCCAAAATTATTAACTCCTGTCCAAAATACTTTCAGCTTGATGAAATTCATCTTTCATTATAAGTTTGTGTTGTTGTCAATCATATATTGCTGTAATTCACAATGTTTATTGACACATCATAATACTGTGTATGACACTAGTTGACAGTTATCTGTTGTTCTGATGACAAAATGCCACTTGACTGAATGAAGCATCTAAAGGCAATACCTACCAGGTACAGTGTCATTGAGACTGGCTACACCTACCAGGTACAGTGTCATCAAGGCTGGTTACACCTACCTGGTACAACGTCATGGAGACTGCCCACATCTACTTGGTACAACATCATGAAGAATGGCTTTACTTACCTGGTACAACATCATGAAGAATGGCTTTACTTACCTGGTACAACATCATGGAGGCTTGGACTGAGGAAGATGACAGGAACAGTTGTCTCCCCTGGTGATGCCCCACCATGGCCGCCCTGATCACTCATGCCATGATCTCCACACACCATCATCAGACTTGTCAAGTCCCTCTCTTCCGACTGGAAACAATCACAGTTTATATGACAGCTTGTCAACTTCATGTTCACAGGAAAACCAGAAAGGATGTCTATCTTTGAAGTTGACCATTTGATGAAAGTACAGGTACAGTGCTGAAAAACCTAGAAACTTACTCCAAATGAAATGATTACAGCTTCTTGCATGTCTTTGGGTTGCATCTCTGCTCAGCAAATTGCAGCACTTTAGATAATTCTATACTCTCATATCATGATAGGTCAAACATGGACCTACCCATTGCCTCATCGCTTGATACAACTTCTGCAGAATGTTGTCCATCTCGAACAGTTTGGGACTGATAAGGGGACTCCTTGGGCCATCGAGATGACCGATGTGGTCCAGTCCGAGGTAGTGGAGGATCATGACATCCCAGTCATCAAGAGTTATCTCCTCTGGGAGGTGGCGGGTCACCATCACATCAACCTAAACAAAATACACATTTCTTAATCTTTCAATACTAACAAGGGTAAAAACGTCACAGAGAAATGACACCCCACATTTTCTGGTATCAGTAAACAAACATGTACAGTGTAATCACTTAGTTAAAGTGGATGTCTTTCACAATTTTCAATGCAATTTACTGTTTGTTCTGTATAACTGGTACAATATTCTACTACAACAATGACATGTGGGAGCAAGACAATTATTTCCACCCATGTTGGCCAGGTTACCAAAGCTTTTAGATACATAGTGAACATGATCATCATCATAGGATATGAGAGATTGACCTTCTATTCTAATGTGGGGCTACCACAACATCAACATGATGAAAACCTAATACAGATGATGAGTAGTCTACCTCAGTATAATCTGTGACAAAGAAGGACGTTGTGCCATCGGTCCTGTCAAAGTGATCTGGGAACAGCTTCATCCATGTATCATCACCATAAAACACTATCTCCTTTCCTGCTCTCTTCAGCTGCGAGATGATGTTGTCCTCATCCAGGGAACTTGAACCAAAGTTCAGAACAACATCGACAAATCCTGGGATGCCACCAGTTGTTAGTGCCTAAAAAAAATTGATTGTTTGCAATCTGAAGCCTCATTTCGACTTCAACATCAATATGATCTTCCAATTTCCAAATTTTCATTTGTACTGTATCCTTAGTATATTTATTACATTAATCATAAGTCCCCATCATGTCTAACCCGGCGAGGTGGGGTGGCTTGTGGTTAAAGTGTTCACTCGTCACACCGAGACCCGGTTCAATTTCCCCACATGGGTACAAATACTACAATGTGTGAAGCCCATTTCTGGTGTCTCCCCATCCCCCTAGTGATATTGCTGGAACATTGCTAACAAGCAGCATAAAACTAAACTCACGCACTCACTCAAGTCTATCCACCATGATTACCATATAAGGGTCCATATCTCAAAAGATGACTGTCAGTTTGCCATGATAAGAATACATGTAATGTCTCAATTTAACTAATTTTACTTACATCGACAATAAAATGGACAGGAGTGCCCTTTTTTTCGTATTATTTTAGTCATGCTGAGTATGTAGAGTTAACCATCTTTATGTTATTTGTGGTCTTGTTTTGTTTTTGAAAAATACTTTTGCAAATGTTGCTGACATATTTTAACGTTGCCATGCATAATGTAAGTGTTAGATAATTTACAAATAAGCCTGACCTTGCTTCAAGTTGTCATTGGCCAACAAGACGGCAGTCTACTAGGCACTGTAACTGCTAATACTAATAGGCTCCAGTCATGTTGCATACCATTACAATCCAAATGGTTAATTTGGGGTCTTGGGATAGGTTACCCCATCTCTATCAAAAGCAGATGGGTCCCTATTGGGAACATGTACCCTGAATAATAACAGGTGATGATGAGATCAATATAAATTTCCTACCACAACAACATTACGTACCATACTAAATCCATACAATTATCAGAAACCTGTTGTAATGTGGCCACCTGGCATTTGAAAAACGACGAACTGCAATGTTATCAATTGGAATTTGGAAAAGAGCATCCCGTCTGTATAGTACATACTCTCCAATTTTGAGTTGTGAACGTTGAACATGTTGAATACCTTTATTCGAGGTAGTGTAACAGTTGGTGGGTGGGCCTTTGCAGTGAAAGACAGCACATGATGATCTCTTATCAATTCCTTCAGGAACGGCATATACGTTTGAGAAGCAAGAACAAAGTCCGCCCTCAATGCATCAATAACAACTACGATAAGTCTGTCGTAGCGTCCACTTGGTACTGAATTAACGGTATCTCCAGGCACGACTGGGGAATCCTCCAGTTTGGCAAAACCTTTCAGTCCTTGTTTCAGAGGGAAAAATCCTTTCAGAAATATCGAAAAGACAAAAGCTGTACCAACGCCAAACCAATTACAAAATACTCTTTCTTTTCCATTGTCTAATAAATCAAACAAAAATCAGCGATAGCGTCATTACACTCTAAAACAGATTACTAAACAAGTTAGCACATTATGAATTATGGAGGCGGCCATTTTTGTTGTAAACATCCGGTTTATTACAAAAGTGTCAATGATGAATTAGACATAATAAATGTTTAATAATATTTATCTGAACATAATTTGAATATTTGAAATAATATGATATCGAAGAAGACAAAATAAACTTCGAGAGCTCATCGTCAATTAACTGAAGTTAGAATGATATTTGCATTGGAATTCGCCGTTCGTATAGATTTCATTCCAAATGTTTTCGCAATGGTCGTCAACTTCCGGTTCTGCACAAGCATGTTCGACGGATCAAGTAGTGACGAGGACGGTGAATTTCAAATCAACAAGGAGTATGCAGATCGATACAATAAGTGGAGGAAAGCAGAGGAGCTACAAAGATGTAACTACACTAAGCTGTCATATTTCCTTATCATATAAGATGTTCTCAGTGTCGATGAAGCCGAGTTACAATGAGGTTTTTAGGGACCGATAATTTATGGCCTAGGGGTTAGGGGGTTATGATGATTTTATGGAGAAGCATGTACAATGTGAATGCCTCCCCCCCTAGAATTTATGCAGAAAGTAAGTGACCCCGCCCTGCATGTCATGTACAAAATCAATTACCACCCCCACCCCCACATCTTCCCATATTATTTAAGCAAAATGTTTAAATATACCCTATGTACAAAATTGCTGACCCCCCTAGTACATGTGTACAAAATAAATGACCTACCCCTGCCTCATCAGATCACAAAGTCTTAATGTTACTGTTGTGGCTGTGTAATCACGGTCTTGAGTCATATATCATAGTGTTTTCTACACTGAACAACATCCGTTGATGTCTCGATTATCACATGACCTAGTGTAAAACATTTGGCCACTAACCTTCTTAAATACAACTTTATCTTAAATAAAAGCCATCATTCGAGTATTTACATTGTCTGTGAAGCAACCCGCCTCTTTAATATAGCGTTAGAAAAACTATGATCTGACAATACACATGGATTTATATAAGGGATGAGATATGTGACTAATTCAAACCACCACTTTTTGTGAGAATCCAATTGAAATTTGTTATTGCTTGGTTCTACAGTGCAGAAATTTCAAACTTATCGTGCTGATTGGCTGCAAATCATAATACATTTTTAGAATTTATAAAATCTCTCTTACTTCATTACTTGCCTCCAAATATGTTGTCATTATTTTGAAAAGCAAGATGTAACACATCAACATCTGTACCAGTGAAGACTTCACAACCTATCAATCCCATCTGACAATGTGACATGTTGTCTTGTTTGTTTTTCAGTGAAGGACAAATATGGAGACGTGGAAGGATCCGATTCTGACTCTGACTCTGAAAGCGAGGATGAAGATGGGGAGGTAATCACAAGTAATAGAAGTCTCCTCCGCCTCAGTTGTCTTCATCACTTACTAAATTACATAGCATGTTCACCACATGACTGCAACGTAAATTACAGGATGCCTTTGTTTAAACTTCCTCAGCTACTGATTCTTGTCCTTCAGGCACTCACTGCAAATCTGGAGAAAGGTTGGCTGAAGACCCTTTCTGCATTGAAAAACAAGGATCCAAAGATCTACCAGAAAGATGTCAAGTTTTATTCAAGTAAGTGGAAGCACGTTATTTTGGCACATTTAGTTCCTGGGTTTCAGTACTTCTTAAACTGTTTGTGTGATATTGTTAATAAAACATTTCGACCAACCAAACATTTGGGTATGAAGTTTTGCTGGATGAAGTTATTTGATTTCATTAATCATTAGTCTTTCAACATTAGTTCAGAAGAGATAGGTTAACTATTATTCCTTGTAGTTTATAGGCTATTCCCAAATTCCTAATGCTCTCCATATATTGTAAATCGACAAAGTTTTGCGGGCAGTATTCCTTATTATCTACAAATCCTTGCATTCAGTGTTGAACAAGTCAGCATGAAGCATAAATAATTTTTGCTGAGTGGGATGCTATTTGTACCGACATCTGTCCTCTGTTGGGTAATAGAATGTTTATTGTAACCAGACATGAAAAGATGAAGATGTAAAAGCCGTATAGTATGAGCTAATCCAATTCATCACTGTAGTGTATTGCCATTGTACAAAGAGGCATCTAGCACATGCTATGACATATGGAATGACATCATGATCTGGCCTGTTGTACTACAACCATGCTTGAAAATAAGAAAGCTTATTGTGAGTCCAATGTATGTGTGATCATGGATCAAATAAATTATGGTTCTTACTGTGAAACGATACATAGAAACATACATAACAATCACAAGGTGTAACATATATTATATTTGGGATTGCACTTGCTTAGTAAAGTTCAGATTCTAGTACCTTTGTTGGGTGGACTTGCCTACATACAAATCATTCATGACTCATGACCTTGTATTTATAAAAGCTTGTCAGACTGAAGTAATGTGGTTGAATATGTTTGAGCTGAGACTCACACTCTACACCCACTCAAACACACACACACACACACACACACACACACACACACACACACACACACACACACACACACACACACACACACACACCTCTGGATCCGCCTATGATTTCCCAATGCAGATATACGCGGAAAGACATGTTTCCATGTATTCCTTAAAGGTCACATGCAACGTAAAACACAACTTTGCAGATTCTGATACCTTTCGGTATGGACTTACCGAAACAAATCGTCAAAAATGCAAATTCAACTTATAAAGTTCAAAAATAACGCGATGAAAAAAAACGTGCGAAATCGGAGTTCAAACGTTTCACTAATTTTCCCCCGACTTTTCTGGGGAAAACGGGTTTCAACAGCTGGGCTGTGCTCATAGCACGTGCGCAGTGAAATAGGTTCGCGCAGCTTGGAAGCGGGTTGTCGGGTGAATACTTACTCGGTGAAGGCTTTGGTGTGAGCTATTTTTCTAATGTTTTGTTGATATCTCACAGGCGCGAGCTTTTATATGTTATGACAGTAAATTAACTGTTTATATAATTTCATTTGTCTATTTCACCACACGTTCTTCTTACCGAGTCACTTTCTCAGTTCGATGCTTAAAAGCAATGTCATTATTTAGCGTTGTACAGAATTTCTAACTGTGATATAGATATGTCGTTGTCACAGACAAAACTCAGTGTCTTGTTTTATTGACACCTGTGTGTCTGCCTTCCTGTCTGACAATATTCAATACACAGCTGCTATCACTGACCACATGCAATTTGAACTTAACACCAATCAGGCTATACACCATAAACAAAATGCATTGATTTATGGCCCGAGTTCGGTCTCTGTCACATTATGTAATTACACAGACAGGCAGGTGTGATACTTGTACACATGACATGTTATGATGTCTGTTGATTGCAAAATGTTATACACAAAAAATGAGCATGTATTTACAAAACCAAACATCTCTATATATACACACACAATGAGCCGTGAGGGCATCTGCAAATGAACCAGCCGTTACACTTGAGTGCACACCCACCCGCTCTGACTGGGTTCGGTATCCCGGCTGCTTCGTTTCTTGGGAAGTAAACCGAAGTACACAATTTTGCACTTTTGATTTTTCGATTATGCGCTTATAATTTTGTTTATATGTTTTTCATTACCAGCAATGTATATTATATGTCATGAATAAGTGATAATTGCCGTTGTCAAGCAAGAGTGATACATGAAGTGTAGGAGCTGCATATATATACTGTATATAACAATGAAACAACATAATAGACAAAGGAAACAACATAATTGCCATGATTGGCTAAGCAGTAAGCTGATGAAGCCAATAAGTACATAAAGGATAGTGAGTGGAAGCCAGAGATGTAGTTACAATGAGATGTTTATATACAATGGATCGCGATGTTTATGTCGATATACTGGGCTTGGTGGAGGAGTGGATCATAAGCAGATGGAATGAAGTATCCTTGGTCACGCGGTTGATGGTAGGCTTGTGGCGTTTGATGTGAATGGCTTCTGTGAGCTTGCGTTTAGTGAAGTCCGTTTGGTTGTTGGCCGAGAATGGTGATGTCGGACCACTCTATTTGATGATTGGGGTTGGCTTTGATGTGGTCAGAGATAGCTGATTTGGTGTCGGAATTAGCAACAGAGGTGCGATGTTCTTTGACACGGGTGTTGATGGGTCGGGATGTTGATAATTGTGTTTTAATTATGTTTGATTTTTTGGTTGCATGTGACCTTAAGACACGATATTATGTGTGAACAAATGGATAACTAGACAGGTTAAAACAAGGTAATATGAATAGGTTTGGTAATTCACCAACAAGGTAATTGTGACGGTGATAGGATAAAGACACTGATAATTCATGCATTGTAAAATATCAGAAGTTGGTTTTTGTGTCAAGGTGATGAAGAAGGCAGCAGCGGAAAGGAAAAGAAAAAGAAGGACAAACCACTGTATCTGAAGGACTATGAAAGGAAGCTGATCCTGGAGAAACAAGGGTTGGCAATTCACCGATGGAATATTCAAAATAATTATTTAAAAACTAAATAGTTTCATTGTATTTACCATGTTTGACATATTTAGCACTTAGCTCAAATCTAAACTTGACACCTATTATGATACCCTAGCAAAGATGGTTAATTATTTCGAAAGTTTTAAAATCACACAAAACTGTCAATAAAAAGGTATGGCCATTTGTCACAAACACCAACATACTTCGGGATTCCCGCTCGCCTTAGTGATGTATGCTGAATATTTTCTTGTGCTTTGTGCACACATGCCAATTTTTTTGCAGAGAATGGTTTGCATACATACATGCAATAGTGAATTCTGATCATTTTTACACAATACTCAGTAATTACCATGTGCATGGAACACTAGAAATACCATGCCAACAAACATGCTAATTTAACCATGCAATTTCACCAGCTGCTTATGAAAAGTGTTGATTGTATATCTGGACTGAGTTCAGAAGGTACCATGGTATTGGCCTTAAAACTGATTACATCTCATCAGGTTAGCATAGTGAGATTGTGTACGAAATATCTCGACACGGGTTGACTTTCAGTGTGAAGAAAATGTGCTGTTGTGTGTAATTTGTTCTGTAAGTAACATATTGTTAATCTTTGTAGAGTTGTTATTCATCTGTCTGCACTGGTAACTGACCTGTTCTGTGTTCAGGGACTCCAGCAGTGATGACAGTGACTCAGGCGTTGGGGACCCAGACCAGACACCCGGCTACTACAAGCAACAGGAACAGCTTCGGAAAAGGTCAGTTGTACACCCGACTGTGCATGTGTCCTCCATGATGCTTTCACTTTAGCTGACTACTTCATCACGTTTGACAATGTCGTGGTAGTCAATCTAAACCTTTCTGTGTGTTTTGTTACATAGTGAACTGTTGCAGAGGGTTTCTTTGTGTTTGTATGACCTCTACCTTCGCCTTGACCCTGGCATTTGTGAGAACTGACCATGTCCTCCACTGCTTACTTGACTGCTCTGATTGTGTGAAGCAATGTACACAGTTGTTTATTCAGTAATCAGGCATGGGATACAGGTGGCCTACAGTACAGGTGTTTTCACAGGTGACATCCATGTGATACAAGCAGAGCGAAACATGTGTAAATAATGTTGAATGTGTGTTCTAGCATTGTCCTTTATGTTGAATGTGTGTTCTAGCATTGCCCCCTTATGTTGAATGTGTGTTCTAGCATTGCCCCTTATGTTGAATGTGTGTTCTAGCATTGTCCTTCATCATGTTGAATGTGTGTTCTAGCATTGCCCTTTATCATGTTGAACTTGAATGTGTGTTCTAGCATTGCCCCTTATGTTGAATGTGTGTTCTAGCATTGTCCTTCATCATGTTGAATGTGTGTTCTAGCATTGTCCTTTATGTTGAATGTGTGTTCTAGCATTGCCTCCAATCGTGATTGTGTGTCAAGCATTGCCTCAAATGTTGAATGAGTGTTCAAGCATTGCCCCCAATGTTGATTGTGTGTTCTAGCATTGTTCCTTATGTTAAATGTGTGTTCAAGCATTGTCTTTTATATTGAATGTGTGTTCAAGCATTGCCCCCAGTGTTGATTGTGTGTTCACACATTGCCCCCAAGTTGATTGTGTGTTCAAGCATTGTCCCTAATGCTGAATTTGTGTTTCACCATTGTCCTTTATGTTGAATATTTGTTCCAGCATTGCCCCAAATGTTGAATGTGTTCCAGCATTGTCCTTTATGTTGAATATTTGTTCAAGCATTGCCCCCCAATATTGATTGTGTGTTCAAGCATTTCCTCCAATCATGATTGTGTGTTCAAGCATTGCCTCAAATGTTGAATGTGTGTTCCAGCATTGTCCTTTATGTTGAATATTTGTTCAAGCATTGCCCCCCAATATTGATTGTGTGTTCTAGCATTGCCTCCAATCGTGATTGTGTGTTCAAGCATTGCCTCAAATGTTGAATGTGTGTTCCAGTATTGCCCCTAATGTTGATTGTGTGTTCCAGCATTGCTGAGGCAGTGGTTGAGTCAAGCGACAGTGATGAGGATCTGCTGACTCACAGGGTCAAGACACAAGATGAGGAGGTGAATATACATGTCCAACAGTATCACTACTGCTACCAAGCATGGGGTGGCACAGTAGCCTACTACAACACAAATCTCCATGTTAAGTTATGCCACTTAGTGATCCGAGGATGTGCTGATTCAGATCTTAAATTCAGGTCAATTATTATTCTGTCAGCACCATACATATTTAAATGTGAAAGACTCATGTTGAAAATTTGTGGTATAGATAAAGAGTTGAAGAAATTGCCAGGATCATTAGCTCATCCAATTGACTCTCCATTTGGTGGAGATTTCTTTGGATTTTGTAATTGATTTTTACTTCTTTTGTGATACGAGCAGACTGACATTAGGATCAGAAGGTTACAGTGTTGATTAATGATGTATTATTGAACCCAAGCGGAAGTTTGGAACTCTAATCACTTGCTCACTAATATTCCAGAAAGATGAGGAGAAGGAATACCTTGCATGGCTCAAAGGTCAGAAGAAGACGTTGAAGTCGCACCAAGCTGTGAAGGAGGAGCTGGTAAGATTTGACCTGACTACTACCCGTATTAGCTATTGCACATGTTTCAGATGAAGTACTTGCCTGATCACGTCATTTGATAAGGGTGTATGTGTACTTCTGGATTTAAATATAATAGGTTTCTCACCAATGTCAAGCATTCTGATTCAGTTTTGTACACAGCAACAATAGTTGAGCAGGTGTTCAAAAGATAGTGGTGGCACATTTGACTGTTATCTAGCAGAGTATTCCAGACTGGGGAAGAATTGATTTTATTACCCTGCTGTTACATGACAAAAGTAATTCACAATCTGCATGGTTGTTCAGGAACCACTGAGGAAGTACTGGAATGATCCCAAACTGGATGAGGGGGAGAAGTTCCTGAAGGACTTCATCCTGAACAAGAGATACGTCGACAAGGATGCAGAGAGGTAAAGCTCAGGGACATAGATGTAGATTGGAAGAGCATACCAGAATATTACCATGGACCAGTTCATGTATGTTTGGTGATTCAGAAGTACATAATCAAATGATGTCCTGTTTTTCTGCTAACCTAAGGATTCCTACCTATGACGAGATTGTGGATGACAGTGAAGACATCTCTGACGAGGAATATATTGAAATGCAGGAGAAGTTTGAGAGGAAGTACAATTTTCGTTTTGAAGAACCAGGCGCTGATGATGTGAGTATTTAGGGAATATGTGTCAAGCAATTGTCTCAGTTTGCAGTACATGTTATCTGGTAATTTTTGGATTAAAAGCTGGATTACAATTTCTGTTATATAATAGTAAGAAATATCTATAGATTTCTACCTCTCAGGAAATGCCTTACCTAAAGTGCTGTTTTAGATGGCAATACAAATTTGGTTGAAGCCAGGGCTGAGCAGTGCAGAGCTTTCATAACAGAAATGTTTATTCTTCACAGCTTTGTAGTAAAGGTCATGTATTTATCTTGTTTTTTATCTTTGTGTTAACTTTGCTTACTGTCACAGATTAAGAGTTTCCCGAGGAGAATCGATGACTCTGTGAGGAGAAAGGACAACAAGAGAGCTGATCAGAGAGTGGCTAAGAAAAGCAGGAAGAAGGAAGTAAGATATCAACTTCCTGTTGTCATGGTTACCTCAAAGACTGACATCTTCTTGTCCTTAAGAACAAGAACTCATGCATCATTATTGAAAAGTTATTCCATCAGTGGTCATGTATGAGTCAATATTCGAATGATGATATTAACAAAAGTACATTTTTAAGACTATTTAGTGTGTGGGACTGGTTCCTACATGTATATGAATTAACTAAAGTTTCATAAAGCAATTGGATATGTACATGATTCACATTCCTGCTGCATGGATGAATGGAAATGACAGCAAATTCTTTATTGATGGTCTTGATTGCAAGAGTTATTCCCCTTACAGGAGAAAGATACCCGACTTGATGAGCTAAAACAGCTGAAGAAGATGAAGCGTCAGGAAATTGAGCAAAAGATTGAACATCTCCGTGAGATCACTGGTAACAAGGACATTGGCTTCAGCTCTGCCGACCTGGAGGGTGACTTTGACCCTGAGGAACATGATCGTATGATGCAGGTCTGTGAGATCAGATGTGCTTCATTGTATTAGGAATGGATGCTTCTGTTTCGACCTGTAGAAAAATATCATGCATCATGAATATTTTCAAAAAAATGTTTGATATAGGAAATCACAAGCTGGTATGCAAGCTGACATCAACTTTTACTTTTGGTTGATTGACAAGTCATCAGGTTGTACATTTGTTGCAGCAATACTTCGCTGACGAGTACTACGGGGATGGAGACGAGGAGGAGGTTAAGCCACCATGCCCTATGGAGGATGACGATCTCCAGACAGGTGATGCACATACTGTTATCCTTAGGGGGTTCAAGGTCGGAGTAGGTCCCCAGTACCTTGTGCTATCACACTAGATCATTCAAATGGTGTTTGGGAGGTTAGACTGTTGAAACCATGCTTTCAGAAAGTGAGGAGTAGGATTTGGGTAAAAATAAGGGATTTCAAAAGAGTAACAGCAGCATGTTGTTGGGTGTGAGGATGATGAATGTGGCCTTTGTTTTGGAAGTGGGAATGACATTGTTTGCTGAAATAGCTGAAATGTTTTTTTCAAAGAGATGTATATGAATATATGCCTAAATTTCTGACACAATTTGAGACTGGAAGGGAAAACTGTACTTGGAACATTTCTGTAACCTTGCTGGTGGAGGGATAACGATGACCTCATTGTTTGTCATTCAACATTCCTACATACACATGAAGTGTTGTTATCAGATCTTGTTTTGTGTTTATAGACAACTGGGACTACTGGGCTGGGGAAGAGGAGAACAAGGACGAGCTGTACGCTGATGACCCAGGCTTTGTGGTAGGATTATTTGTACCCTGGATACACCTGGGATGGGTGGGAGAGGGTTACGGATGTCGTGAAGGCTGCACAGGTAGCTAAGTAGTAGGAGTTAGATCCTTTGGACATGCCAGAAACCTGTCGTCATGGTATTCAAAACCCGTTTCGAGCAGATCATGCTGCCAGGTTTATCACATGCTCATGGGCTACCCCAAAATGGTAAATATGTACATGTTGCTTTTATGATGCATATCCTTTCCATCATAGTTGTACATTAAATTGGCACCGGTCTGGTTCCAGTAGGAGAATGACGCTTGGCTCTCTGTTGAATCAGTAGGTTCGTCCTGTGTATTTTACTCTCTTCCTTGGTTTCACTAAAGTGCTAGGGGCTAGTGGGGTAGCCCAGTGCTGAAAGCGTTTGCTCATCTTGCCATGGTCAGCAGTTTTTGTCTGTGGTATTGCATCTTACATTTATCATCTGTAGTCTACTTTTTATGTTTGTCTGTCATATTTAGTGATCATTTTCTATTGCCATCATATCTGATGTTCATTGTCTATCGTCACATGTGATGTCACCTGTTGACAGATGGATGCAGATTATGATCCAAGTCAAGACACAAGGTCAGAAAAGAAGAAGAAAAAGAAGAAAAGTAAATTAGCACAAGCTCTTTCTAAGGAGAAGCCTGTCTTCAACCCAGGTAGATACTGGACTACATTCATGACTTTCCTCTTCAGTCTGTGGAAATAAGACAGTTAACAATGACAGTGAATAAACTGCCAGAGAGGTCTGTCCTGAATATGACATGGCCTTTCATTACTGTTTTCATTTCCAGTGATTGCCATTTGTACTGTACTCCATTGTCCATTGGTTAATGGAGGATGAATGTTTAAACGTGTCATGTGGTGAATGTCATGGGGTATTTTTTCAATTGCAGATGACAAGTCATTTGAGCAGTATGTTGACGAATACTACAAACTCGACTATGAAGATATGATCGGAGACATACCATGTAGATTCAAGTATCGGACAGTGATGGCCAATGACTTTGGTCTCAATGTCAATGAGGTAGATGCATATTGTCGTGTGTCGTGTCTTTGTCAATGTAGGAACCAGTCAGTAATTATTGGTCTGGATAAAACAAAATACACATATAAGAGGAGGTCATGGTGTTTTGCATTTTACCTTTTCAGGCTAGGTCATGTCAGGGACATGGGAATGGTCATCAGAAATTATATTAAAGCATTATTAAGGATGGAGGGAACTTGGAGTGTTTCAAATCATTGGAGCATTAGAAACTTCTGACACACAACCCCAGTCCCCATGTAATAAATGAGGGGTCTCAAGGATACCACATCATGTTTCTGTTTTTTGGGATTGAAGGTTATCAGAACATTGCTGGAATGAATGACAAGCAGTGATTTTGTGATTTTATCTGCATTATGTGTTGTCTACAGATTCTAACGTGTCGAGACAAGGAGCTGAACTCATGGGTGTCGGTGAAGAAGATGAGTCAATACAGGTGTGTAAATATGTACAATCTGGGCAAACATGTACAGGTACAGAGAGGCAGGGAGACATGAACATTCGAGCAGTACAGTGAGTTTTAGTTTTAGTTTTACGGCGTACTCAGCAATATTCCAGCTGTATGGCGTCGAGCAGTACAGAGGTGGCAAACATGTACAGGTACAGAGAGGCGGGGAGACATGAATATTCGAGCAGTACAGTGAGTTTTAGTTTTAGTTTTACGGCGTTCTCAGCAATATTCCAGCTATGGTGAGCTCAGCAATATTCCAGCTGAGTTTTAGTTTTAGTTTTACGGCGTACTCAGCAATATTCCAGCTGTATGGCGTTGAGCAGTACAGAGGTGGCAAACATGTACAGGTAGAGAGGCGGGGAGACATGAATATTCGAGCAGTACAGTGAGTTTTAGTTTTAGTTTTACGGCGTACTCAGCAATATTCCAGCTGTATGGCGTTGAGCAGTACAGAGGTGGCAAACATGTACAGGTACAGAGAGGCGGGGAGACATGAATATTCCAGCAGTAAAGACGTGGGAGACATACAGAATAGAAGACGTGTACAGTTAAAAAATGGAGAGGTGGGAGACACACAGGCAGGGAAGACATGTTCAATTACGGGAGATATGTAGTGTGTTTACACATGTACAGGTGTAAAAACATACAGGTGGGGAAGATTGTACAGGTGTCTGTGCAGGTTCAGATAAGTATACAGAATAAGTAAACAGGCACAGCTAGGGAGGGTGTACAGGGTTTACAGCCTGTATGACAATATGATTTGTTGTTCCAGGAGTGAAGGGGAAGAGAAGCGAGACCTGTCAGTATACAGACATCGGGCAACCACCAAGAAGAAGACCAACATCTTGACCTCACTGCAAGACAGGTAACAGAAGATAGGCAAAACATTTTCACACATTTTCAGAACTGACATGATAATGTTTTCTGAACATTTAAATGTAGCATGGCTGTAAAACTACACAATGGTTAACACAGATGACACTCAGTCTTTATTACTGTACCATAGTTTCTGTGGACAGGGCTGTTACATAGAGACAGAGACATTACTCTAGATATATGTTACATCCAGCCTCCTACATCAAAGTGTGTGTACAAAGGGTCATTACTCTAGATATATTACATCCAGCCTCCTACATCAAAGTGTGTGTACAAAGGGACATTACTCTAGATATATTACATCCAGCCTCCTACATCAAAGTGTGTGTACAAAGGGACATTACTCTAGATATATTACATCCAGCCTCCTACATCAAAGTGTGTGTACAAAGGGTCATTACTCTAGATATATTACATCCAGCCTCCTACATCAAAGTGTGTGTGTCTAAAGGGACATTACTCTAAACCGTTGACTCATATATAGTCATTATGGTTTTACGCTGCCTTTAGCAATGGTCTGTCAACATCACAGCAGGAGCACCAGAAAAGGAACACACTGTACCAGTACAGGGAATAGAACACAGGTCTTGAGCGAATGACTTAACCATACGGCTTAACCCACCACCTTGATTCATTTGTAAATGTATTTCCTTAGATGATCTGACATTCTCCTTATCAACAGGGTTCAACTATATAGGGCAATTTTTATTATGCATTGAACAAAAGATCTGTTTGCTTGGCATTTTAGAAGATGTGAGTAACATACATTTTATGATGGCATCATAATGGAATAAGGCTGTTTTCACTTGCCTTTATCATTGAACATATTTTGATGCAGCACCAACTGTATTTCAGTGTGAAAAAGGAACCTGACAGTCCCAAACCCAGCACCAGCTCCACAGCAGGAAGTGCCCATGCAACCAGTCAGTCAAGGAAGAAGAAGAAAGGTGGCAGTGGCCAGGTGTTTGTCAAAGGTGAAGTAGACTCTGTGAGTGACACAGCAAAGGAGGAGGATTGTGCAGATGTTCCTGCTCTTGGGAAGAAGAAGAAGAAGAAAGGTGGCAGTGGCCAGGTGTTTGTCAAACATGACGTAGACTCTGTGAGTGACACAGCAAAGGAGGAGGATTGTGCAGATGTTCCTGCTCATGGAAAGAAGAAGAAGAAAGGAGCTAACGGCCAGGTTGTTGCCAAAAGTGAAGCTGATTCTATCGGTAGCATAAACATGGGCAAAGGGGTGGATCGTGTAGACGGTCCTTCTGATAAGAAAATGAAAAAGAAGAAAAAGAGGAAGAGAACTGAGGAAGTGACCTCCTCCCAACATGACAACGACAGCGCAGAAACACATAGTCCAAAAAAAAGCAAGAAAGCCAAGTTGGACAATGGTGTGCTTGATACAAAAGGCATGTCCACTCAAGATGGTAAGAAAGATTGTGAACAGTCACCGAAGAAACCCAAAAACAAGAAAGGAAAGAAAAAGAACTTTGGAATGTCAGATGACAGGTTGAAGGCATATGGTATTGATCCAAAAAAGATCAGATTTATGAAAACAGACAATTTTAAGAAGGAAAAACAGCAATAGGATATTCAGAATTTGTACATATGAAATAAAAACAAATTATAAAGTCATTAGTTTTTTTGTCTGTCACAGTGATAATCCTGTTGATATTGCCTGCTACACTGACGAGAACAGACATATCAAGTACTTTTCTTTTAACTAAAATGGCATATCTGCATTTTGTCAATTATGTGTCAGGCCAGTCGTCATTCCAAGTCACAAATGATTGCATACCAAGCACTGTCACTGTCACCATCATTTACGTCAGGAGTTTCACAATGTGGCCTTCAAGTTTTGGACTGCAAAGGTCCAGGTCATGTTTGTCTTCAGCAACCCATCCTTGTAAAAGGCATTTAACGTCATATGGCCAGACTCACTAAATTTGTTGATATATGTCATTATGTCCCAATCGGGTAGAGCCATGTTCATGATGCCAATCACTTAAACAACAAACTTCAACATCGTTGACTACATACTGTAGCTTGGTCAGTCAGTTTCCTGTAATTGAGAATACCAATAACTTCACGAAAAAGGATGTTTTATGAAATTTATTATCAGATTATCACATACAAAAACTAACATTAAAATCTGGAAATTTCATAAGTCAATCCAAACAGTCTTAAGTCAGTCTGACACTGTCTACAGATGCAGGATACTTCACATACAAGAGAGTTTTACATCACGTGTCTACACAACCATGAATACTCCTCTCCAACACAGACAACACCTAGAACAAATAGTAGTTGATGACAGCAGTGTTTCCTGTTAAACAACATCAGCATTATTCTGATGTGTGGTATATATTGTGTGAAAGCAAAATATGGGTCAGGTTTTCTGTAAGCCAAAATCTAAATCAGTGGAATATGGCCATATTTAATATTTCCTTTGAAGGAAAAGAGAAGTCTGTCAAAATGCTGTCATCCAAAACAGATTTTAACTGCAGGGGCATGGATAGGACACTAGGTACTCAAATAATATTCAAGGCAGTGAGTATGGTTTTATGACACTTTCAGCAATACTCAAGCAATAGCATGGCAGGGGGGGACACAAGTAATGGCTTCACACATTGTACCCATATGGGGAATCGAACCCGGTCCTACCTATTAGGCTACCCAACTGCCCAAAATAATCTTCAAGACATGAATAGTTCTTTCAGACATTTGTAACCACCCGGTCTTAACTTTTGAGCATGACTTTATTAAGCATTTGTTTTCAACTATAAAGCTTGTCTTCAAAAAGATTTCATATTATCCAGGATATAATGAGTTAAAAAGTTTAAATCAAATAAGAATAAAAGTATTGCAAAGAAAACAGTCCACCCAGTGACAACCAAGCCACAGACACAAAGCCTCTTGTTACTACGAACATGATGAATACTGTGGGGATACATTACATACCCACTGCAATGAATGTGTTTAGATTACTCCTGTGGGTTAATTTAGGTAAGGAGAATATTATCATTACACCTACATGGCTTCATGAGAATATCGGGGCAAAATTGAACAAATTGTGTGCCATTTATTGAATTTGATCTACATCAATAATAAACAGTTGAGCTTCATTTCAAGAGGAAGGGTTTACCATCAACAGATATAACAGCTGTTACAAAAATGTCCTTTACAAACATTTCAATTTGATCAACATCTAAAATTAATTGTAACATTATTTTCATCATTAAAAAAGATAAAAATTTAACAAGAATGTGACAAACATGATTCAATTGATTACAAATATAAACCAGCAACAGCATCAGTTAACACATTAAATTGTCGATAGGTTACTTCATTAAAAATAAAAATCATTGTTGAAGTGTGAGTTGTGTTAATATCGCATTCTGCTTATCAGCAACATTGAAGAACAGACATGTTGAAATAATTATGACACAATATTTTCATACTGATTATGCTTGTCTTACTCAAGTTTTGTCACTTACAGGACTTTCAAGTGACAGGTAATTTGAACATTAAGGCAATACCGAAACAAAGACACCCCCACCTTTTAGAAAACATACTAGTTTTCAAACAGATTCTCTTGAAATTATTCATGCATTAGCTTGACAGCAGTGTTAATCTCCTAGTGAAACTGGTTTGAAATGAATTTAATTTATAACAGTGAAGTATAAGTTATACATTAGAAAAGCAATACAATTAGATGATCAATCGGCACATAAATACTGAATAAATACTGACCATTCAATATTGAATTAGTTACACATGGAGAAATTGAATACTGGCAAGTCCTCACTCATACATACCCGGTGTACCACATAGCATAGTCAAGGATTTGTCCTCATACATATGCTACAGGTATACAGAGTTAATGTAACTGCACCTAATAGATGAGTGGGTTGACTTCTGTCAACTGTATTCCAGTTATTTTATGGTATATCAGCTTGATGTGCAAGAAAGCCCTGAAGTGATGCAGGTTCCATTTGTGTAGTGCTTCGGTTGAATCCACTAGCAAGGGTCTGTTGCTGAGAAAGCCAGGAAGTAATCTTGGCCAGATGGGGATTCAAACCCATTATCATAGATTTCTGGCAAACCCAACTAACAGCTCTTCACAGTGAATTGCAGTGCTTCAAACACCTGGACCACCATGCCCCGGTAGCTGTATGTAGTTTGACTAGCTGTATGATTCTAGGTACCAATGGCAACACAATAGGGGTTAAACTCACTGATGTTACCTCACTATACACCAGGGCATGGACAGTTGCACAGAATTAGCATATGTACTTTACATGTAAAGATCCTGACAAGGATATTCACATTCAAACTTCTTATGTTGGCAGGATTCCACCAACCCACCCACCATTTGCAAACCCAACATTTACACAGGTCCTTTCATGGCATCGAATGTGCTGTAGATTTAATGTTTGTTAATATCATGGGGACTTGTAAATTTGAGCAATGTGGACAACACACTTACAATACTGTGAGGGACAGTGAACAAGTGAAGAAAATTATCACTTGCCTGAGTCAGCAATACTGACGTGAGATCATCTGGGTTATCGAATGTAACCTTCGGCACCACAGAAACATGTTTATATACGCTCCTAACTGAACAGGAATCTAATATTTATAGAAAGGATTTTGCAAAACATATGTCCTTCAGTAACAAAAAACATTGTGAATTATTCATTTGCTATTGTGACTGCCAAACTATTTTTTCTTGGGAGTCATTAGATTTTGACAGGAAGAGAAAGTTCTATTGTAAGACAATGATTAACCTTGCAATGATCGCATGTCAAAGTGAGTGAGTGGGTAAATATTACATAACACATCAGCAATGTTGCAGCTGTTTGTGGCAATCATGTCAAGGGGAAATAGTATAGAAACAAACAGACCAGTCCCCACCCGCCAAACTGATTTAACAGAATTGCGTAAAACTGATTTCCATATATTCCCCATTTGCATTATTTTGACTCCAATGACATGTTTATGTGTTCTAATACTACATTATTCCTGAGCAGGCCTTTACATATGCTTGGCTCAGTAAACTTATGCCCCTAGATTCTGTTCTAGATCCTCCTTCAAAGTAATTTAACTCAGCATGAATATCAACATGGTATTCTACGAAGTAACAATCCATGACTACTACCTACAATATTCTTCTGTTTGGCTTGTGATACCCTCCAATAAAGACATTCCATCAGTTAAGGTAAGACGTACAGGTACACAGACACCCATCTTGATAAGAAACATACCTGAGATACTAAACACTAAAGCCTGATACAAATGTAGACATTGTACCATACTTTCAGTTTCTTCATCAAAAAGTAACTATGTAAATTAACAATAACATTATTAAGAGAAATGAATTGTATGTTTAACAATGGATCACAACACAACATGGAGATATGCTCCGCTGCATTGAAGTAATCACAGATGATATAAAATCTTGTCAAGGACCAAGCTTCAATACACATTGAGATGCTTGCAAACATCAACAATGATAGTATGACTGATGACAGGAATTCAAACATAAAACACATGTAGATTTTCATTTTTCTATTTGAAGACCTATCCATAACGAACTATATTTGTATGAGAAACGTAAAACATGTCATAGAAACATTTTAAACCCGTAGCTGACAATGCCAGGTACCAAATATTAGCACAGGAAGGCCTCAATAGTAATCTGTTACCTCTGTGGATGAAATATTGAGATACATTGCAAGAAACTGAAGTGTATTGCTTGGTCCATGATATATAAAAAGGCTGCCTAGTGTGGACGTTTATCAGACTTTGTTGTCACGGACACGGATCCCCCAGATGCTGGTGCGCCTGATGCCGGTGGTGGGCCTGGCGATGCTGGAGAAGGGGAACTTGTTAATCTCTATGTGGCGCATGCTGCGACGTACAACCTGCAGTGCATCCTCACGGAACATCCCAAACAGATCTAGTGCCAGCAGGTTGCTGATCTTGTCAAGAACACTGGTGGAAAAAAGGTCAAAATGAAATTTCTTCCAAAACTATAGAATAAGCAAATACACATACACCTATTCCCTATGCTGTCTAACAGGTTTATGTTTCGAAATAAAGAAAAGCCCATAATTTTTAAATAAATTGCTTACCACTTACACCATTGTGGGCACATAAAATGCAATGTGGTCTAAGTACAATATCCCAATAATAAAAGGTACACATCAAGGGAGTCAAATGCCCTTTCTTAATGTCATAAGGAATCAATGAAAGGATATTCTGTTATACAGCAGTCAGAAAAATTCCAGCTATAACATGACAGTATGAATAATACAGTTGTTTACTGCACATGGAATAATCTTCACTGGCACTGACTACCATACACTGTAACCAACACAACAATTCCTCATTAGTTTGCCATTAAACAAGCATGGGGTACTGGGGAACCCACAGTTGGGACTTGGGTTATAAGTAGAGGAGAGCATGTATACTGACGGGAATGTGGTGGAGGCGATGTGGTAGCATCTGCTGAGGGCCAGGTGTTCCAGCTCTGTGAGGTGGTCAGCTATGTGGTGTACTGAGGCACAGGTGATGCTGGTTGAATCACTCAAGTCCAGCTCGTTCAGGTAGGGACATGCACGACACAACTGCAACACATCTACAGAGGGAATACAGCATTAGATACATTCACATGTATGGTTTATATGGACGTACGATTATAATAGGGCTGCCTATCAATATATATTATACAGATCAATAATCGTGTACAAAATACATTTGTGTCTATCGATTATTGATAAATATTGGAGAAGTAACTTTGAGCAAAATTCAAAAGGATGCAAAAGAAATCCAAATATTTCATTTCACAGGTGAGTCATGATACATTTATGCATAGATTTCTATCAAAACAGCATTCTGAACATGGTTTTGAAGCATCCTCTGAATAAAGACTTAAGTTTGTGTATGTGTATTGCGTGTGTAAATTAGAACTTTGTTTCATCACAATAGTTCATAAAGGATATTACCGATGACACAATTTCACATCAATAATCATTACTAATTCTTCCCAGGATTTCTGATTATCAAAATTTTGGCTAGCCCTAGCTAACAAGGTATCTTGTATTGCATTTAAGGTATTACCAGTGGCAGTATTGTTGACCATTCAATGAACCTAAATGTATGAGCACACCTAAACAAGAATCCCTTACCTTCATCAGTGATGTTGTCTCTGCAACCGCTAATGTTGAGTTTGTGTACACTGTCCGGCAGACAAAGCGTCACGTACATGACATTGTTACGATCTAAGGATGTCCAGGCCAGATTGATGGAGTCAAGTTTCCGACAATTTGACATGATGGGTACCAGACCATTAGCAGTGATTCCTCGACACATACATAAGTTCAGAGTCTCCAGATCCTTGTTCTCTCCAATATAGCTGAAAGTATATGTCTCCATGAAAACTTGTGCATAGTTGTTACCCAAACTCACTGGGCATAATGAATAAATGTGACAAATATAGGAGTTCTTCAGCATGGAATTTGTTAGAAAGGCTATTTGGCAGGTTGCAGAAATTAGGAGGTAGCATTACATGTTAAATGTGGTGACATTAGAAAGTCTGTTTTAAAATTCCTAAGACTGACCACTGACAAAATGGACAGCCATCAAACTGATGATTTTTAATTAAACGAACTGAGGGGATGTCAGAGTGACTGAAAGGGGTTTTGACAGCCCATTTTTCAAAGATAACAATCAACTGTATTGTTTTCTCTCATAATTGTTTTCTCAAGCAATCAACAGTGCAAACCTGCATATATTATCACTGAGCTCAGCATTCTCCAAGCTGATTTTCTTTAGATCTGTACACACAGAAAACAGCTGTTCCAGGGTGTCCACATCGATGGCTGCCATGCTCAGGTCTAAATACTGGACTCGGTACATACTGGAGACACACAAACACAAAACATAACATGTGTTGCTAAAATATAATATAAATTCTTCGTTCTTGTGTATGTTGTACATTTGAAATAAATTCAATTGAGAAGCTCCTTAAAATGATAAAAATGGTTGGTAAACCATTGCTTACATGAAATGGAGTCACCCATGTGGATTGCATTGTGAAATATTTCTCACAGCTGTAACATGCATAGAAACCTTTTGCATGAATGGTTCATGGTCTCTGAGCTAGGCTGGGACTAAACTGGCCATGTTTATCAACCAAACATGCCAAAAGCAGACTAACACACTAAAACAAACAACTGCACACACTATTGGTCATAAATATATACCAACTTAATCTGGCCTTATTCATGCTATGATAGTATTCACTGTAAACCTCACCTTGAAGCTTTGATTTCTTGGGTTGGACCTGTAAATAATGGATACTCAATCTGAAAAAGAAGAAGAAGATCGTTTATGAAGACATTATACAAGTTCAAATAAGTTCCTGGTTCTTCGTCTAGTACAATGTGCCAGGTCAGGTAAATATTGCAAGTTTAATTTAATCACATAATATGACCAACCAGATGTTGATAAATATATAGGACCTCTTTCTTGCATATAAAGGTCAAACATGTAAACATAAACAGATTTAGTTTAATTAATTCATGTACAGACACAACTCCAGGGTGTTTTAGCCATAAGTGACAATAGCTATCTCACCTCTGCTTTAGCCAGGCGGAGGATGCGTACTCCTCTGTTGATGACATTGCCCAGTGTTCCAGGTCCCAGGGCTTTGTTGGACAGATCTATCCGCTTCCACAGAGACTCGTCCATACTGAGACACAATAGTTGTACGATTCATGTTAATTGATAAATACAACCACTTTGTATGATATTGATACTGAAACACTGTACGAAAGTAGTAGTTATATAGTGGGGTATTACGAATACAGGGTACCCTGATGGCTTATTTTGGGTTAATTCCGCTCCCAGCATCCAGTAAAAATGATGATCCCCAAGCGGGAGACATCATTCGATGTTCCCCCTACTATTGTCTACAACGGTGTCCATACGCATAAGTCGTGACGCCATCGATGGCGATCCATCGTTTCGTGTCCATGGGAGACAGCAACGTCTTGTTGAGGGTGATCCCGTGGATTTTGTGTTTGTCGCTTCTCAACACATTCATTTGATGTTTGAATGTTTTATTCTTGAAGAGAGCTTGTTTGAAGAGGGTGTGTTTGATGTGTTGTTTCACGACGTCTTTCTTGACCCCTTTTGGCTTTTTGTATTTCGTCGTCTGCTTTCTTGATTGAATACATCTTGGGTCTTAACCCAATGTATTCCGCAATGGGTGTCCCAGCACATTCGTCCTTCCTCTTGCCAAGGACCTTTTTATTCGTTTGGTTGTGAGGGCATGGGCTGGGGGGTAATCACTCGTATCGTACAGGTGGATGTGTTTTGCCATGCCCTCGTACACGTCTTGGTACGAATTTCCATCAACAACGAATCGGTGTCAGTATACAACACCTCGCATCGATCGTCGTATTGTCTTTTGAGTTGGTTGTAGTAGAAATCATACATCAAGTGTTTGGATAAGTCGAGAATGCTCATCCCCACATAGACCGGTCGATTGAGTTTGATGTGACTCTTAGCCATGTGTAGAGCCGCCAAATCATCGTTGAACATTTTACTTCGGTTAAAGGCTGGATTCCTATGAGTTTCCTTAGTTTTTCCTCCTGGTGTGATCTGACTAATTTCATGTTGACGCGCTTCCTTAAATTATCCATGGTTTTTCCAAATACTGAGTTGTTCATCAGTTTGTAGAGGTTTTTGTCAAAGTCGCTCGTGGCTTGTTTTGTCAGATCCATATTCAACCGAATTTAAGGTTCCATCCAGGGACTTTGATGAAACATCAGAACCCGATGTATTTTGGTATGCTTCATTCCCAGCGATAAGTACAGTTGCAGACTCCGATAGTGCACGACATATTTTTTCTTGTTCATCAAGTTAGGTACGAGTTTTTCCACGTTAGCCAGTTTGTTATCTCCCAACAAGTTTCGTTGATATTCGGACATCCATTCTCGATCGACCATTAATCGTTCGGGAGCCAGCGGATAACTGTTGTGGGAGGCATGCAATTCTTTGGGATAGTCCAAGTCCACTTCGAATATGTATCCTCTCTCAAAGTTTTCGGGGATAGCCATAATGTTCTTCGTTTTAAAATGCTCGCTATCAACTCACTCGAACCCGCCCGTAGGCAAAGGTTGACTCATGGCCCAATCATAGAGATTATTCGCATCCAGATAGTGGAGATGGTTGGAGAGTTGATTCGGGTTATAGTTTTTCATATATTTAGGATTGGCTTTCGCGTACATTCCTTTCTCGATAAACGATAAACAGGTGCATGTCGTAATCCGATAACAATTCCAATTTGACTCTTGTTTTCTTCAAGAGTGCATCCCACGACAGACCGGAGCTAGTGTAGTACCAAGCGGGGGTCGAGTTGATATTGTTTCAAACACATCTTTCTAAAAATTTCGAAGACGTCGGGTGAGTAGAAGCACATCTGTTTTCAAGTAGAGATTGTGATAATCGTAATCGTCCTGTGATATATGGGACTTGGTCAACTGGCTATAAAAGGCCTCGATGGTTGGTAATCTCCTCAAACCTAGACCAATCGTCCATGTACTCGCACGGGTACACATCCTTCCTCAACAGCAAAGACAGAGTCGCTGCGTCGGTGTATCAATTGGTTGTAGCGAAGGTATCTTTGGCCTTCACCAAACTGTCGAGGGCTGACAGGAGATACTGGGAGATAAATCTCAGACTGTTTAACGAGAAGGAAATGTATTTTTCCATGTTGTTGGGGATGCACTTGATGTCGCCATCGACCTTCAAGATGTCCTGCATGATGAGGTGGGCATCGTAACCTCTGAGGTTGTGAAACACCACGGGGATGGGTATGGTTTTGGGATCTATTCTAAGCTTCAAGATACACGCGTTGTGGGCGGCATGTGACAATGATCTCTCACGGAATCGTCTTTAGGGGTCCGTGACATACGTGACAATATCTAGCTTGTTGATGAGATCGCTCAGACTCTGGTGTCATATCCATGGGGGCAGGGTCCAACAAAGCTTTCCTGATTTTTTTCTCCTCATTTTGAAAGTACGGGAGAAATGTTTCGGCTGCGTCATGGCCTCAGTAGATCACAGGCTCTTTTGTTTGTCCGTCGCATCGGACGACCACGTACCCGAACCTGCAAGGTTTGTGTTCCTGCTTTTTGTACATGAAACTTTGTTTGGTCATGTTGGGCGTGTTGTGGTCAATATTTTTTAAGAGGGCTTAGATGTTTATGATTGATAAATTTTAGCCTGTTTTCCTTTTCTTGAGGCATGTCATTTCTCACACCTCTACCACACCTCGACAGTCTTCTTTGTGCGCCTCTAGTAGTTTGGCGCGACTGTACCCGTGCAGACATGTCTCACAAAAATACTTCTTCGCTTTGTGAGAGGATTGGTCATACAACAGCCTGCTCAAACTTTTAATCCATCCGTAGTAAAATTTATCCTCTTTTTCGATGAGGAATGAATTGATCCCGCGCACGGTTTTATCTATCATCCTGTGCACAATAACCCTATTCTCGTGTCCGAACACATTGATGGCTAAATTATTTTGTGTTTCTATCTTAGAGATTTGGGATAAGGTAGTGGGTTCGTCTATACCCGTACAGTTGAGACCGTCTTCCTCATCCGTGGGATAGCTGGAAAGCCTATGCGGATTAGCTTTGGGTTTAAATAAGGCAGCTTTCACCGTTACCCTCATACAATTATCGCCTTTATTTTCGGGGTTAACGGTGGTCTGTTTGTCCTGAAATGCTTGGGCACCAGGAGGTACGGTCCGCCTTTGAATGGCATGTAGTTTGCTATATCCACATAGATGGTGTCGATGCGACCAACCACCCATCCAGAGCCCATGTGGGTATATTTTCTAACGAGTCTTGTATTTTTTGTAAAGAGGTGTTGATGGTCGAAGGGATAGAGTCGGATTGAAGTATGACTTCCTGTTTGCCTCTGAAATAAGGTTTGATGTACTCGGTTCTACCATCCATCCGTCTGCTGTTTGTTAAGCAACATTTTAATCGTGAGCTGGTATTTAATACTTTTTAAATCGTTCCTTGTCGATCTTACTAGCTATGAGGGGTTTAATGCGTTGACATCGATATTAGAATTCACTACCTTTCACCAGCCTCTGAGATGCTTGCCCATGGCGTTGTCTGTCGGCACAAATCGCATTTCTACCGGCTCGGTGTCTTCCAGCAAGGTTAACAGTTGGGCTTTTCCCATACAAGAATAATGTTTCAGTTCGTTACTCTTTGTGAGAGTTTTTAGCTGTGAGAGTGTCCAGCAAGGTCAGCAATTCGGTTTTCCTCATGCGAGAATAACCAGTCAGTCCATGACTTTTCGCGAGAGCTTTCAGTTCTCTGACAGTAGCCATGTTGTACACCATATGCAATATCAAATGTCTAATAGGTTGTTTTCAATGTGCAGGAAAAATTAAATTTTAATTCTGAGTAGTCGGTCAAAGGCCATTATCGTTTGTGCAAAGCCCACGGAGCGGATATAGTTCGAAGCCAAACCCCGGGACCCCTTCCAAATGTACTAGGATAGAAGAAAAAAATATCAAGAGATATGAGATACTTTTTTTCGCAATTGGAAATATAGAACTATAAAGTTCGCGGGTGGTATTCTGTTCTGCATTCCCGGCGGGTCTATTTGCTTCTAGTTGCCATCTTCCCACCCCATTGGCAGCAGATACAATACTTGTCGAAACTCCTAGTGCCCTACAGATTTTGAGGCTCATATAAAATTCAATAGGAGTCATCAGAAGATGACATATCCCCCCGGCCTCCAATATCTTTGAAAGAACAAATCATCTGACAGTTACTTAAAGTCCAGCTTGATTTTAGACTAAGTCCGAATTGTTTCCATGGAAACTGAGAAAATAATAAATCACAAAAATCTACAAATAGCAAAAGGCACCACTTCAAGATCTGCCTCATATATCTGCCAAGTTTTGTTGAAAGATATTGAGAAGTTTTCGAGTTGTGCTCCGGAAACGAAGCCCACCCTCCCTTTGGGGATTAAGTCTGAATCGTTTCCATGAAAATCGGGAAAAATAAATATGCAAAAATTCTGCCAAATAGCAAAAGGCACCACTTTGGCATGTGCCTCACATATATGCCAAGTAGTTTTCCAGTTGTGTTGCGGAAACGAAACCCACCCCTTCCTTTTGAGACTAAGTCCGAATCATTTCCATGGAAACCGAGAAAATAATAAATCACAAATATCTGCAAATAGCAAAAGGCACCACTTTGGGATCTGCCTCACATATCTGCCAAGTTTTGCTGGAAGATATTGAGAAGTTTTCGAGTTGTGCTCTGAAAACGAAGCCCACCCCTCACTTTTGGGACTTAGTCTGAATCGTTTCCATGGAAACCGGGAAAAATATAAACGACAAAAATCTGCAAATAGCAAAAGAAACCACTTAAGGTTCTGTTTGATATATCTACCAAGTTTTGTTGAAAAATATTGAACGGTTCTTGAGTTATGCTCCGGAAACGAAGCCCACCCCTCATTTGGGGGACTAAGTCCGAATCGTTTCCATGGAAACCGGAAAAAATAAAAATACCACAAATCTGCAAATAGCAAAAGGCACCACTTTAGGATCTGTTTGATATATCTACCCAGTCTTGTTGAAAAATATTGAACGGTTTTTGAGTTATGCTCCGGAAACGAAGCCCACCCTTCTTTAAGACTAAGTCCAAAACGTTTCCATGGACACCAAGAAAAATATAAATGACAATGATCTGTAAATAGCAAAAGGCAGCACCTTAGGTTATGTTTGACACATCTACCAATTTTTGTTGAAAAATATCGAACGGTCTTTGAGTTATGCTCCGGAAACAAAATGTTCTGGGGCGGACGGACGAAAAGATGGACGACTATATCCCAAATGCTTTTTTTCAGGGAATTCACCCCCACCCCTTAATAAACCTTGCAACACAAACTGCCCAAGAAACCTCACTTGGTCAGCTCATATATGGCGCTGGGAGTGACTCCTAACATCATATATGAGCAGCTGGCGTGACCTACAAACCTCACTCTTCTCACTTGCAAAGTTTCTTCCGCTAAGCCTGACTCGAGCGTGACATGCTGGATTCAAAGGCCAGCTCTACCATTACGTCAGCGGGATGGCTGGTGTTAACACGACGAATTTAACATGCCTAAGCTGGCGGGCTAGTCTATTTCCAGCGTATGGACACCGTTGTAGACAATAGTAGGGGGAACATCGAATGATGTCTCCCGCTTGGGGATCATCATTTTTACTGGACGCTAGGAGGGGAATTAACCAAAAATAAGCCATGAGGGTACCCTGTATTCGTACCCCCACTATATAACTACTACAGTGATAGTTACAATCTTGCTGGTTGTGAAAACTGACCATGTTGACAAAGACACGTTCAGTAAGATAGTACGATGGCAGCCATAACAATACACATCTAAAGCTAGCTAGAGATTGATAAACTTGCTTCTCTGGCTATTTTGGTTAACATGAAAGAGTGTCTGTCACAGTTAGAGATATTAGACAACAGTTACTCAAACCTGCTTGGATGTAAATTGTCAAATAATAACTGGCAAAACATTGGATATACATGTATCATGAAGTGATCATGTATCTGTTCATATATAACAAATATCAACCAGAATTGTACTTGAAATCATTCACACTAACTCATTAACTGAACAGGGTAATACTCACACAAGCCTATTCCAGCGTGAGCAAACTCGAGCACATGATGCCAACACAAACTTAGGCAGCCATTGGAATACCTTCAAGATGGCCTCATCATACATTCTGTTGAAATGATCTGTACAAACACAAAATGTTCTTAGAGTAACCATTTTAAAAACTGACCATAAGCATAACATAAGCAGAGTTCCGATTACCAGACCGACCCTTGAATTCTGGTGCTGACCCTATTTCTTTAAAATGGTATGAATAAAATAAGCTTTCAGATACCATTGTTTTCCCCGGCACCAGCGGACATTGGTCATTCTGATAAAGAAAGTCGACATGATAGCCGCAAGCTTGATCGAATAAACAATTACACATTGATTAAATGTGTTATTAGTTGGTACTTTAGTTTAGTTTACTTCTACAAAAAATGAAAAACAGAGGTGTAATCGGAACAACATTTTTTTATTTGGCCATAATGTTTGTGGGGTCAGTCTATATCCATGGCATATTAACAGAGTAGGGATTTCAAGGGTCAATGTCAAGGGTCAATGTTTTGTTGGCTTACAACCATGCTAAATTGATTTCAGTGACACAATTGGCACATTGATGCAATCAATTATAAATCCTTCATAAGGTGTTCATGCAAACATTCTCACCTTGTCCATCTATATCGTTGTGGTATTTAGGTCCCAGAAATCTTCGTATGCTTCGTTTAGGTGTCAACAGACTATCACAGTCATCGCTACTGGGGGAGAAGTTGTCCCTCTGACAAGGCAGCAGTACTCGCGGAGCCTGGGAGAACATAACAATATACTCTCACAATCATCACTACTCTCACAATCATCACTATTAGAGAGATGTTACCCTTTGATAAGACAGCTGCATGAAAGAACATAACAATATACTCTCACAATCATCACTACTCTCACAGTCATCACTACTCTCACAATCAATAATCATCACTACTAGAGAGATGTTACCCCTTTGACAAGACGGCTGCATGGAAGAACATAACAATATACTCTCACAGTCACAATCATCACTACTCTCAGAATCATCACTACTCTCACAATCATCACTACTCTCACAATCAATAATCATCACTACTAGAGAGATGTTACCCCTTTGGCAAGACGGCTGCATGGAAGAACATAACAATATACTCTCACAGTCACAATCATCACTACTCTCACAATCATCACTACTAGAGAGATGTTACCCCTTTGACAAGACGGCTGCATGGAAGAACATAACAATATACTCTCACAGTCACAATCATCACTACTCTCACAATCATCACTATTCTCACAATCATCACTACTAGAGAGATGTTACCCCTTTGAGAAGACAGCTGCATGGAAGAACATAACAATATACTCTCACAGTCACAATCATCACTACTCTCACAATCATCACTATTCTCACAATCATCACTACTAGAGAGATGATACCCCTTTGACAAGACGGCCGCATGGGAGAACATAACAATATACTCTCACAGTGACAATCATCACTACTCTCACAATCATCACTACTCTCACAATCATCACTACTAGAGAGATGATACCCCTTTGACAAGACGGCCGCATGGGAGAACATAACAATATACTCTCACAATGATCACTATTCTCACAGTGATCACTATTCTCACAATCATCACTATTCTCACAATCATCACTACTAGTATCTTTGACAAGACGGCCGCATGGGAGAACATAACAATATACTCTCACAGTCACAATCATCACTACTCTCACAATCATCACTATTCTCACAATCATCACTACTAGAGAGATGATACCCCTTTGGCAAGACGGCCGCATGGGAGAACATAACAATATACTCTCACAATGATCACTATTCTCACAGTGATCACTATTCTCACAATCATCACTATTCTCACAATCATCACTACTAGAGAGATGATACCCCTTTGACAAGACGGCCGCATGGGAGAACATAACAATATACTCTCACAGTGATCACTATTCTCACAATCATCACTATTCTCACAATCATCACTACTAGAGAGATGATACCCCTTTGACAAGACGGACGCATGGGAGAACATAACAATATACTCTCACAGTCACAATCATCACTACTCTCACAATCATCACTATTCTCACAATCATCACTACTTCTCACAATCATCACTACTAGTATCTTTGACAAGACAGCAGCATGGGAGAACAACAATTAGTTGCTAGAAGCATGACTTATGACATCCATGTATTTCACTTTTCAAGGAAATTTTGAACAATGTACACACAATGTACATAGAAAACATGTGCAAGCTGTCATGTTTCACATCAGGAGGAACTTGTCAGTCACTATCCATTTCAATAATACTTGCTGCTGTGCCGACAATTGAAAAACATTTCCTCATTTGACTGAAGATGAAAGGGCAAGGGCCAAAGGAATCATGCACATAAGATTGCCAGCTCTTGCTGATGCAAGTTGACAGAACTGCTACCACATGACAATAACTGGGTTGTGAGCAAGGTACAGACTTTACTGTATTCATGACCACCCAACATCTGGACAATCACAAGTTACCACCCCTGCTCAGGACCATTAGATCTCTGTCTCTCAGTGTTTCTCTAACTTTCCAGCAGAAACTCATTTAAATTATTTGACTGAATTATCTCTCTGGGCTGTTCATTACCACATTCAACAAATAAAATGAAGCTTTCATTTCTAACATTAATAAAAGGGTTTACAGTGCACGAAACAGTTTCAATCAAGAAAGCAGTTTCTTTTTGCAATCAGAAATGTTACCGCATGAACTAAAGTTCATAAGTAGAACAAAACAAGAAGTTGGTGACAACTTTGCCAAGCATACACCCTTTCTGTCCTACATCAAAGGTTGTAAATATTTCATTGTAAATTATACCTAAAACAGATTTGCCTGTAACCTCATGCTGATGTTATTTACGGAAGTGTATGCACGGGAGGGAGGTAACTGAGAATTATTTTTAGTTCTTATCTCCGCTTCTTGGAATTAAGGAAACATTTCAAAGGTGTCTAGCAAGTGTATAATATTCAACACATGATAAAATTCACTATCTGAAATCATGAAATATATATGAGCATTCCAAAATAATATTGTTCTACATATTGTGGAAAGGATAAGCCCGATATACAGAAAATACCGCTCACCCTCAGTTAAAATACCTTCTTTAGTATGGAAAGACCATATAAAAATTACATTTGAATGACTATACCGACACTGCATTCATGCTAAAAGCAAAGATAAATAAGTGGTCTTAACATTGAAACAGAAGTAAAAAATCGGAGATCATAGCATGCATTGTTTATATGTACATACTTGTGGTACTTGCAGTGGTGTGTTTCCTGGAGAACAGCCACACACTGTTGGTGTATTTTCAGCCAGACTTGAAACACTTTCATGGCTGCTGTCAGACAGCAGCTCCACCCCCATCTCCTGGTAGATATGCTCTGTGTTGCAGTTGTCCACTGCCCATGTTGTACGCTTCCGACAATGGATTCCACATTCCACTCGACGCTTTTTGCTGGAGAAGCACAAATAGCATAAAAAATTACATTAAAGTCTTTCAATGGCATTTAGAAGTGATACACATAAAGTATCTGTATCAAAACGTCGCACTCACAAAATATAATTAGTTGTTATTCACAAAGTTTTTCAATATTGTACTTGACAACTTCTAAAACGCAACTCAAAAAAGCCAGTAGTGAACTGGTGCTGAATGGTAATGAGTGAGTAGAAGCCAAGAGTTAATCCAAGTGTAAAAAGTCCTTTCAGGCAATTTACACAAAACCGATACACTAATTTGTACACGACTGACTGACACATTTTTATGGATAACAACTTCTTTTTATTCTTTATACGACATTTCAGAGCAATATCTTGCTCCTTCATATGACCTGAATGTGTATAGTCCGCTTTGTAACTGTGCACAATCCAAATATGAAAAGATATAACCAGTTGGCTGTACACTAGGGAAGTGCAATTTACCAAGAAAAATACATTTTTATTCAATGAAAACTCAATCTCATAAATTTCAAAACAATGATCACAAAATATTGCTTACAAACTATATATATGAAGTTTGACCTGATATTTTAGCACATTCACAGAACTATTTTTTTCTTTTACCGATATGAGGCAACTATGTATTCCAAATGTCAAGAGGTACAGTTAATTACCTTGTGGTCACTAGATATTGTTTACCCACTTTTATACATACAAATGTTAAGCATGTCTGAGTTATAAGAAATACCCATAATAGAAAATAGGACAAAATGACCTGGTCCATAGAAATATGTACAATTTAGACATAGAATTTTTTTTTTAAAGAATACACATTTTTCTGTTCCCAATTTTCCAGAGGATTCACAAAAGTTGATCTTTTCCGACAGAAATTGTCACCTAAAATGTTCTTAGGACATTATTTCAAAGTTAGAAAAGACATAAACAAAATTGTCATTTAACACTTCAGTATCAGAGAACTAACATGGGAGAATTTGGAAGAAATACGGCTAACAAGCAGCTGTAGTCTGTAAATCACTAAATGAAACACTCATGTCGAAGATTGTTGACAAAGAAACTTGGTTCACTTTAACAGTAATTAGCACACGATAAAGAAAAGTTGAATGAGTGTGTGTGCTGACATCATACATAAATTGGCAATCTAACATGTTGTCAGAAAACAAACATAATAATTTAACGGTGCAAATGTTCATTAATGGGCCTTTGCAAAGAATTGTTGGACGCGTCCATCTAAAGCCGTGACATAAAACGAACTTTTAATTTGCAAAATCACAAAAACAGAAATGATTTATGCGCTGATTTTGCATTTAAAAGTTTGTTTGGCTATAAAATATTGCATGTACCTTGGATTTGTAAATGAATTTTCTTTAGATGACTCCAGTGTAGATTTTTTTCCAGCCTTGCTTTTACCCATCTTTGATTTTAGCGCCAAGGGTCTCCAGCATATTTTCGCGTAAAATTTTCCAAGCCACGCATGCGTATTTTGGCCGGAAGTAAACTATATTTTCCCTGACATAGTATATTCATAACAATACAATACATTTCAATCATATTATAAACTTCTGATGGCATCCACATGGATAATGCCATGGTTCAAAGTGAACCAGTAACGTCAAACTGGTTTGGAAGTAAAGTTAGAGTACAAGTTAGATAATGCGTCTTGCTATAAGCATCAGCAGTTCTACTAAAGCATAATATCTCGTTTACTTCGTGACAAAAACACATCAACACAATTAGCAATACTAAGAAATGCCATTCGTGCTTATAGAGATGTACCAATCAATTGGGAATGATAAACACAACAACAGTTGTCAAAGGTTAGCATAATAAACATATTAACATTTGAAGTTCATTGTTCCAGCCCCTGGCGTGTAAGGTGTTCTTCGGGAAACAGTTCCTATATACGCATGCGCGGTGTTACAGGAAGCTCCAATATAAGCAGACGGAACATGTGAGTGTGCTTGACGTGACATTGACAAAACTTAACCGTTAAGGTAAAGATTAACTCTCAATTTAGTTGACAAGTGTTACATAAAGTGTGAAAGCAATTATACTCCTTTTCTTGTCGTGTACATACTGGGCCAGTCTGGTGATTAGATTTGAAAACTTTTGGTATGATTTAGTTGACATCGAATTTGTGAAAGATGCAATCTCCAGCACAAATGTCAACATGCACAGGAATGTTATTTCAAGTAGACCTTTCAGCAATAACAATATGGTTTGCCAAAATAACAATGTCCATAACACACATTTTCAACTGTAGTGTCTACCCTTGACATAGACACCTTGATGCAATGATCACTTGATATATAAGTAAGATGTAAACAACACCAGTCCCAGGTCCATTGTTGAATGGACCTAAAAGCAATCATCCAGATAAATACTTCTCTTGATACTCTCTTTTCACATTCCAACTATATGTATCATACTTGATTAGAGGAGGACTGAAGACGCGTTGCAATGCTCGACTAATGAGTTACTTATGTAAAACTATATGCTGCAACCACGAGTTCTTTGTAGAAGGTCACGTCATTTAGAGAAGCAACCAGTTTTTTTGAGAATCTTAGCATTGCAAAACTCTGTGTACAATTTACCTAGAACCAATTAATTGGTGGCAGATACATACAAAGGTTAAGTGTCGTAGTGGAGTTGTCTGACTTCTGTGACACTTGTGAGTGATTACAGTGACATATTTGGCACTCATCTAGTCCATGATCAACAAAATTCCAAGTGGTAACGAAGGATCCAATTTAACATAAAGTAATAACGAGAATTAATGACTGTAAGTGAATCATTTTAGCAGTGATTTTTAAGGCTGTAATGATTCACTTGCATATTCAGTGAATCGAACCATAGCCCTTCAAAGTTCATGGTTATTCGTGGTCACCAGAACCAAATATTAACGAATATTTACAAATTTTTCAACGGAGCATGTTTTACTTGAACCCTTATGTCCTTTTCCAAAGTGAGATATGCAAGAAGGGAACATGTACTAGCATTGCAGTAGTGCAAGTCATGTTAGTTTGCCAAGACTGCACATGGTACTTTCGATTATAACTATTGCATACCAAATTTGAGCATCAGGAGATCACTGGTTATTGCTGTCACAAATCAAAACTGTCAACATGGGCGCTCCATATTGTACATCAATCACTTAACTACAATACTCAGCATTAATGGGTACAACAAGGACTGGTCGGCACGGAGTCAGTATAATGTGTCTGAGTGGGGTATTCATGCTTCACGGCATGGTGAGGTGAAGTGAAATTGGGTTTATTGTCGCCTTGAGAATATTTTGCTCATATGACGACGCATGCGTGTGCATGGTATGTGAGCGCTTGTACCAGCCCAGACTGGAGCTGGTTTTATAGTGCTAGCCCACTGAGATACCATGCGCAGTGAAGCATGAATACCCCACTCAGACACATTATACTGACTCGGTACTTTCCTTGTACCCATTAATGCTGAGCCAGGCAGGGACCAACAAGTACCATATTTTAACGTCTTTTGGTATGACGCGGTCGGGGATTGAACCCGCGACCTTCCGCTCTCCAGGCGGACGCTCTAACCACTACACCATGGAGGCGGTCACTGCGGCATGGTATCTCAGTGGGCTAGCACTATAAAACCAGCTTCAGTCTGGGCTAGTACAAGCAGCCCACATACACATACACACGCATGCACGACTTCATATGAGCGAAATATTCTCAAGCACAACGTTAAACCTAATTTCACCTCACCTCACCTCAAACAATATTCATAATACGTATCATATTCGCCACATAGTGTAATCGTTGCAGCCCTAGCACTGATTTTGTAAGAATGGGAGCGAACCCTGTAAATTATGTGGTTCTCAGTATGGAATGAGGAGGTTTAGGCATCCCTGCTTAAGCCACATGCATGAGTATATTCTTGAATATTACCGTACCGAGGGAGAGTGTACCAATTTGGAAAACATAATTAAAGAAATATGGGAGAAGTAAACCCAAAGTCACAATTTCACCTGAGGATGAAAGTAAAGGATAAAACATGACTCTGGAGGAGGGATTTTCCTGACTCCAAGGGTTTATATTTGCTACCAAAACCGAAGAGGAGTGTTTTATCCGACTTATGAACTGTCATGAATGTAAAACACAATTATGTATTATGTTCAGTTTGTGCAAATGTTTTGTGTACCTCTACTGAGCAGAACAACTTTGATGGAACAGCCCGCAAATGATGGAACAGCCGGTGTCAACTGGGATGTGACTGGTAGCCAACACCTTGCTTGCCTCGTACATATCGCCAGGGATGCATGATTCATCTGCACATGCTACCGCCCTAGTTCACGTCTTTTGAGGGACACATGATTCATACTGACAAACAATCTCATTCTTCACAGCGATCCTTCGTAGCCTAGTGGATAAAACCGCCAAGCTAGGGAGTGAAGGGTTGTGGGTTCCAAACCAGTTATCGCCACTATATAATGGAAGTTTTCAATAATGTGATATTTTACAATCAGTGATAGCAAGACAAAGTTGTATCAATCATAACCTAGGTTATGAAATGGTCGAAATTTAACCTGATATGGGGTTTCAAAACGTGTACTTCAAAACCTAGGTTTAGACATGATCAGTGCAAAGTCACAGCAGAGGTCTACCTGATTCTGGAAGGAACCTACTTTACTACAGACAAAATCGGAGATAGGTTTATAAAAAGGGTACATAACCTAAATGAGCATAAATTGGTGCTTGCTTTAATGCCGAACTCTAAGGTTAGTGAAGGGGTCAAAAAGGGAATCCCATGGCTAAGGATAGTGTTTGGGGGTTATCTACTCCAACATAACTTAGGCTAAGGATCAAAGAGGCACACAAAGTCAAGGTTAGCTCTTGATTGCATTCCATCTTTCTGCCATACAAAGTCCTAGATCTTACTGACGCCTCAGACATGGATACTGTTTTATGATCATGCTACCCATTCACAGCTCAAATTCTACAATTTTTACCCATGCAGTGTTTCTGTTCACCAATATACCAGATAATGACTGGTCGGATAACAGGGACCAATAATATTTGAGGGTTGACAGTCCCTATGTCCTGTGCAAATCACTAAAATATGACTGGTCAGCAAGAGATGCCGAACAAAGTCTGTATTATTAGCAATGATGTACCAGTACATTTTAGCTTTGATTGGGATTTTCATTTGCAACTGGCCCATATGACAGTCAGATAAAAAGCCACTGCAAACACTGCCATGAAGTACTCATTCATTGTTTGTACAGGAGAAAAGGCTCTAGTCTTTCTCATTGTTTGTACAGGAGAAAAGGCTCTAGTCTTTCTCATTTTTTTTGTTTTTATTGAATAAACTATATCAGTTAACTATTCCAGAGTTGGAAGAGGGGCTCACTCACTCAAACATTTGTGTAGACAACCCTTCATCCAATTCATTTCACTCGTCCTTCAAATTCTTTTCACATTTTCTCTGTCAATATTTTATTGTTTGTATATATGTTGAATTTAGAAATTGTGGAATTTGTATCAGGTAGATGTCAGTCTCAGTTTGAAAAATCTGTGCCCCAGTCCCATTCACTTCTTGTGAATAAGTATGTTTTAATCAACACTTAAAAGTCTTTAAAGATAACCAGCACAGTGACATTTCCTCCAGCCAAAGTATTCAGCATCAAACAATTTCATCCCACTTTCCCGCCGTGATGTTGCTGGAATATTGCTAAAAGCGGCGTAAAACCAAACTCAGTCAGTCATCCCACTTTCTCAATATTTTTGTGAGCAGAATAATTGCAACTGAAAGTGTGAAAATTAAAAGATGAACAAGAATATTGTGACAGAGGGACAAGTGTGTGTATTTGCACACTTCATGGTTTGGATGCTTTGAAAATGACCCTTAAGACCCTCAGCAATGCTTATTCAGATTCAATTAACATTTTGGCTGAAAACAAATCATATGCTATCCTTTGCATATGCTTTTTTTTATATTTCCTGCTATGTTTCTCTATTTCAAAACTATCAAACAGGATTTTTTCGAAGTATATGTAAACCAAAAATATATATAATCTGACCTTGGTTAATATATTTTAATGTGAATGTCGATTGCCCCAAACCTGATGGACAAAGGCCTTGTGCTGGCCTTCATGGTTAATTACACAGATTGTTATCTTGGTTGTTGTCTTGCATTGTCAGCATGTCATTGGTAACATCTGTCATCAGTCTTGTCCTTGCTGAAAATCATATTAAACTCACCATATTAATAGATTCTTCTTTGAATTCTATAAAGTTGATGAAGAGGGAAAATGAGGAAAATAGACGATACAATAAAATATCATATGTGAACCATTTGAGCCACAATACCCCGGGTGAAATTAATCCATTCTTTTATTCCAGATATAGGAAATTGGTGGTTGAACATGTGATTAAAATAATTCCTGAAATACAACTGGTGCCACTGTCGTCTGATCAAGCAACGTAAAAGGTCCTTTGCCAGTCCTCAGCATCCTACCACTCCGAAGCCATGGGTGCCTCGAACTCTACACCTGCCACTCCTACAGTTGCTGGTACCCAGACTGGCCCTCCTAGTGAATGCCCCATGCATCAGAAGCAGTCAGCTAAGGATGTGAATTCTGCCATGTCAGCAGCACCCTCCAACTACCCAAGTGAATGCCCAATGCACCAGGCATCACAAGAGGGGAAAATTAACCTTGATAATATGGTAATTACTACCTGGTGTAAAGAATACTTCAATTTTGTGATATATTGAGTGGATGAAAATTAGCCACCATGTTTCGGCTAAAGGAGAGAGAAGCAAGTTGTATGAGTAAGGATAAGTATAAAGTAAAATACTTTTTTAAAAATTAATAGTCTAAATAATACATTTTGTAGTAGTTAGATCTATAAATAATCTTCTGTTATGTTTTATAAAATAATTTAACATTTTAAATATCATTTCTCCATATGAAAACTGTGAATTCAGTAGATGTTTAATTGGCATTTTAGAAGATGCTATTTGATGAACATTAAGAATTTTCTGGGTTTCATCTTCTTTTTATTGTTTGTCTCAGGGCTTGTTCTGGCCCCATCATCAGGCTGACTCAGTTCTACCTGATAATGGGGCAAGAACAAACCCTGAAACGTTGTACCAAACAATAAAAAGCTGATGAAACCCAGAAAATTCTTTATGTTCTGTGAATTCAGTAGTTAAGCAAGATGTTTATTATCTCTGTTTCTTCAAATAAATTATTTTTCTGCTGTTGTTGCATAAGCCATTCTATCATTGACATGTAGTATTGACATGTTGATTCAAAGTATAGCAATGTATAGATTTGTTGATTTCTAATACAATTAATTACATATGTAGACCTGCAGTTATTTAGTTTAGTTGTGTGCTTGGCCGAACCTTTGTTAAATGTTTAAAATTGAAGTTCTTTCCTTCTCATTGTCAATCTAAACCATGATAATGTAGTGAATGATTAATTTACTAATATATTTTTCAACAATAAACAATGACATACCTGGATTCAAAATACACTAGAGGTGTGGTGAGTTACAATATGATATATGTCATAATACTATGGGTTTGACATGGTTCATATCCTGATTTTGTACTCTATTTCATCAGTTGAATAATTTATTTATAAACTTTACAGATTTTAGATGGGATTATTTTAGTGAAGAATCATAAGCTTATTACAATGTGAATGGCAACTAATAGAGAATTTGCATAACCTGGTTGTTGAACAGTTTCTGTTACTGTTCAAGTGTTTTAGACCAATATCACTTGTAATGTAATGTCTTGCAATACAGGGGTTTATACTGATATATTGTGTCATGGGCCTTGTATTGAGATACAATACTGTATCGTTGTATTGCTGCTTCTCTCAAGTACACAAGGAATAGTCCTTCAGTATACCATGACTGCATTGTAGGAGTGATTGAAGATTGTAAATTGTTCTTATCTAGCTGACTGCCAGGAAAGACTAACTTGCTAATTAATGACATTATTTACAACAGAAGAGCATTCTTGTTGCAGATGCCTCCCCCAAACCAGAGGCCAGCCCCAGACCAGCCCTTTCCTCTGCCAACAAGCCGTGTAACATCAAAAATACCAAAGGGGGGTTCAGAAAATGAAAACTGGGTCTACCCTTCTCAACAGATGTTTTGGAATGCTATGCTTAGAAAGGGTGAGCAGATTTGTGGTCAAATGATTGCTTTTGGGGTAGATGTGTATGGTGGTATAGATGCCACAATATCTACTTCTTGAATCAGTCTTCCATTCTCAGATATTGACTGAAACTGGTAAAATTTGAGGTTTGACTATCCCTGTGTCAGGTTGAAAATTTTTAAAATGCATATTGATGATGTAAATCCCAGTCAACATGAAATCTCATGTCAGCTTCTGTAACAGTCATGGAAATCCTGCTTCTGAAAATAGTGCACAGTATCAGCCAATATTAAAATACCTACCATTATAGTCCCTGTGATAGTGATGTTTTACTTTTGATGCTTTATGTGGTCTTTGTTGTCTCAAGGGCTGTGGGGTAGCCTAGTGGTTAAAGCGTCGCCATCATGCCAAAGACCCAGGTTCAATTCCTCACATGGGTACAGTGTGTGAAGCCCATTTCTGGTGCCCCCACCGTGAAACTTATTTGTTTTCAGGATGGCAATATTTTGATTTATTGTGTGTTTGCAGGATGTTTGAAAATTTCTCTGTCTGCAAGATTGCAATGTTTCAATATTTGCCTGTTTGAATGCTGGCAATGTTTGATTCTTTGTGTGTGCAGGATGGCGATGGAAGGATGATGACATGAAGCCAGAAGACATGCAACACATCATCAGCATCCACAATGCTAACAATGAACAAGCCTGGGAAGAAGTGCTCAAGTGGGAAGCCTTGCATGCCAGGTCAGTAGGGAGTCATTCCTTCCACACCACTCATACATCCTACACCTTTATGTGTCAAGGTTTTAGGTTTGTTTGGATGTTTCCTGAAAACATTTCCCAGGATTCCGATAATGTGGGTAGGCTTCTGTTTTGGCTTGTTAATAGATGAAGTAGTCTTCTTGGCTCGGTTTGTATGTTTCTGCAAATTCAGGAGATAAGCATAGATTGCTGTGAACCTATTTTAACTGAGAATCACTCCAGGAGATCACCATTGGTTGTTGGGGACCTATTGTAACCAAGAATCACCGTGGGAGATCAGCATAAGTTGCTGGGGACCTATTTTAACTGAAAATAACCCTGGGAGGTAAGCTTTGGTTGTTTGGGACCTGTTGTAACCAAGAATCACCCTGGAGGTCAGCATTGGTTGCTTGGAACCTGTTGTAACCAAGAATCATCCTGGAGGTCAGCATTGGTTGCTTGGAACCTGTTGTAACCAAGAATCACCCTGGAGGTCAGCATTGGTTGCTGAGGACCTATTTTTACTGAGATTCACCTTGGGAGATCAGCATTGGCTGCTTGGAACCTGTTGTAACCAAGAATCACCCTGGAGGTCAGCATTGGTTGCTGAGGACCTATTTTTACTGAGATTCACCTTGGGAGATCAGCATTGGCTGCTTGGAACCTGTTGTAACCAAAAATCACCTCGGGAGATCAGCATTGGTTGCTGAGAACATATTTTGACTGAGAATCACCCTGGGAGATCAGCATGTGGTTGCTAGGGACCTATTGTAACCAAGAATCACCCCGGGAGATCAGCATTGGTTGCTTGGGACCTATTGTAACCAAGAATCTACCCGGGAGATCAGCATTGGTCGTCACTGGGTTAAGACAATTATAATAAAGATAAGGGTAAGAACTAATAATATATGTGAGGAACTTTTACTGTAGAGTTGTAACCAAGAGTTGTCTCCCTTGCATTGCAAACTTGCTATCAATGTTCAGAAAATTTTGTTTTATGATCAAGTGAGTTTGTGGGGTTTTTTTTCAGGCAATGTGACTGTCCCAAGTTGAAAAGGTTTGGTGGGAAAGCAAAAGAGTTTTCCCCAAGAGCAAGGATTCGAGGCTGGTTTGGGTGAGTTGTTACAACTACCTATTTTTCAATTGTTTTTTTTTCTAGTTTACATTTGATCTCAGAATTCTTCAATGATTGTTTGCAATATACATGTCTCAGGATTTATTTTTCTCGAATGAATCCAGTTTTCTGTTTGGTTGACCATTTCGGGGGTTTAAATACTGATCCCCATTTTTTGGTGTATATATTTGTCTTGAAACTTTTGATGACGCTCTGCAAATATTCTACTTTAAAAATATTTGACAAGTAAAAGTATGAATTCACTCATGTGTGAACAGACTGACACTTGAATCGGACTAGTCTTCCGTATTTATGTAAGCTCCTTAAGGAAATTGTGATGGTTCCTAATGTGACATTTCAGAGTATATTCTTATTCTGTCATCAGGTCATTTGTTTGATTGAGAACATACTTGTAAATGCCAATGTAAGGTTTTGGCTATAAAAGTGTTAACAGACAGAGACATCTGATTGGCTTAGGTGTGGTGAATAACTCTTCAGGTAATAGTCACGCTGTCAGTAGCTGCAGCGTGCAAATATATAACATTACATACACATTATACACTCAGCATGTGCTGCGCTGAATGGGATTATCAAATACCACTTGAACAATTGCCTTCAGTGAGTGAGTTACGTTTTACAGTGCTTGTAGCAATATTCCAGCAATATCACAGCAGGGGACACCAGAAATGGACTTCACACATTGTACCCATGTGGGGAATTGACAAGCGAATGCATTAACCACTAGGCTACCCCACCACCCAGTTGCCTTCAGCTTCCTCCAGTAATATGCCAGTTCATCAATGGTGATTGTGTTTATACAAAGCTACAAGGGTGAAGCTGTTTTCTGGCATTACCATTTGCCTTTAACTGCAGAGTGGAAAACATAGGACATGTTAACAATCACTCCACACAAAATGCAAATCAGCATGCATATTTTATTTATTTTTGGTGAATCATTTACTGTGTTTGCATGTTTTCAATTCCATAACCTTGTCAAGGGAACACTTAATTTATATAGAGAGTGAGAGCAGTTTCCTTTTGACTGCACGTAAACTAATGTGTGAAATGAAGTTGGCACCTTGTCAGTTATGTATAGCTGGATGGCATGCTGTTTGAAAAACATTTGATCTGTGAATGAATGGTTCATTTTGAAAGATCAAAGATAACAGTTCCGCTCTATTCTCTGAGGATAGTGTTAAACACATACAACCCCATTTTCAGACAAAAACTTTGTATTTGTAGATTGCACACCAACCTTTCATGTGAGGATATGAAACTTTTATGGATAACAACTGTTAATGTTTGTAAGATCTTTCTATGTGAACTTGGTTCGGTTTAAAGCATTCGCTGACGCGTCAAGACAGGGTGGCCTAGAGGTTAAAGCATTAAAGCTCGGCGTGCACCGGGTTTCGAAGATAGGGTTTTGATTCCCCACATGGGGCGGTGGGGTAGCCTAGAGGTTACAGCATTTGCTCGGCATGCCGAAGACCATGATTCCATTCCCCACATGGGTACAATGTGTGAAGCCCATTCCTGGTGTCCCCTGTCGTGATATTGCTGGAATATTGCTAAAAGCCGTGTAAAACCATACTCACTCACTAACTCACTCACTCATGTGAACATGTTGCCTATTTACAGTGTGTATACTAAGTAATCGTTTTGATCTGGTACATAAACACAGCATAGTAATTCTACAACAGTGAGGGTTTAGCAGTGAAGAGAGAAGCCAGTTAAGTACAGTGAAAGTAGAGTGATGGGACTGGATGTGGTAACAAAGAGCTGATCAGGGTAACAATATAACACTCCTGGCAGACATGACACCATCAGCTGAGGGAATATCCACTACACTGACCTTCTGTTCTCTGGATTGCAGGGATTCATCTAGGTCTGTTTGGTCTTCAGCCACAATACTGCAGCAAATGTTAGTAAAAAATATATAATTGGAATGAAATGTTTCCACATTCTTGTTTTGTTATAACAAATGCTGGGCTTTGTTGAGGTGATTTGAGTTTCATTGAAAACATGACCAATATGAAGGAAAATGCTTTAATGCTTATAAGGGGCTTTTAATTCAATAAGAAATTTAATAAATTAATCTTTAGAAAAATAACTTTTCTGCCCAGTGAGTTGGACAAGGGTTCTTCAATATTATCCTAGATAAACCTCTGGTATACATGTCTTGTTGAACCTTAGCAGATGAACAATGGATTCTTGCAATTTGAAGTGAAAGCATTCTGTATAGATAAGAATACACATTTTGGTACAAGGAACATGAAAAAGCAAAAACAAATCCTGACAGTCTGCTACCATATAGCCTTTTACTTTTATTGGAAGGTAATCAAGTCATGATTGATTATGTCTTTGGAAACAATGCTAGATTTTAAGTTGAGGACGACTACATAAATCATACAAGTTCTGTTATCACAAAGCAACTATTAATAGAGATATATCACAAAGTGGAAATCAATAGCAGTTTCAGCTTGCAACGAATGTAGGTCGCAGATCTTGCCCTGAATAGTTTGGACACTATTAGGTCACCAAGCTCAATTTTCTATTTTTTCAATGAAAACTTGGCTAATGAAGCAATTATTGTGTTTAAGTTATCTAAAAAGGTATAAGGTTACACTGAGGAAACAGACAATTGTTTCCTGTTTGGCTGCAAATAGCATTGGCAGGGCTTGTCTGCCATTGTTATTGGGAGGATGTTATATTTTTGGTCTTTTCATTCTTATTTCTGTCTGATTTGTCATTCTTTTAAAGTCTAAGTAGTGCTTTCTTTTTGAAAAAAATGGACACAATTGTCGGTCCATTCAACATACTTGTCATGGAAAGTAGAGGCAAAGAGTAACGACTCCCGTACGAGAGCTGCTATCATTGATTTGATGGTTTGATAAGTGATAATTATTTCCTATTCATGCACCTGTGAAGATGCAGGTTAGAATTGATCTTCAGTAACCCATGTTTGTTGTAAGAGGCGACTAACAGGATCGGGTGGTCAGGCTCACTGGCTTGGTTGACACATGTCATAGTATCCCAATTGCGTAGATCGATTCTCATGCTGTTGATTATTGGTTTTACAGAATGCCGCCATACAACTGGAATATTGCTGTGTGTAGCGTAAAACTAAACTCATCCACTCACTCACTATTTCACATTACAAGTAATTGCGTGTCAGTATAACCAATGACTCTGCAACACTCTATAACATGATTATTGTTTAAGAAAACAGGTCAGTTGCTATCTTATAAAAACACTGTTAGTTGTTCGTTAGGTGTCCTTCACATATTTATTGATATGTTTGATGTAGTGTCAAGTGCTTATGTACGAGGAAGATTCGGGTGAGAAGTTGCCTTCAGCAACCCAGGCTTGTCACAAGAGGCGAGTAACAGGGCCCTCTTTCACAAAGCTATTGTAACGCTACTGTCATAAGTCTGTTACTGTTACAGTACAGGTTGTATGACAGTAGTAGCGCTACGATAGCTTTGTGAAACCAGGCAAACAGGATCTCACAGTTAGACTCACTGTTGTGGTGATTTGGTTGAAATATTGCTGAGTATGAGGTAAAAACAACGTGCACAAAAACGTCTGAAGTTGATTGTTAGATGGATGTAATTGTCACAGAAGTTTGATTAACTGAAACTAAGACTGTCAGTTTTGAACTCGTTAAATTTGTTGTACGTGCCATTTTGTGTGAGGCCCTGGTCCTTCTATGTCATGGTGTAGGAGTCCATTCCCTTCATGATGACGTGGTGACATATGGGTCGGACATCATTATGGATGCCGACCTGTCCCACACCTCAGTCATGCTTCTAGAGATTTGTCCTGTTTCATCCTGAAATATTTCATGGTGTGTCATGGTCATGGTCTGACTTGCACCTGACTTATTTTGACTTCTCAGTGATGTCAGGTAAGTATATTAGTAAATGTCAGTGATTTATGACCCCTGTGTGGCCTCTATAATTGGCACTGTGGAGACATGATGAGGTTTGCATTTGGGGGCGTTAAAGGCTCGATCAATATTACAATATGGTCCAGAGTTTACAGAAGGTTAATTGCTTAGAAAATGTTCCCAGTACAGTTAATATCCTGAGACAAGGATATCATAGTGAAAGACGAAGAATAATGGATGGTCGTATACAATACCCATACAATAAAGGTTCATGTTTTTGCCAGTGAGATTATTCACTCGCTGACATCTTTTGGCGCCTGGGGCGGTAGGGTAGCCTAGTGGTTAAAGAGTTCGCTCGTCATGCCAAAGGCCTGGGTTCGATTCCCCACATGGGTACAATGTGTGATGCCCATTTCTGGTTTGCCAAGCCGTGATATTGCTGAAATCTTGCTAAAAGCTGCATAAAACTAAACTCACTCACTCACTCTTTCTGGCCCTGAGGCATTCTTTAAGGACGTCAAGAAAAGGTCAAAGTAAATGGTCTCAAAAGACTCCGACAGATTTGTGGTTTATTTTCACAGAAAGAAATAATGCATTTTACATTTCACCTGTATTTTCTCCAAAAGAAAGAGAATTCTATTTATGAAGAAATGTTTTGGTCATGATTAGTCAAAGGGTCATGGTCAGCATTCATGATGTTTGAAGTGGTTATATCATTGTCGGTATCTGGGGCATGCTCAGCTGGACAGGGGTGGAAGTTTATGTATACATGTTTGTCAGTAAGGCATACCATCACTTCATCACATTTGAAGGTGAGGTGAGGTGAAATTGGGTTTTACGTCGTGCTTGAGGATATTTCGCTCATATGATGACATGCATGCGTGTGTATGTGTATGTGCGGCTGCTTGTACTAGCCCAGACTTAAGCTGGTTTTATAGTACCAGCCCACTGAGATACCATGCCGCAGTGAAGCATGAATACCCCACTCAGACACATTATACTGACTCCGAGCCGACCAGTCCTTATTGTACCCATTAATGCTGAGCCCCAGGCAGGGACCAACAAGTACCATATTTTAACGTCTTTTGGTATGATACAGTCGGGGATCGAATCGCAACCTTCCACTCTCCGGGCGGACGCTCTAACCACTACACCACAGAGTCGGTCTCATCACATTTGAAGGTGTCCTTTTAGGCATTTATCACGGGGCGGTGGGGTACCCTAAAGGTAATATGGAATATTGCTAAAATCGGCTTACAACAACTCACTCACTCACTAGGCATTTATGGCAAGTGATTATATCACACTTCTTCCTAACATGTACTCATTCCACATGGACTTTGGGAATTCTTTTGGTCCACGATGACATGTACCTTCACTCATGGGTACAATGTGGGAATCCATTTCTGGTGTCCCTTGCCATCATATTGCTGGAATGTTGCTAAAAGTGGTATGAAACCTTACCCACTCACTCACTCACTCACTCATTCATACATTTCCCATTGCACTTATTATGGCCCTTTGTTAGAATGTGTCCATACTTTGAATATGTTTTAATGACTGTAAGTCAAAGGTCAAGATGAGCATATGCTGATATGCAGGGATTTACAGGATTTGTGAATTCCTGGTATGTCCCACCTTCATGCTCTTCAAAATTGACAATGGATTTATTAGCACATCCACAGGGATGCAGAAAAAGTCCAAGATGCTTTTTGCAGGGATTTAAAAATTTCAAATAAGTTAATGATTGTCACTGAGGTTGCTACTGAGGTTGCTACTGAGGTTGCTACTAGCTACTAGCTGGGTTATGCTATTATTTGCAATTTACTTACTGTAACAATTATGTGCTGATCATGATTCACAATACAATATCAGTATTGATAATAATATCTAAGTGTCTGGGACCCCCATTGTGTTGTCCAGGACCCCTGAAAATTAAGAGTATGAGTCCCAGGGACCCTCAAATACAGGACTCAAGGTAAATCCCTGTGATATGTGAAGTAGCCTTATATGTCAGTATGGTCTGTCTGTGGTTTAACTCACTCACTCACTCACTGCAATGGAGGATATCAAACAATATCTTTGCTGTGAACAACAAGCAGTCTGTTTGGGGATAAATTAGAACAAAATCAATAGTTTTCCATCAAATATTACTGAAATGAGGGATGCAATAAATAGAATATTCATAGTGTCTTGCAAAATACCATGTTGATCCCATCTCGTGAATGAGCAAATTTGAATATTTTCTCATTCACTGAATGAGGAAAACATGGCAAGAGCGTATGAATATCCTCTCTGACAGGATAACATCAGGGCATTTATGTGAAGCCTTATCGCCTTATGGCATTACCATGCATATCTTCTTGTTTTACATAGTTCATATGGAATGCATTCTCCGCAATCAATGTTGCCAATATCTGAACTTTATGGGACCCGATTCAGTGCTTAGGACATTGTTAAGAGTCCATTGTGACATTTTGTGACCAATTTACTAAACATATATTTAGCCATGAACATACATAAACAGCAAGAATGTTTTCATTCTCATTTGCTGAGGTTTCGGTTCCTGTGTTGACCTAAGTCTTGGATTCATGGGGAGAGGTGTTTTGGTTCATTTCTGTATTGTCTGTGTCCTCCAAACTCCTGAACTCCTCTCTCGAAGTCAGTCAGCTGATTATCAAACTGCGATCATTTCTCGACAAGTCTTCAGTCCTGTTTCCACTCCATCATGACTCTCTGGTCCCCTTCACAGACCAGAACTTAGTGCCCACAAACTCATCACTCTGCTTAATTTAACTGCAGTATTCAAACACTTTCATTGATGTTAAAGATCATGCTAATGTGTGTATGGCTGTATTGAGCTACAGATAATCATTCACTCACTGCATCAACAACTTTCTTTTGGTATTCAATATGTTTGTAGAGTCTTTGAACGGTATTTAGAAGTTATACACAAATTTTGGATGCCAACTTCTTTATTTTGAGGGACACAACATCAGGAGAAAATGGTGAAGGAGTAAGAATATACTCCG